CCTGCATGTTCAATCAGCAAAACAGAGAGACAGGAGGGCAAATGCGTTATTGAAATTTGCCCACAAGCAGTTTTCTGTGCTCAGATTCCAAGCATGTATGCTTGGATAATACAACTAAATAAGAAGTTCTGTCAAATGTGAAGTGTCCATCAGGAGAATAGGGTAGCACTGACACCCACAAGCAGTGCAAAGCAAAGGGTTTCACACAAAACTCAATGCAGTCTAAGTATTTGTCTACTGTTACATCTAATTATCAGGTAGTTAGTAGAAAAGGTTATGCACATGGCCCCATAATTATACTTGATATCTGTGAATACCAATGCTAAAGTCCTAAACTACATTATCTCCCATTATGACACACTTGTCAAAGTGGTCAATGCTGCCAATTTTGAAAAAGATCCAGGATTGTCTGGCTCAATTTATTACCACAATCTCCCACAGACATAAATCTTTGCTGCTCTGTTGTTAATGCTCATCACTCATTAGTCAACATGCCTACCCTGGCTCTGTTGATTGCATTCCTCACCCTCAGTAAAAAATGATGACCAGCCTTGAAACAAGTCAACCTGACACCAACTTATGGGTGTCACTGGTGTTCTGTGGTTCTCTGTCTCATTGCAATCTGACAATGATAAATCCTTGATTACATCCAGCTGGATAGTGAGGTTCTCTCATCAGGTTTATTTGTATGCCCACATCCGGAAGTTGGTTGAAGACCAGGCTAAGTATTTGAACATGAAGAATGATGAAAAAGGGGATGGTCTGACTAGGTATGTGATTACTGGGGCAAGACTTGGAATGGCAATATGGTTGTTGACAATGCTCTCACAAAACAAGGTGTTGGTTACCAGGATACACTTCAACAGTTCAAAACTCAGGATGTAAGTGTTATTGTGTCAGTTTCCTGCCATTGCTCACAGTTAAATACACAATTTTAGATCAGAATGGTCACATCTGAGACTGCACTGATAAATAAAGGTATTGTATCTATTGCTGTTGAGTTATTGGCACTACAGCCATCATCATTCCTGACATTTATTGGTTTGCTAACATATCCTCACTAGTACATGGTATCAGTGGTACAAAACAAACAGCCATAAATTGTCTAATATTATCAGAATGTTGGAAATATGTGATCAGTGCTGGAATGGTAACTATTTGCATATTTTCATTGTTGTCAAGCTCACTGACAGTGTTCACCAGCAATCATGGGTAGGCCTTTTGGTGCCTCCACATTGATACCCTCCTGCTAAAAATGCAATCTGTGATGTGTTAATGAGCGTCACAGTACAAGGTATATGTAAATGGCGAATGTAATTCACTTACTGTTGGCAGTGATGTACACCATGATTTCCATTGTCCATTTCTGTGTTTTCATCAATGGGAGTAGGATTTCTCATCACATTGTCACATCTGTAAGCTGATATGGAATGAACTATGTAGTTATTTGTGTGCATCAGATGACATACATGTGCAGGAATACAACTGTTGATAAAGCTCTCATTCTGAATATCTTCCAGGAAGCAGTAATCCAGATCAGAGTTCTGGAGGTCATCTGTAATGTTGCCATAATCACCCCTGAGCACCTTTGTCTCCCAGAAGTCCATCAGGTCTTCCTCCAGCTTATGGATAATCACAACAATCTTTTCTACTGAAATATTGTCCTCTCAATACAGGAGCTCTCTGAACTTGGCTCTATCTGCCCACTAGATTTGGAGAATATAGTAATTACAAGTAATAACAGCAAGAAGCTATATGGCAACAGCTTCTAACAGGTAGCTTCTTGATTTCTGCCCAGGTGGTTAGATACCATGGCTCTGATCTCTTTGAGAACTGTTATTCTAATGCACTACTGCAAGTGAGCTAGGGTTTGGGTGATATTAGCAAGTGCAGTGAAAATGGTGAAAAGCAGAGCTACCACCAGTCTTTCATTTGTGCCCAGAGTTGCATTGTCTTTGCTTTCAAACCACTTGTAAGTCCAGAAAAAGTAAAAATACAAGTAAAATAACAAAGAAAGTGTTTTATGGCTGGCAGAAGAGCACAAAGCATTTTTTAACTTGGCCAAAGTGGTATGAATATGATCAGGTAAGGGGAATATGTAGTTTAAACTTTGTGCCTTGATGTGCATAGAGGCAAGAGTAAGAGCATTGAGGACATTTCTTAAAACTAGACTTTTCCTACAAGCTGTTGAGCATCTGGTCAATTCTACACTTTTGGCTGGTACAGGCACCACCTAGTGTCACCCCACACCATGTTCTGACAGGTGATTGTTTGTGTGGGACCACCCACCTACCCAGATAGACTGGTCATGTTGAGTCACATTGATATTAACATCCATTACAAAAGCTTTATTTGCTGTGTTAAATTCAAACTCTGCCAAATCACTGAAATTTTTGAGTGACTTACACAGCTAACCTCTGGCAAAACTTGTGGTTGGCCAGTCTCAGCTTGGTTTGCTGGATGGTGTTCTCCCAGTGGCACCTGTGGATGGCTGGTGGAGCTTGATTGAAGTGGTTTATTCTGTGTATAATGCTATATACTGACATTCCCTATGAGAATGTACACCACTGTAATGAAGCAAAACTGAGCACAACCAGAATGCACCAGCTCTCAATATTCTGGACCAATGACACAGTGTTTAATCTTATAGCTGCTATATCAACAAATCCAATTTGGTGATAATGCCCTGAGTTTTTTAGGGTTCAACTACTGCCAATGTCCTGTCCAATATGGTCTTATTACCAGTATTGGCTCCCATGTAAGTTGTACAGTCTGATGGTGGTTAATCTTAGGCTTTGAAATCAACTGATGCTTGTATGGTAGGGGATCCATTCAGGTTGACACTTCATAGATTTTTTCCAGTGTTAGATTAGGTCTTGGGGCTTCAAACATCATTTAAAGTACTAGCTCCTGCAAGAGAATATTCCAGGAGTTACAAAAACTTGTTTAGGGTATGTATAAGTGAATTTGAACTGAGGGGCATAAATGGGTGAAAAAAAGAAATGTAAAGGTTGACTGAGGATTACATGGGTGGACTGTGAGTTGCACAACTGAGCCAGAAGGTACATGGGTGGATGAAGGAATCACCAATCCCTTTGGCAGAAATGTTTTTACTAATCAATATTCTATTGGAAGTTTAACAGAAAATTGCTTATTATAATAGCTCCATTGTACCTATAAAGTTTTGTTGAAAGTCTCTTAAGTCTCCTGTGGCTGCTCACGTGCTCCACATCTAGTATTAATGTATTCTCAGTCAAAGATTGTAATTTGTGTCTGATCCATATATCCAGCATGTCTAAGGATATATGCCCAGTATGTTCTGATTATAACAGAAAGCAACAAACCAGAGTCATTGCAGTTGTGATTGCTTAGCTTGTGAAATTATTCAAGATTGAGCTTGTCAATGAGACTGGGATGCTGTTGAATCCAATGTCCTGTCTGCTCTGTTTTCTGAATCCCACTTGTCATTGGCTGTTATCCCAATGTTTCTATCATACTAGAGTGGCAACAGAGCATGAGTTTGCATGCATTGATACCTTCTGTATACTCAGCATGTAGGCAGAATATTCCTATCACATCTGTGTGAATGTAACTATTGCTAATGTTCTCTTGTCACCATGTTTTGTGTTACAATATGATGTTTATATCACCTTCAACAACCAACCACACTCTTCATTACCATCAAAATATAACAAGCATGATATATGATTGAGTTGGACATTAAAGTATAACCTGTAAATAGTGACTTATTGTGTTTGCACTATCTTCATATTATCTTCACAATCAATAAGTTGGTCAATGAGCAGATCCAGGCTTGTGCAGAGGATGTTGTATGTGTGTTAATTAAATTTTGCTTGCATTGTGCTGTTTCATGTGTGATCTTATTGTATCTGAGTTTTTTTGTAATATATATTCCTGTTGTAGCTAGTTATCTTCACGTGATTGACCTTTGTGCATCCTCCTCTCACCTAGGACAAACATGCTGTGCATTGTTGCAAGCCTGTATTTCTACAATAAGTTCTTTGAAGCATATCTTATTCATAACTCAGCAAATGCACCAAGTGGCTGGTTTTTAGTCAAAATAGGAAATATTGGTCTTATATTGACTATGAAGTTTATTGAAGTCTTCTAAAGCTGTGTAATAATGAAAACAACCAGAAATCCATTCATTCAATCAAAATCTTGCAATGGCCCCATCAAAGACAGCCGAGTGAGGACCCTGAGCAATACTTGCCAAATTCAGCCACATGAGCACAGCAACCCAGGCAGAACCTCCACATTGTCAACTCGCCTGGTGCCAGTAGTCCTGAGCCAGCTCCAGTTTGCACTGCCACCCCCATGTAGCCTTCTGCATTCATATGCAAATCACTGTAAGTCACACATGTTGTATGGAGGAGAACCTGCATCTCCATTGCGGAACTATGTTCATTTGGAACAGGTGCACAGCAGACATCCTGAACAGAGAGCAGGGCATGAGCATGCAAGTGTGTTCAAAGTTAGACATGTTGTACAGAGGGGGACCTGTATCTCCAGTGCTGATATATGTTCATTCAGACTGGGTGCACAGTGGGAGTCCTGGATAGACAAGTCGGTATGGACCCTGAGGTATGTCCAGTTGTACATGCTGTGTAGCAAGTGTCCTCGACAAACAGCCTGCCACCAGTCTGGAAGGCCATTTGGTCTGACCTGCTGCACAGTGGGCATCATGGACAGATAGTCCATAGGTGGTGTTTGGTGCCAAAATTCAGACCCTGCTTGCTGGCTGAAAAAATGTGAACCCAAGATGAACCCTGCAGGTGCAGAAATTGGTCTCATAACCCTAAATGTAGTGAGGTTGACCATGAAATAGTGGCAGGTAGTCAGTGGTCTGGCACCAGGTCTCCATTGATTTGTAGTTAATCTTGAAGAACCAGAACTTGTTGATCTGACCAATGTAAGCATGAAGTACGTTAGCAGGAACAAAGAGCACAAACCAATTGAGTCTGATTGATAGTTTTCCACTAGGTACAATGGGCTTTATATGCCTCCATGCTAGAAATATTTGGAAGGGTGAGATTTGTGAATATCTGATGTGCATGCTGCAGTTGCTGCAGTGCTATGTCACCAGAGTACTTGGCCTGAAGTGCCTCAATGGTCATGCTAGCCTGAGGTGTCCCTAGATAAAATTTATCAACACAGCTTGTGAATGAGCTATACTTGGCCTTTCATTGCTGTTGACCAAGTTATTGCATTGTGATGTATTAGCTTTGTACTCTATGACCCATCCAAGAATGAGGTCAACAGCCAAACAATGCTGGTTGACTCTCATGATCTAGGAAAAGAACACACAGATACATAATAACTTCAGTATCAAATATATCTGTAGATTTATTATCACACCTGGTCTGCAATCCCTTTTCCATTATTACAACCATATGCAGCTTTCAGGAGTGCATGGACCCCTTTGTTGGTCCAGGTACTGTAGTTACAAGTTGCACCCTTGTTCTGAATGTCCTCAAATACATGCTTGAAATAATGTGATTTGGAAAAGTTCCAGTCCTTCTTGAGAATGGGAATCATTGACTTATCAGAGATATCAATGTATTCCTAGGGACAGGGTGAAGATCATCAGAATAGCAGCATCAGCTTCCAAAATACTCACCTCAAGCAGGTTGTTGAACCTTGCAAACTCTTCCTTGCTGGCCTTGATTGTATCTTTCATGTGTATGCCTAGGCCAATATAACAATTGACCTCTAGATAGCTTTGTATTAGCCAAAAAAGTGCATATCCTTCAGGGGACATCCTTGGTGTCAGGAGGTTATGTGCTGCAAATAGGATTTGCTGTGGATAAGCTGAATTAGCTGAAAATTTTGCAGCAACATGATTGAGGTCTGACCTTAGACATGTTGAAGAGCTTATTGCCATCAGAGAAGCTTGTATCAATGGCAGAATCAAAGTGATTCAGGTTTTGCCAACATGGAATTTGATCAAATCTAAACAAAGAAGTGACCATTAGGGCTTGCTAATTGAGGTTACAGTCAAAGTTCACTGATTGTCAAGTTTTCCCATTGTTCCCTCAACATTGCTTGCACTAACATATTTGATGATCTTCTGGAGTTCAGGGAGGAAATGCCAACCAAACAGACCACTATGGCAGAAGTGCAGATGGTCAAATGATAATGCATCATGTATATCCAAGTGTTTGATATCATAAAATACATTCTATACAGATTGAACTTTGCAATCTCAAGAAGCAGGATTTGAGACTTACCTCTCCCCTATGTAATCCATACTCCTTTAACTCCTTCTCACCAGCATTCTTACTAACAGTCTTGTAGGTTTGCATGGCCTTGTGTCCTTGCTGTGCTGTGCCTGAGTTGTGTAGGTTGCCCTTGGGAATAAGACAGATGAGGCGGGGACACTTTCCTTTGGACCCTCATATAAGAGACATAACACACCTGTAATAGAAGATAGGAGTAAATCAATATGATAGGAGGGAAATGGGGCTCACTGTTCCTCGTAGTTGGCCAAAAGCATAAGAATTACTGGGAAGAGCACACAATTGATCTCATTGTAGCAATGATGAAGAATCCCAACATCTGAATATGTTTGAATGTTGGTCAAGAACATCTTGAATGCCTCATGTCAGAAAGTCCGCTTGAAGTCAGTGTGAGACTTTTCCCCCTGCTTCTCAGGGCCATTCTTTAGCTAATTAAAATTTGTATAATGTACCATTGCATTGGAAAATCTTCTGGGCATCCCATTCAAAGTGTGGAGCCAGTAAGTTGTTGTCAAGCACCTCTGTCACGCAAGTCCAGAGGTTGTACTTGTGTACCTCCACCAGTATCACCATCTTCTTGTAAGGGACATTGATTGTACATTGTTCTATCTGAGATAATAATCAGAATAAAAAATACAGGAGTTGATATTGAACTCCACTCCAAGATATGTCACATAACTGACAGGAGTCAGTGCTTCGGCCCCCTTGTCACACGTTGAGTGCATGTTAACGTCATTTGTAAATGACACTTTTGCATCTCCTGCTTTAACACTGCACAAGAGGCAGAGAAAACACTTGACAGCATTTTTTGTGAGATCTGCATCTATAGCAATAGATGCAAACTGACAGTTGGTGCAAGTCTTGAAAGGTCACCTGGGCTACTGTACATCACCATTGGAGGTGGGTGGAGGATTCTGAGTGTTGTGGAACTTATTCCATCACTTGGACTTCTCCAGGCACCCACTGCAAAAGTGGTACTCCATTTTGAACTGCTAATTGGCAGTTACAGATGAAGCAGGTGGGTGAGATGCAGAGTAGTTGATGCTCTGCATGCTCGTGTCAGACTCAGGTCCTAGTAGTGTACAATCATAAGTTACTTCAATGAAAGAATGAAATATGAGACTCACAAGCTCTCCCAGTATCACCTATATCAACACTTGCTGAGGGGCTGTAGCTTTTGTCAAAGTTGTTATGCGTGGGCAGGTGGTTGTCATGATTGTAACAGGCTGACAAATAGTTAGTAATGTATGGGCACTGATATAGAGAAAAAACATATGGAAAGCATTGCTCTTGGGTGCTTCTGCTATTTGAGGTAGCACCTTGGGCTGATGTGCATGGATAGAGATCAAGGGTGCAATAGCACTCTGAAAATGCTAGTGCCAGTCCAGTGTGTTACCTCCAATAGACTATGCTGCAGACAAGCATTCCGTCTGCAGCTGAAGGAGGCAGACTAAATGATAACAAGTGTCAAAGTGCTGACGCAAAAATAACAAAATGTGGGGGATGTGGAGGATACAGGTAACTGATGGCTATCATGTACCCTGCTCCTCTAACTGTGTATGTCTCTTGGATATAGTATTGAGGCACTTGCTTTCTTGTTGTTTCCTTGTGCAGCTCTCTTCATGCATACACAAACCATTGGGAAGGAGTCTTTGGCCGCAACCATACTGGCATAGAATCTTGCCATCTGAGTCAATGGCACTGACTTGGGGATTTTGCTTCTTGTCAATTCTTGATGCTGCCCTCGGCATCTTTAGGTTAGGCAGGTGATGTAATGGAAAATGACAATGAGTTAGGGTGTTGGAGGATGGTGTGGTGAAGTGAGCAATGATTGATCATTGAGGGATCTTAGCTAGTTTAAACTAAGGGCAGGGGCTGTAGCCAGCATTGTCAGATTAGATAGGATGACATGCATTGGCATGTCATCCTATTAAGTCTGCATTTCAATGCAGTTCAACACTTGAACTGGGGATGGGAACAGCAAGTCACACATGCCAATGCATTCACATAACAGCTCACTCATTGGCCACGCATGCTGCGCATCTCCCTGCATCCAGACGTCAAGGGCCCAATCACTGATGTGTTGCAATGGTGTTTTCATGTCATCTGAACAGTATTGCATTGGGGGAGGTGGATGATGGTCACCGAGGGGTATGTTCTGTAGCTAGATGAGGAGGCCATGGTCCTGAATTGGGCCAAAATATCAGTTGCGCCCTCCGTGAATAAAAATTGTATAAAACTTACAAGCAAAGGTGAGCTGGAGCCCCTCCTTTGGCAGGAGATTCTTGACTGAGTGGTACATGTATAGATTAAGGACATCACTGAGAGCCTTGCATAAAAGTGTTCCAAATCCTGAAGACACAACCAATTGGCAACACTGCCCCTGTCCATATAGCAACCCTTACAATGACAGCACATTGTATAGAGGTCATGCCAACACTGTATTCACCCAGGCTCAACGTGTTCGCAGAGCATGCTTGATGCTAACAGTATTATAGTAAGGGCTTTGCTGGTGGGAAATAACATATACACAGCCTTGTTGTGCATAGAGTGTTGCTAGACGCCAAGTCTAGGACAATGGCATTGTGAAGAAGCCATTATGCAGTGGCGCGTAGCCTGCCTGCGGGGGTAGTGAGCCTGAAGTGCTTGAATGGAGGGAGGGGGGGCATGAGCCAAATGTAGAGGCAAAGAGAGGGGGGTGCTTACCTTACATTCTTCCCCCAACCATCCTCTGCTGCACGTCATCTCTGGCTTGGTGGACAATGGGGTAAGGGTCAGGAGGTGGGGTGGGTGGGCTTTTGAGGGCCAATGGCGGTGCTTGTGGAGGTGGCAGCAGTGGCAAATGTTGCGGGCAAACAACGTTGGATGGGGATCAGGCACAGTGGGCAGGGATCAGATGGGAGAGGAGGGGGGGAGAGGAGGGGGGGGAGGAGGGTGGGAAGGCACACAAGATGAGGAGGAAGAGGAGGGAGGAAAAACAAAGGAAGGGAGGGATGGGCGATGGCTCGAGTGAAGGCAATTGGAGTGGAGCTTGAATTTGATAATTCTGCTGAAATTACCAAGCTCAGGGTTAGAGGCGCTTGGAGGAGTTGTCCTGGAACCACTATAAATGATAAGTGACTGTATGCTGACTTTGAACTTACAGATCCTGCATGCCACATTTTTAGTCAGAGATTGAAATGCTGGATGACACACCTTGTGCACCTTGTCTTTGCTTGTTGTGTCACCGTTCCCTTCCATCCCCCTCATTGATGCCTCCCCCCTTCTGTCTTGCATCCATCCCCCTTGTCTCTCTCATCTGCCACTGCCACTGCCACTCGCACCCCATCCGTTGCTGCTGCTCTCCTCAAGACATACCTGGTATGTTCCCCCCCACCTCTCTCAGCTCCCACAGACAGGCTTTGTGCCACTGCAGATGGATGTCTACACAACACTGTCATGGCCTAGACTTGGCATCTAGTAGTATGGCTGAACATTGGCGACCCCACCCCCTGCCATTGTGCTGATGCATGCTGTTGAACCTGCGTATGTAAGCCTTGTATATGTGTCTGGGACCTTCTGAACAACATGCGCAGTCCGTAGGGTCTTTGGGCATTGTTGTTGTGGTGCCAGCTATGCTATGGCCAGAGTGACCTTTATGTTTTAGAACATTTTTACTATACCCTTTACTTTACTTTTTTCTTGCTTTGCTCACATTCCCCCGTCAAGACTGAGTTGCTCAAGTCTGCGTCAAGTCATTGCAGGTCCTCTGGTTGTACTCCTCACTCCCTTTGCCTGGTAAGTATTCTATTTGATTCTAATTCACTCTCATTGCTCATTCATTCATAGGTCACACCATACAAAAAAACAACTTCAGCAAGCTGACCAGTGTTTAAGAGGTCCACTATACATTGACCCCACTGTGTTCAATCCTTGTTGTTGGAAGGTGCATTGATGACCAGATCACGGTATGTCAAACTTGATTTTACTTTGTTATTGTCTAGCCTAATATATGTACAGACAACTGGAACACCTACAATACTCACACCTTGGGTGTTGATGGGTTCAAGTGGCTCATTTTGTCCTCTAACTTATCCTTTGTCTGTGAATATTGTAACACCTTGCAAGAACTTTGCGCTTGGAAGGACAGACACCTTGGTCCCATCAATCCCTTCCAGTGGCCAACACTCTTTCAACCCTCCATGCCTTGGGTCACACTCTATCCCCATTGTTCCTATTTTGAAGCTGACCCCATCATGAGCTTCTGCTGGTGGACCCCCTGCTGACATGGATGTTGTCTGGAAGGACACCACCACTCATACCACAGGTTTACTCAACGATACCGGCTTTTTGCATATGCAGGCTCTGATGACAACTGCCCGCACCTGCAAGACCAACTTCCACTCCACAAGCACCAGGGAGAACAACCATTTGTGGCTGCAGCGTGCCATCTGTTGCCTCCAAGACATTCTCGACCGTTTCTGCTGTTTCCCCTCCAGTCTCCACTCCATCATCCTCGACGTCACAGACTTTCAGCACAGGGTTATGGACATTTGGGCACTTATGGAGTGGTGGCTCTGCATGAAGAACAGGTTCTACTCCCACAATTGGACCAAGGTCAAAGGCCTCAAGAAGGAGGATGGTATTGTTTGTGTCTTGCCCATGTACATGGGCTGCTTCTTGACAGAGCCCTTTGACGCTGAGGACCTCTACACTGCCAGTATCCCCATCTGAATTTCACATTCCCAAATCCAGCGGCCTGATAGCTCTAACTCCATCTCTCTCGTCAACATCAACCACCCTTGCATTATCATCAAAGGCTACCATGAGAATAGTGTTGACATGCAGTACCCCTTTCTACATACTGGCCCCCCTCCCTCTTTTGCATTGTTGTTGCCCGCTTTAGCTACGGTCACAGCCATGAAGACCCAGAGTCGTTCAAGATTCACGGCATATCTGCCAATGACCTTGGTCTGGGTCTCCAGAATCTCCTCAAGCAAGGAGCATTATCAGTTTGGTTCTTGAATTATGAGGCCGGGCCCTCTACCAGACCATCTTGTCCAAAGCCTTCAAAATCCAAGCGCTCAATACCCTGTAAGTCTATTCTCATTTAAAATCAACTACTTTTGTTCTAATAATCATCTCAGATACCCACCCCTCCACTGGTCCCAAGAGGGAGCAGTGCGACAAGCGGACCAATTTGATTCACAAGTTCTGGCCTGACAGATTTGATGCTTGGAGGGTTGCGTTGAAAGAAGTTGACAAGTCCTTCTCCTGCGTTTGCAACGTTGCCATGAACAGCGGCTATTTTTTCCCCGAGCCTGCCCTATTCTGTGGGGTGACCAACTTCTCTTGCCTTGCATGTTATGTCAAGAATTGGCTAGCAAACTGCAAGCCGTGGATCAATTATGTCCGCACCAGCCCTCCTGAGCTCCCGCCTAAGGGGCAGAACTGGCAGAATTCCCTCAACGGCGCTATCTGGGTCTGCACCCTTGACAACAACGGCTCTGGTAGCGAGCGCAACAAGGCCTGCATGCTTTGGTTCCTCCATCCCATCCTTCACATTGCTCAAGAAAATTGTGAAGTCCCCTCCATCGTTGTTTGTGGCACAGCAATCACCTGCGAGCAGATGTAGAAGTCTGAGCCTGTGCACATATGACAGCTTCTGTGGGACCTCTTCAATCTCAGCTTTGCTGCTGAGTTTGTTGTTGTCAATCAGCTCATCAAGCCTACATTGTGGACTCGTGAGATAGCTGCTGTATGTTGTGGGGTTTTTGCTCTTGCGCTCCCCTCTCATTTTGGGGTATGCCCCAATACATGGCCTTCATTGGAGCTGTGCTCCTTCAATGGAACTCTGGACAATGTCCCTGCTGTTGTTGATGCCATCCATGACATTGTTCGGGCCTGGCCAGGGTCACCCAACAGCCTCAATGTATATATGAAGGACAATCATTTACCCATTGGTGGTTTGACTGACCAGGGCCGCTCGCATTTGTTTCACTTGTGCATTGCAATCACCAAGATCTATGCCCAAGTGTTTTTCAACCAGTTTGGTCATCCACCAGTGCTGCTGCACTGTTTCCCAGAAGCTGTTGATGGATCAGTGCAGGGTTAAGGTAGGCATTGGTGTCAGAGCTGACATTGTACTTAAATCTTTTCTTTGAGTTTTGTTGCATGTACACAATTCACACAGACACTATACTTAGATTTCATTTTGCTTTGTTTCTGTTGCAATAATAACATGAATGACACTTATCATTCTGTCTTAGTTAATGCCTGAGGTTCCAAAGTGCCAAAGAAAGATGAAGATGACACTGCAGACTATGTAGCTATATGCAAATGTTGCATGACTTAGCTCAATCATAGGAAGGTGCAGATATTCTTCGAACTCTATCTCAACAGCATCTGAGGCCACCATTTCTCAACCATCAGTCCCTGCAACTCTGTCTACTACTTTTGCAAGAACAATACCTTGCCCCCCATCTGTACACCATGATTTAAATGACAATGATGGTTACAATGATATTGAGCCATCATTACCACAGCCTTCCAACACAATGGTTGTGTCTGTCAGCTCACCATGTTGCCGCACTTATGTGTCTGGTCATACAAAGCATGCCAACCAGTGGCATGCATGGACTACTCTCTTGCCATCACTTATTGAACTTTATTGTCACCACCTTCATGATACAGAAAACCTCTGCGCTCCCTCCAACTTGGGTCAGCTGAAGTCATCATGTTAATACACTCGTGATTGTGTACTTACCATCACTTGTGTCTTTTTTGATGGTAATCTGTTATGTGTTATTATTAAGGCTGACCCTTGTAGCCCTCAAAGTGATTGAAGTGGATACGTGCCCATGTGTTGGTGCTGCTCAGCGCTTACTTAGAGCTGGCCTTTTCCCATGTGCCCCTTCCTCTCCTACCCTTGCTGTTGATCTTTGTGTTCTCCAGTTCATTGAAATGCTTGCATTGCACACTGCCCCCAATGTCTCAGCACAGACAGACACTCTGGAAGCATACTTGTATGGTATGGGCTATAAACTTCCAATGAAAGTGAGCCTCTGTTGTTGCCATGATAATCTTTATTAATAGAATATAGGATTGATTACGCCACAGGTTTCAGTGCAGCTACCACTGGTATTGTGTGCTAGAACATCTTTTTCAAGAGCACCTGAACAATTTTGTTGATGGCCAGTGTTAGGACTCAGAGCCTGATCAGCCTAGCCTCTATCTTCAAGAATGTTGTCCACTCTGCTTTGGTGGTGATGATTGGCATGCTGGCAGAGGAGCTGCAGACCTGCATGCCTCTATCATCACTTTTTTTTTAGTCCTGATTGCATTGTGTGCATAGATGCCTATTTTACTCAAAAGCAGTCTAATGTGCATCATGAGTCCAACATCCATGACCCACTCAATCCCGCCCACTCTGTCTTCATTGATGAGACAACTGCTGATGCAAAGTGCAAAAGACAGCAAGGTCGCCCGCATGGTGCAAACCAGGATGACTCTGTGGAGCCTGGTATGCACATTCCCACTTCTGTCCTTGATGGATGTGGGGAGAACTTTGTTGCTGCAGATTAATAAAGGCAAAAAGCTAGCACTTGCTTTTTCTCTGATACTGGCCTGATGGCCTTGATGTGTCAACATGATATGACTTCTCCTGGTGAGAAGCAGTACTATGCCTTGGCCCTCATCAACCAGTTGTTCTATCATATTCCCAAGGAGATGCGTGTTGGCATACTTTATGACATTGGATGCTAGCTGGAGCAAAGTTGTCACAAGTGGAACTTGCTTCCCAGTCTTCTCAATCACATCATCTTTGGCATATCAGTCTTTCATGCATATGGTTATCAGTAGGCTTGCCAAGTTGTTTATCACCCCTGTAAATGCATAGCCTTTGGGTTGTCAGATGGAGAAGGTTGTGAACACCTTTGGAGTGCCCTCAAACTTCTCATTGTGAGGGTTATGGTCACTCACACGTATATGAATACACTTATAATACGGTCTCTTATATTTAGCTCAAGTACTCTCATGCATGGACTAACTACAATACCACAGACTTTGTTATTTAGTTACATACTTTGTTACTAGCTGAAACATTACAGACTTAGAGATTCTGAAAAGACAATTGCTTACATAATCATCCATGTGGCCTTACAGCTATGTTGTCTCCTTTGTCGTCTCTTTGTAGTTTCAGCACCAGTGCTCAGGCTCTGTACCTTTGTTCACTTGTCATTGACCTCTTGTCTCACTTCACATTGTTCTCAACTCAACCTTGCCTGTCACACTCATCCCTTCGCTTTGTGTCTCAGGTGTAAGTTTTTTCATCTCCACTGGTTGATGTATGCATACTGATTACTGTAGAGTTCCACCAGAGGCTTTTTACACTTGATATTCAGATCAACTACCTGGATGAAAGATCTCTGGACAGCTATGGGTTGTGGCTCTTACATTGCTGAACAGCTGCACAAAAGCAACTATCCTCTGCTCGTAATGTACTAGACACAACTGATCTTCCTGCCAAAACACTTAGGTCAGAATGGCATGATCAAGTGCAAGTTCAAACCAAGCCACTTCCTTGTGAGTTTCATGTCTCTGACTGTGCCATGTAATTAACCATCACATTATTAGGGCAAACTCCTGGTCAGGCTCACCAGGACTTTGCTTGAATCATTACTTTGGAAGACACATTACAACAATCAAGGGAAACTCTTTGCCATAGCGAGAACAGGCTTGCCAATCCAACCCATATTCTTGTGGTTGATGCTGACCTTGATATGGATGTTATGCGCAACCATATTAAATCACTTGAGAATGCCCTTAAACGCCAGAAGTCTGCACTGGGTATTGATGGTCAACGCAAGCTCAGCAAGCTGCAAGGCAGTCTCTTCTTACTCACCCAGATGAAAGCTCTTGCAGTCAAGACTCACTTGCGTGACAAGCTTTGTCATCACAAGTTTGAACTGGCAAAATTGGAGCATGCATATTGTTAGTCAGTCAATGGTGGGCTTTTCATATCTTTTCATCCTTCATAAATAAGTGACTGTTTTTATAGAGCATCACCTCAATGAGCACACCAGCCAGTCTGTGAAGTGTTGGGAGCCAACTATCACTGCACTTGTTCAGAAGTACGACACACTGTGTCAAGAGCTTGAACTCATAAAGCATCAAGGTAATGCACCACAAGATGCTGTGCTCCCACATCATATCAATAAGGAAGGTATTTTTGACTTTGATGTTGATGATGGTATATGGGAGGATGTTGGCCTGTATGAGGATGTGCCACATCCACCAGATTGGCTGGCTAATAATTTTGTCTATGATGGCATTCACCACCTCCTCATCTGTGATTGTTGCAAAGAAGAAACTCAGCAACTATCTATTGAGCAAGGCCATCTTCAAGAATGGGCAAGATCTACTTGGAATGGTCTTGAAAAGGCTGTAAAAACTGCAGGTATGTGTTATTACTGAGTTTAGATAATCATTCTCATTTCTGTAGATAATGCTATTTCTTATCATTTAATGTGACACATCTTATCTTATAATATAGCACTGGCTTGGTTTATTGCCAATATCATTGTTGTCCAAGAAGTAAAGAACATAAGCATACTATAGTAGTTTAACCAACAACACTGTAGTAGTCTAATGAAAGCACCTAAAGATACTCTACAACAAGAATACTACAAGAGAGTATACATTCTTGAACTATTTGATTTCCAATTACCATCACAGGAATATACCTGAGGGATAGATGGTGATCTATATTCACCACAAATACATGCCACTGCACTGCCTATTTTTACAATAGACAATATTTGTGATTACTGGATTATCTCATATATACATGGTATTTCCAGCAAAGTCCACAATGATACCATGTACCAATGTGGTAGTACCCCCGGCAATACAACAAGAAAATAGAATATATCCTGGACTATATATATGCTTTTGGACTGTTCCATACTGATGCAATGTTTCTAATGTGTTATTTTCTATATCCAATACGATCAACACTATACCACAGGTAGTACCAAAATACAATAAGCTCTACCATAAACTAGGTTTACACATTTTATGTACCAATGGTATTTCCAGTGCAGTGTCTTTTACACCACATGCTACTTTGATTATACCACTGGCAATACTAGAAAACAATGGATGCTACCATGGATTGGATTTTTGTTTCCTGGATTATTGGTTGACAAGTGGTAATCCCAGTGTAGCATTTTTATACAATGTGTCAGCATGGTTTTACCAGGAGCAATGCTGGGGGAAACAATGTTCTAACACAGACTAAAGATGTCCTTCCTGAATTATTCTGGGCACCAATGGTATTTTCCCAGGAATATATTACAGTCATGCACCACATTGATTATACCACTGGTCTTCCTGAAATACACTATGTTCTACCATAGACTGGATCCTTGCTTTCTGGATTATTCTGTATTATGTAGGTATCTTCTATGCAGTGGATTTTATACCATACATCAAGTTGGTTATACCAATGGCCTTCCCAAAACAAGGCATATTCTGCCATCAACTATTTTCCTTTTTCCTGGATTACTGGTGCACCAGTGGTATTTCTCCAAAAATCTTTTCTAAACTGCACACTATTTTGATTATACCACTGGCAGTATGCAATCAAAATAGAATCTACCATGGACTAGATCTTTGGTTTTTAGATTGTTTGTTGATCACCAGTTAGCACTTTCAACCCCAGATAGTGTCATGGTTATACCAGTGGTCATATTATAAGAAACTGAATTCTTCCATAGTATTGTCCAAAACAACATATCTGGCTGTAGTTGTTTCCATAATATTACCCATATGTTTGTCTTTCCATCAGCAGTTATTTACTACCAAATGCCATTAAAACAACATAGCAGTCATGTCAATAGCTCCTTATTGTTTCCATGGTCATTAATGTGGACTTTTGTTCCATGTTTGAAGAGCTATATAATGCTCCTGGTATTGGAGAAAATGCCTAAAGACTTTTATCAAAGCTACTCAAATTTTAAATTTTCACTGGTGTAGAGGTTGAACAATGCCAAGCACATATACTGTAGTATAAACTACCTTTTTGGATAATTCCATGAGATATACCAAGATAAAACAATGTCATCTAAATACTTTTTTTAGAGTAGACAGGTTGATAAAACAGTTTGGATGGTATTTGGTTGGATATATAAATTCATTGTGGTACTACCTTTTCTAGTATCATTGTGTTACCATTTATTCTCATTGATGGTATTCCACAAAAGCCCAGGACCCCTGGCACCTGGAAACTTCTACAACCACCTTGACTCTAATTCCACAGCCAAGGATCAGTACCAGAAAATGTTGGTGATACCATGATTTAGGGGCCTAGTAGGATAGTATTTTGTGCCAATAATCAGCCTATTGAACCACCATTTTGGGGGTGACTGAAGTGGCGCTGTTGCCTCAGTATGCTCTTGTTTGTTTGCAAAGCTGTCTCCATGGAGCAGAGGGAGTTTGACAAGTAGGAACAGAGGGGCACATGGGGGGTAAAAAAAAGTAGAGGGAGAGGTAAAAAAAAATGCACCAAGCAGTAACATTTTAGATTCTTTACGAGATTTGCACGAGTCCTCCTCAATCTGGCGGTTGATCTTGTTGAACTTGGCATTCTCAATGCAGTCTTGAGAAGAGCCTGAGATACAATTGCCTATAGTAGGCAGTAGTGTTAGCAAACACGGCAGGTGGAGGCCAAAGTATGAATAGAGGAGAGGGTGGGGGAGGAAGACTGCAAGACTAGACTGGCAATAACAGGAGTAAAACTAAGATGGGGCTGTCACAACAGGAATAAGCAAAGGTGTGAGTGCTTGTGTATGTGCAACATAGCAACTGATATGGCTGCATAGCCATGCAGATCATATGTGACAAGTCAGCTGCCAATTGAGGCCAGCCAATCAAGTATATCCTTCTTATCTTCAGCCTTACTGGTGTCTTACAACACCAACAAGCCCTCATACAACAACATCATGGACACCACCAAGCTGTCCTACCTCAACGCTGTCACACACAAGGCCCTGCACCTTCACCCCAACACAACCAAGCTTGACCGTGTCATATGTGTTTCCTCACCCCTTCCCCAGCCATAATTGTTGTCCCTGACCTCTGTGATCATGCTGCCCCAGGTCACCATAGACAACACAATCCCCTTCCCCACATCCATCACCAACGTGCACAGGTGCACAACCCACCACATTGCCATGTCCTTTGGCACCCTTGTTGTGGTCCTCATTGCAGCTGTGAATCACTTGCCAGCATTCTGGAACCCAGCCACTGTATTTTCCACCCGGTGTGGTGGCTCAAGGGCGTGGCGGAGGCGGGTGACATGAAAGAGCTAGTTGAGCACCAGCATCTGCTGATGTTCACAAGTGGGCCAAGGATGTGTATTGGGAAGATATTTGTACTAACTGAGTTTAAGGTGCGTTTCTAGACAGAAGAAGGTGCTCAGCCCAGCATTCACCAATGCTGCTATTAGGTCACTCAATCCTATATTCTACAACTGCACTTACAAGGTATGGTCACCATCTCACTGTTTACTATAGAAACAGTCATATTAAATCATGTCCATGTCGTGCAAGGACACATGAGAGAATGGAGAAGTGTTGATTGAAGTCCAAGGTTGGTACAATCATACTGTCAACTGCTGACCTTGACATATGCTGAACTGATCACAGACTAATGCACAGGATGAATAATATCTGGTGAGTGTTCAAACTTTACTTGCCCTAGACACATACATTCAACTTGACGCTATTGGCCTTGCTGGTTTCTTGCACAACTTTAACACACTCGGTGGAGATCATGCTGACGCAGCGGACACATTTGATGCCACTGGCGCAAATGCCCCAGTGTTGTTCACAAATGTGCTTCCATTGCTGCTGCTTGTTTTCCCATGGCTCAATAAGCTGCCAAGTCTGAACAAAAAATGGATGAACTAGTTCAATAATGCAATAAATGATCACTCAGAGCATGTTTGAAAGAAGCTGAAGGATGAGGGCACTGGAGACTTTTTGGAGAAGTCTATTGTTGAGAGGTTGTATGAGTAATAAGGTTTGATGTCTTTAGTCTTTGGGCTCACTCCTCACTTGAGGTTTGAACAGTGCAAGTGGAGTTGTCTGACACATTTTTTTTTCTGCCCCCCTACAGGAGTTTGGCAGTACAGGTTTTGGTCTATCCACCTCAAATTGGCTTGTCAAACTGATGCAAGGCAACATGTGGGTCAAGTTGGAAGTGTCAAAAGGTTCCAAGTTCTTCTTCACCATCATCTCCCAGATCAACCAGAGCACGATGAAGGCAACACTCATCAAGATGCAGCCATTCCAGAAGCGCTCAATCTTTTTTTTTTGATGCACTTGGTGACACCACTGGTGTTGTGCACCACATTCAAAACTCAGCATGCTGTCATATAGCGTGGGCGGGGTCAGCAAGGTCAGCAACAAGGACTGGTACCCACAGGTTAATACTATTATTGTGGATTCATTGATGATGGTGACTCAGTCTGGTGCTCTAGCTTGTTTAACACAAGACTCTGGACACAAAATCAGAAACAAATCTTAATCTAACCTCTATTTGGTAGGATAATCAGGTGCATGTTAAATACTAGCAAGGAGTATTATTAAGTGTTGGTGATGCAAACTTTGTGCACACTAAATCTGAGTGGCACTTCATTGGTCCCTTGCCTGTGCTGTTGGTTATACTATGGTGACAATAAAGCCACTGCAACCCTCAGGAGGCAACCCAGGAGATCAGGTGCAATATGGAATTAGGGTGCACATAGTTGGTTGAAAGGTAGCTAAGGCTTCTGGCAGAAGTCTGCAGCACCTCCACTCTTGCATGCCCTTCTGCAGGGGGAACCAACTAGACTCAAGTCAGTGAGTTTAAAGTGTGTTTAACAGGGTGCATCTTAAATTAGCATGTGAGTAACATGGTTCATTCCTTAATCAAAGTGTGGTAAAAAGAGTACTGTCAATTCTGTGCCTGCCCAGAAGTATACAGAACATTTATGCTAAGTTCCACTAGGGATACCATGTTCCAGAATATTAGCATAAGGATTTGGAAGGAGATCAGAGGGTAAGTAGTTGACTGTAGTAATGTGGATGGAGATGGGGAAAATACCAGAAAATTGGCATGAGTGTAAGTACTGTAGGCACTGGAAGGTGACAGGAGGATACCAAAGTACCAAAAAAAGATAGACTTGAATTCAGATGAACCTGCAAGTACTACTTGAAGTAGGAATATAGTAAAGACTTGGAGACAAAGGAGAGTAGAGAGAAAAAATAAGTCAATATGCATACTGAAGAATACAGGTTGAACTCTGCAAACAATTATCCTATTGTTCTGGAGTCAGAAGTAATGTATGACAAGTAAGGAATGTGAAGAAGGAATGGATAGTTAGTAAGTAAACATGAGCTAAATTGTTGGATGCATTTTCATAGTAACTACAGAATAATGTCAAAAAATGTCAAAGGTAGGTAGCAATAAGACTAGTAGAAAAGGAGGCAATAGAGACCAACACCTGTCAAACATGTAGTGAGGAATAGTAGTGAGGTGGGTGTATAGCCCAGAACATCATTGTAAGGGCTGGAGCATAACAGGTGCATCTTAAATTAAGGTGAAGCCAATAGGGTGGATTCCAATTTAACATATGGTTAGCAGGGTGCATGCCAAATTAACATGTGTCTAACAGGGTGTACCTCAAGCAAACTCATTGACTTGTGTCTAGTTGGTCTCCCCCCTGCAAAAGGGCATGCAAGAGTGGAGATGCTGCAGGCTTCTTCCAGAAGCCTTGGCTACCTTCCAACCACTAAGAGTGCTAGTTTAACTATGTGCATCCTAATTCCATGGTACACTTGATCTCCTGGATTGCCTCCTGAGAGTTGCAGTGGCTTTATTATGACCATACACTGAGTTGTGCCTGTCCTCAGCTGACCATATTCAGGCCTGGCTATTTGCAAGTAGCATATCATTAAAATAGATATTAGAGTACCTGTGCCTGCATATACAAATGTGCCATGGAATAATGCAAAATGATCCTTACATTCAAACATTAGACTAGGTGTGAATACTGTTGAAAGTATGAGTGGTACTTGACCCTTTTACTACTTCAGTTGGCTTAGCACTTAGTGTTTACACTGGCTATCACATCAGGCAATGTACCCTCTGTGGTTTTACATTGCCTTCCACACTACTATGGCACTTGATGTGTGTATACACTTAGGTGCCCATTATGCATTCATGCTTGTGTCATGGTCCACATCAATGCATGTGGCCATGTGGACTATGTGTCAGCCTCCATGCTGTGCTTGGTTTAGGGCTGGTTAGTTATGAGTGTGGTAGTCAATTCACATGTTCCTGTATCCTATATATACAAGTTGCTACCATGAATATTATCTTGTCTCTCTTACTCAAACAACTATCATTGTCAACACTTAGCTTAACAGCTTTCTACACAAGTCTTCAATCCAAAGCCCAGTGAGTCTATGTTGTATAGGTTGTTCACTACATACTTGCAATTTTCCTTTGTTAAATATATGGAGTCAACTAACACTGAAAGTGATCTGCACCTGTATTGGCCTATTGTTTCATTATTTGGTCCACTATAATATTAGATTTGCTCAGATAGAAGCATATAAAAATAGGTTATCACAATTAGATCTTCACTACATCATGTGACTAGCTGCTCCCACTCACTTGCTTGCACTGTGCCCTCTCTTTGACATGCTGCCTGTTGTTGCCATCCATAACCAAGACTCCAGGCTGCTGTTGATCCATCAAGCTTCTGGCTGCTGTCACAATGCAAAACAAGCTGCTGCCAGCTTACATGCTTGGGCCTAATCTGACCAGAAGGTCACATGATCTCTGACAAGGTCTGGACAAGATAGCTTGACAGCAAAAAATATACAGACATATGAGGACATGGGCTTCTATGTATTTCCTATTATGCATAATCAGATAAACCAGCTGTTAAACAGCTGAACAAAAAATGCATATATTTACCATTGGTCTACAAATAAAACCCAAACCTCACAGCCTCAACAAGAACAATCTTGCCAGTTCAAAATGTTTTCAGCCAGTTAGCTGAACTGTTTGAGCATATTCAAGTGCACATGAGTGCTTTAAAGGCTAGTTGAGCAGTGCCTGCAAGTAGTGAAGCAGTTGAGGACAGTCAACCAGTAGGAAGGTCTCAAAAAAAAGCTGGGCTGTAGAGGGAGGAGGCTGATGGGAGGTGCAAGGAGGAGACATTGGTACAGGAGAAGGCGTTGACAGGCTGAACAGTTGAGTATCTGACATGTCCTCACTATCAAATATATTCATAGGGCTGAAATCAACAGGGAAGAAGTCTTGGAATAAGTGATACAAGAAGCACATGGCAGGATGTTTTTGAAGTAATTTTGGCACAGAAATGAGTTCTTGGAGTGTCGTTGTGATGTATTTAAAGTAGTACTGTCCATTTTAGGGTTACTCACTCTTCTGGACATTAAAATGAATATTCACTTCACTTCAAGTAATACAAGAGAACATGCACCTGGGCAAACAAGGGCTAATTGAGCTACTCAGCATTGATTAAGGCAAAAAGTACAAGTGCACAATGGGTACTGACACTCGAGCTGGTGAAATCATGCCTTGTGGTGGCCCTGCCCATTCTTGACCATGTGGGGTGGGATGGAGCCTGCTGGGGCCAAATGACTACATGTAGTTGTGTGGATGCTGTATACAGGCATATGCATGGCAGTTGCTTGCACTGATGACATTGAGGGAGTGTAACTGCACATCCTGATGGCAGGGATTGCCTGGTTGAGGCTGCAGCTGTGAGCCATTTTGGTAGACTCAGGGATTCAGTTGCAACCTATGATAGGGGACCACTACTTGCATGTGTGGTCACACTTGCACTATACAAGGTTGTGATGGCAATGATTGCTTTACATAGTTGGGTTAACAGGGAAGTGATGGAATGGGTTAGAAGGGTACTTACCAAACTTGAAGGCATTATTATCTGGCTGGATAGTATGAAAGAGGGACTTAGATAGGGCTGCATAGAGAAATGAAGGGGAGGAGATAGTGGGAGGATACAAGAGTGAGATGGTGCTCCTTGAGTGCTGTTAAACACTTAAGTCTTGCTGTCCACTGTCAGTCTCCCACCATCCCGTAGACCCACACACAAGTAGCACCATCTAGTTTAGTACCTTGTCTCACATAGGGCAGAGCCCTCAGCAGACAATAAATGGATTTAAAAATAAAATTAAAAAAAATCTTGCTGTAGGTCCAATGCATGAGGCTCAAGTGCTCCAAGTCAGGAGAGGTCAAGCCCAGTAAGAACTGGTAGTCTAGCCAAAAATAAAAATTTCTCATGTTCTGCCAAAACTGAGTGAGATCAGGCCATATTGAGTAGCACCAAGCCAAAATGAGTTTTGAGATACACATGACCAAAACACATCCTGCGCACATCTAGTTTAATCTAGCTACAGCTAGCAAACATATTGCATTATGAATTATAAGAAAAGCACTGTACGTCATGGCTCTAAGTCAATCTATATGGTCCTCCTGCTGGCTCTACACAATTTCTACTGCAATTTTACAAGTTGAAATGCTCCAGACATACAAAAAATGGTGAACTAAATTGCTCTTATCCTTATGTGTGGGTTATGCTGAACCTATGCAGGTACACTATGCCTCAGAGACACACTAGGTGGCTATATACATGTCCTCATAATAAATCTGGATGCCCCCATGAGCTAGGCCACACCAAATTCTACTGTCACTTGGATGGGTATGACGAAAGAACAAAGGTCCTTCTGAAGGCCCATAGTCACAACCTTGAAGCCACCAGCCCTTTCCCTGAAATACCACAGAACTCAGTGTGCATACACTTAGCCCTTGGAGCTCCTGCCATGTGCAATAACATGGAAGATGTGGGATTCAACCAGAGAGCTTGCGTAGAAGAAGTTAAAGATGAAGAAATGTTACTCCCTCCACCCCCTCCTCCTTTAGACAAAGATACCATCATGTTAGATGTTTGAGAGGACAAAAAAGAGCAACAAATTTGTGAAGAGACTCCTATGCGTAACCAGGAGCCCAATAGCAATGATATGGTAATATTAGTATACATGTTGTATTGTTTTATACTAATCAAACTCTCTCAACAGACCAAATGGTTAGACTATATGTGTGCTAGAGCAGCCAAAGAACTCCCAGAGCTACAATACCCACCCTGTCAACCATACCCTGAGCCCAACATCAATGCTATGATGGCACAAGCTCATCAAGAGAAGCTAAAACTTAGCATGAGTTATATAAACCGCCTCAAGAATGTGTCTTTTGATGATCCACAAAGCTCTCACAGGAAAAGTGTGATAGGGCCTCTGAATTATGAAGTTTAAAGCTTGGATCACCCAGATATTCCCCTAAACAACCACCCTCTCCCTGCTTTGGAAGAGTACACTAATAATCTTCTTGCTGTTGTGAGTGCTACCACCAACAGCCAGTTCAAGTGCTTGTGAACAGCTACTGGTCTCAAAAAACCTAGTGTTCTCCTCAGGCTCAATTCCACACACACACTTCCTGTCCCTCACTGTCTTACTCCTGATATTATACACTTGACTGGCTTTCTTAGTGCACTTTTTATTCACTTCTGGCATGGCACACTCAAGACTGCTGGTCCACTGGACAATCTGGACCTCTGGGACTGGAACTACCTTGGAAATCTTGAGGTTTTCAAGGTGCACGGACTGGACATCAAACACAATGGGTGAAATCTTCCTAAGAGCCACAATAGGAAGCTGTTGAACCTTGAAGAGTTTATTACCTTGGACTACAAAACTTGGGAGTAGCATCTACTATACTTCAGTCTCAATCCTGGGCTTCTGTACAAGATTATCCTGCTCAAGTATTGGATCAGCTACTGTCAGCACTTGATTACTCAGGAACAGCTGCAAGAAGCAAAGAACTGCTTCAATCAATTCTACATAGGCTTCAAAGAACTCTACTACCAGTGTCAACAGGACTGCCTTCCATTCATTTGGCAGAGCATTCACCAAGTCTTGCACCTTGTTTCGGAGGTTATTCAAAAGGGCCCACTGATGATCTATTCACAATTGACCATGGAGCAAACAATCAGCAACCTTGGGCAGGAAATCCAGCAGCTGTCTAAACTGTATGTGAACTTATCTTGAGAGGGCATCCAGCGCTGTCAGGTAAACTGTCTCAAAGCTATCATTCCATCCCTCAATCCCAAGCCAGCTCCATAGTCCATGCCTTCCATCAACATTGGAGACAGCTATGCTCTTTTGCACAAGCGTTCTAAGTGTGAGTGGGGCTCTGCTGGTTTTCAGAAAGCCACTCTGGATGAGTGATTGGGCCAAGACTGTGGCAAGTTCTGGATGTGGGGCCATGCAAGGCTCTCTGACGGACAAGTAGTCTGTTCTGCCTGGAAAATACTTATCTGCAGGATAACATTTATATATCTTGCAATATTATGGTATGTTTCATTCATTTCTAACCTATGTACATACTCTAAACTACTATAGTTTGAGGAAGAGGGACAAACCTTTGTTGGAGAGGTTCTGTACTTTGCTTAGCTCAACGTACAGGATGAAAAATGGGCAAATAGAGATGGGAAGGGCTGGCAGTAATCAAGCTATATTCTGAGCTGGACCCTGATCTCTTTCTGCTATCTACTTGGCCCATTGCAACATGCAAGCACATGGGCGAGCAGTACACCCATGTTATTAACATCAAACAGATCACTGGTGTGATAGGAATGGTCCCACACTGGCTGACTATGCCTTCAGGAATAGAAAGGTATTATATGGCTGAGAAGCCTGGATTGGATGTAGCTACCTTTCTGGGACACAAAGAAGAGAATGGTAGGGATAAGGACAGCATGGACTTTCCTCCAAATAATGTAGAGTAGCTTAAATACATATGTTCTATTCAAAGACAAGTCTTCAAAATGCAACTGTGGCTTTCAGTGACTGAGACAAAGCTTTAAAGTTTGATAAAATGAGTGGGGTTTAAATTCCTTGAGGTGCAGAATTGCTTGTCTGAGGCACAGCCCTGTATCGCTTTCCAAATGTTGGGTTTTTATTGCATTATCAAAGTCCAAAATTTTAAAAAATCCCTACTTGATTTGGTAAGCCCCTGTCAACACAACTTTGTGTGTTTGCGCCTCTTTCTTTCTTGCATCTCTTTGTCTCCCTTCCTTCCCTCCCTTCCTTCCCTCTCTCCCTTCCCTCTCGCCCTTCCCTCTCTCCCTTTTCCATGTCCTCTACTCTCCTATTTCAACCCAATGACATTCTGCTCCCTCTGCTCCTGATGAACACAACCGCCAACCAGCCCATTACCTTGTCTGGCCAAGTCCAACACAACCTTGGCAACATATCTGGGCAGCTATGGCAATATGCAGGTGCAATACCCTGCATCCAGCACCCAATCAATGGGATTGATGTCCTATCAAAACAACGTAAGTGCTTTCTTCATCTTTTTAGGGTGCATATGTGCATCAGCAATTGGAGATGCAGATGCACCCCAGGAGACTATCATCTCCTGCCTCCAGATGCAGCCCGCAAGTGTCATAGCTGAGCAAGACACCCTCAAAAATAAATAATAATAATAAATTTATAAAAACATACAGTAAGTTTTTCCCCCTTATATACACACATACAACTACCCTACAGGTATCCTTGAGATTTTTCTTTCATGAGATTGTTGGCCAAATCAGTCAGAACCCCTCCATCATTATAATGTCTTCCCCATTGGCACTTTTTCTCTCATCTGCCCCATCCACAACCACACCCTGTCCTTTCGTGTCCATGAACAGAACAGACCCCAAGTACAAGCATATCCAGTACTGGACATGGACCAAGTACACCACAAAGCGCAACACAGCTGGATTGACAGTCAAGAACCAACCTGGACTCCTCAAATGGCTCAAGCAAGAAAAAGACGGAAATGTGTTGGATATAGCACATCTGGCGCTGTTCACAACAAGATGAAGACCATATGGAGAGGATGGGGTCAGTCACCAAAGGAAGGCTATCAGCTGGTCAAGAAGTGAAAGAACTTACCATAACACCAACATGAAGACTTTGTCAACAAAATCTTGCAGATGCTCCTGTTCATGGGACTCTGTCATAGCAGCTAGAAGATCCTCAAGCTTGGTTCTATCAACTACCCCAGCTGGTGCAATTAGTGGATCTATAAGGATGGCACCATCAGCAAGAAGTGTCAGTGTCAGCCAGCCCACGTGAAGAAGGAAAACCAGGACAATCAGATGGAGGAGCCATCTTCAGGCACCAAGTGGAGCTTGCCCAAGGACAAAGACAGCGAGCAGAGCGACCTCTTGCATTTGAAATGACCCAGAGGTACATTTCATTTTGTTGTGTGTATTTGCTACTAAAATAAGTAATGGCACACTGTGCATCTTGATTGCGTGTGGCTTGTTTGTTGTGTATTTTTACACATCATCCTCAATGCCCTCATACCAAATTCATGACTCACCATGCAAGAATTGCTTTATTGGGTGTGTCCTAAGTGGGGCCAAGGTTTTGGAGGCTGTGCAAGCCAAGGAAATCCCCCAAAGGACAGCCTATCACATTCTTGAGAAATTCCATGCAACTGGAAGCACGAAAAATGTACCCAAATTTGGCTGACCTCCAAAAATCACTGTTTGTATGAAGCGATACATCACCCGAGAAGCCTTCAAACACTGAAAGAAAACACTTTCCAAGCTTGGCAACTCTGTGAGCCCACCAATCTTGTTACAGTCAGTTTGCAACATTTTAGCCGAATTTGGGCTTCACCATTGCAAGGCACTTCATGTGGTCTTTCTCACAAAGAAGCAGAAGGCTCAACAACTTTCATGGGCAAAAACCTTCAAGAATTGGAAGCTTCAACATTGGGCTAAGGTTGGGTGGTCGGATGAGTGCTACATGGTGATCAGTAATTTGAAGGAAATGGTCTACGTGACATGAGGTCCGGGTGAAGAATACTCCAAGGAATGCCTCCAGCCAGTCTTCAAGAAGAGCGGGAAGGGGATTATGGTCTGGAAATGCATTATGTTGGACGTAAAGGGTCCATCGTTGTGATGGAGTACCCAGGAGGGAAGGGAGGTGGGGTGATGGGCGCAAGGTACCGTGAACAGATTTTGGATGGGGCACTTTGAGATTTTTGGGCACGGATGACACAGGAGCGGGGGCCTATCATGTTCCAACAGGATGGAGCCCCAGCACACAGCCAGAAGCTTACCAAGAAGTGGCTTGAAGACCATTCAATTCACCTCTTCCCACACACTCCGGCTTCCCCTGATATCAGTCCTATTGAACCCCTTTAGAATCACTTCAAGTCCCATATCTGGAATTACCCTCACCCCCCTACATCTGTTCAAGAGCTCAAGATGGCTGCAATTGAAGCATGGGCCTCAATTCCTCAAGAGAAGATCGATAGTCACATTGAGAAGATGCCAGCACGTGTGCAAGCACTTCTTAGGCACCGGGGTGGGCATATACCATTCTAGATCTACTTAGACATTTAATAGATACAATATAACAATACTCCATAATTGGAGTTGCCTTAGATAAATAAATAAATGCGTGGTTTACTCAAAAAAGTGTTAGGGGTGAGTGTGAGAATCCGCGCTGTGCCATTACTTATTTTAGGGGCAAGTACACCTCCATTCCCCTCCATTACGTCCAGTTGCCTACACTCCATATCCATTCCACTCTGCTCCATTACTATAGTTCTGTATATGCTATGGTTATAATCTTGAAGGCAGTCCTTCTTATAGGAGACTGTAAATACCTACTAGTATTTCAGACTAGGTTACATGGGTGCACGCTCGTGACAGGTGCAGCTTGGATATGTCAGGGTCATCAGCACAGTTGAGTGCTTGATGCAGTAAGTTCCTTATTGCCCTCAGCTTACTAAAGGAATTGACATTCTAGGTGTTGTGAAGACAATCAAGGCCCCTATTCTTTTTTTTCTTCTCTCTTTCCTTCTCTCTCTCCTTTCCACACTTAGAGCCAGGTCTGCGCACCTCCAGTCATCTCCGCATGCCTTTGGACACCTCCGGACCCTCCAAAGATTTGGGAGTTTGCTCCATGTCTGAAATTACCTCGGACCTCTTATGTTTCTCTTTGAGCCTTACTCCCGACAACATTCAGACCTTGTGCAGACCATGTGGACACTTGACAGCAGTGCTGCACTACCTCCATGACAGCAGATGGTTATCAGTAGCAGGATCAGGATCCGGAGATTGCTGGAGTTATTTATATACTGAGCGTTTCACATCCTAGTCCCCCATCTTGACCTCTTGGTCATTGGGACTAGGTGCACATTGACTTTGTAGTAGATAGGATGCTTTATTGACTTGGTCATTGGGACTAGTGCTTTTGTGCTCACCGCCGGCACTCATTGAGATCCTCTACCACCTAGCCTTGTGGTTTCGGCCACTTGTACGCCTATGCTTCCACGCTCCTATGCTCCGCCTACCTCCAACCTCCTCTAAAGTTTCGGAGCTGTTCAGGAGTTTAGTGTGTCGTCCCTGTTGTGTCCACAACACTAAGTCCTATTTCAGGCTTGGCTAGCTCCTGATGTCACGCTACTGACTCTCAGTCATGTCAACATGTCCATTGTATTGCTCAATGCAGCAGATACAAGGTACATTCCCTCTTGGCTTGTTGTTTCTCTGTGATCTTCTAACTTCGTGACCCCATTTTTTGCTTTATCCCCTCTGTTTTTCCTCCAGACCCACTTGAAATGTCTCTGCTTGCTCAGCATTGAATTCTGGTCAACATTTGCTGTAGACTCATCCTGGACAGTGTTGAAAGTATAAAATAGGTGGATGGTTGCTACAATGGACACCAGTGACTCACCTCCAAGTCCCCACTTGAATGCCACCCCTGTCTTGTTCGTGCAGCTTTCGAGCATGTACTTCAAACTCCTTCCCAGTACCTCTGTCCTGCCCTTGACTCTCATGACCCCATCTTCCAACTAGTCCATGCACCCCTACACCCTTGCTTTGACAATTTTTTCAGACATGAGAAGATTGCACAAGTGTGAGATGCTCACACTTTGATAGTGCTTTAGTTAGATTCTGTCTATCTTATATACATATTTGTCATTAGGAGTTGTAGTTAGCTCCTGTACTTGTAGATAGTGTCTGATAATTCATACTGTATTGATTATAATGTCCTGTGCCTTGGCTGAGGACATCTGACTACTGTACTTTTTCAACCACTCGCTTATAGGAAATACATTCCTAATCTGGTCTGTCCTACTTTTTGGCTCGCGGGTCAGGACCAATGTGGGACACATGGCTCGCCAGGGGCTAATTGTCCCGGAACATCCACCGGTTGACAATGTTCCTGACTGCGCAACTTGCTGTTTCTGACCACACCCTTTGTTTTTAAATTGCTCAAGCCATGCTGCACTGGAGTGCAGTTGCCCTGCCTTGGTCTCCACTGGTTGGTGAGCCCGCATTTTTTGGAACATCTGTCCTCCAATGTTCTCAAGCTCTCACCACCCTTCATGAAGGAGTTGACCAGCAAGATTCCTTTGCACACCATGAATATATCAACAACAACACTTGACTCCAGCCCAAAGATGCCATAGCACAAATCCTTGATCTGGACAGGAGAAGCGGGATGAGTTTGTCTCAGTTGGGTCCAGGCTTGGCTGATGACCCAGATCTTGACACTGACTTGATAGAATTGCCAAGAGGGGAGAAACCATGCCAAGGGAAGCAATGCAAAGTTTTTACCAGAAAGTACGGTGAGTCCTTGGATCACTAGATAAATTTTCACGTGTCGTAGATTTTTTTCTGAAATTTTTTTCAAAATTTCAAGCTATTTTACTGAATGTCCCACTTTTTGGCTCGTAGGGTCTCGGGGAGGTGGGACAGTCACACCCTTTTTGGCTTGCTTGCCCGGTCCATGGGACATGGAATGAGCGAGTGGTCAAAAAAGTACAGTAGTCTTATGGTTGATTTATTGACCTCTGTGATTTCTACTCTACTGTACTTTTACAACCATAGGCTTGTCCACTGTCCACCCTGGCCTGCAAGCTGAGCTTATGGAGGGTGGACAATCCATACTGAGGCCCTTGCAAGCGAAGAATAGTGAACATATGGTAAAAAAGTGAATAAACTTAGATTAAATGTGAGAAAAATACTACAAGTCTTCGAATGTAATCTACTGACCCAAGACTCTATTGTACTTGGTTTTCATGACCCTGTGGTGTTTTCCCCGGCCCATCTCCTCTGGATCTGGGTACCAGAACTGTGTCCATATTAATATCCAGCTCATCTGACATGCTTAGCACCAGCTGTGCACTCTCCTTGCTTCCAGGGTTGAGAAGATGAGCCATGAGGTTGACAGGTTTGATCCATGTGTTGTTGTCAACATCAGTGACATCCTTGAAGGGGTCAGCATTGATTTTATTGTCCTCAGGTTGTGCGTGAAGGGTTGAACCACCACTCAACACCCTGGTTGCATATGATGCAGGAATGATACTGATCAGTTTCAGTAGGTTGTGTGGTACAGAGTGAGCAAAAGAACAGCTTACCAGTACTGTTGGCGGCCTCAATGGAGAAATGGCCATGTGTTGAGTCGGAATCAAGATCACACCCAATGAAAAGAGTCGCAATCAAGATCACACTCAATGAAAAGAGCTGTAAAGGCTGCTGCTCAACAAATGAAGTTCAGTCAATGCAATCCTGGAACCTGGGTTGTTGTCAAGTCAAGACTTACAATGTCACACAGCAACAGATGTTGTGGCAGCTGACTGAGACATTGAAAACAGAGCTCTCAGGTTGGGTACCTATGCAATTGACGGTCCTGAACTCCAATAATCTGTGTCCCTGATTGACAAGCTTGGTGTCCACCCACACACTGGACCAGCAAGCTTAAATGTGTGGACATCCTGTATAAGGAAATTCAAGTTCCCATGCCACCCATGGGCCTACAGTCGTAAAAGTACAGTATTCTATTACTTGGGACATTGTCTACCTGGCACTCTTGTGTTCTGTCTTTCTCATCTTGGTATTGGTCCATTACATGATGTCGCTGATGCACTCATAATCCCAACAAATTCTATCTCTCCCACAGCTCAGGTATTCTCTTCTCATACAGCAGACTCCCACCCCCTTGATGTCTTGTTTATCTCCATTCCATCCTTTGCTCCATTGCTCAACCATGCTGCCCTTTGGACAGAATGGCAGCAAGGCTCTCAATGAAGACTTATGGATCCAACCCGCTGACCTCATGGTTCAGATCCTCCACCCTGACAGTGAGGACACTATGTGTGGGGCTGAGGCTGGTCCTGGGATGGCTGACAATGCTGATATCAATGCAAGTCTGATACAGGAGCCGGAGAAATGGCAAGGGAAGCATTGTAAGGTGTCTAATAAGAAGTATGACACATTCTTAGGCCATTAGATAGAGAGGATCACTCCAGGGGAATTTGTTTTGAATTTATCTACACTTTTTGCACTATTTTACTGAATGTCCCACTTATTTTGTTTGTAAGTTGCTGTAGAGGTGGGACAGTCCCGCCTAAATTGTTTGTTCATCCCACCCGTGGGATATGGGATGAGTGAATGATCATAAAAGTACAGTACAGTACCCTGGTTTTGTGAAGATTGAAGGTGCATTGTGAAACTTGTGAGTCACTCTCCGGTGCAGTGGCCCTCATCGCCCTTGTGCCCATTGTGAAGCTTTGTAACCCAGTTACAAGAGTGCTGGACTTTTTGTGATGTTACAGGATTTGAGATGTACATCCTAAGCCGTGGACGAGTATCGGATATCGGAACCTTCCCTTTCCGGACATCACGTGCCTGGCTACCGCAATGCACAGTCTTTGGGAGGTTAGCGTTTTGTGCACGCCCCCACCACTCAAGATGAAGCTCGTAAGGTAAGCGGTCAATTTTGATTCATAGGAGTGCTAAAACGTGAAATCTTGAGCTGTAGTTTGCTGACGTCGCTCGCCCAGGTTCTTGATGAAGCTCAACAATGAGACGGTTTCGATCGAACTCAAGAACGGTTCTGTCGTCAATGGCACCATCACCGGTACGATGTTGTCCGTCTTTCCTCTGTGTCTTCGCTCCTGACGCATGCTATCTACATTTGCAGGCGTGGACATGCAGATGAACACCCACCTGAAGACGGTTAAAATGACCGCGCGGAACCGCGACCCGACGTCGCTGGACTCGCTTTCGATTCGCGGAAACAACATCCGCTACATCGTCCTCCCCGACGCGCTTCCGCTGGACACACTTCTCGTTGACGATGCGCCAAAACCAAAGGCGAGAAAGAAGGATGATGCGCGTGGGCGTGGGCGTGGTGGTCCACGAGGTGGCGGTGGTGGCGATCGGGGTCGGGGGCGGGGCAGGGGCAGGCCTCGTGGCCGAGGGTTCTAAAGTCGAGCTGGGTCATGAAAAGAAGAGGTTGCAATTCGTTGTGCGTCACCTTTTGTCCCCCATCGTCAAAACACTGTATGTGCTCAATGGCGTCGAACGCCTAGCACGTCCCCTACTCGTATCCATACCGATTGCTACGAAATGTTAATGAGACTGCCTTTTTTTTCTTGATCCTCGAGTATGATGCTTATGCATCAATGTTGGCCATCTCGCAGTTGAGCGCTTGAGCGCTGAGCCCTTAGCATCACTCTCTGCCACACGTAAAGCATACCTCATGTGCGAGCAGATGGTCTTATCAGAAGCAACCTCTCCATTATATATGTGTACACCATGCAGTTGAACTCTACTTGACAAGTGTACGCAGAGAAGCCAGACCTCCCTGTTTTCATGTCCCAGTTTTTGAAGTGCGTTTGACTACCTATTGTGCTTGGGTAACAAGTAAAGCCTGTTGAACGTGCGCACAGTAAAGTGGGTACGCTGAGGTCGTCTACCTTGACATCGAGGAGCGAGGCGGGAGTGTATTACGTAAGATTCACGAGACGGGCAACTGTGCCTTGTGCGGACCGTGACGGTGCTCGCCTTGTCTCCGGCCAACGCTCACCTCCTTGCTGCCACTGGCCTGCTCTATCCCCTACGCGTGAAATAAGATACAGGCTTATTCTATGGAACAGCATGCAAACGGCGCAAACGGCATCGATGTGAACACCCACCAAGTCAAGCTTGAGGCCGCCTCCGTTAACGGCGTTCTCTCTAATGGATTCATCGAACCATCAGTAGAAGAGCTTGAGACAGAGCTACCTGTTGTCTACGATGGCCAAGTACCGCTCGGAGACCTCTTGTCCAGGGTCGTGCAGGCTATATATGCAGAGCTGTCCGAGCTGGCTGATACGTGAGTCCATGCATCTCTCCCAGTGGGCCTGTCGAATGACGTCTAGGCGCGTCGCAGTTTGCCCAACATGTCGGACGCCGCCCGGAAACGTACACTCGCAGACTGGGTCGTGAAAACAAAGAAACAGATAGTCAAGGTCTACGCTATCACGAAATGGGCGCGCGATGCGGAGACGGTCCAGAAATGCATGGTATGTCCCTTGCAAGACATTCACCGTAATATGCTCACCCATGAGTGCAGAACATCACCGCGTTTTTGATGACTCAAAATCAGCAATTTGAGGATGTCATGCGAGGGTTGACGTACGCAAAGGAAAGCTTGGACCCAGCGAGGTACGCCTCTCAACACCTTCACACTGTAGTAACCTCACAGATCAGTGTCTCAGGCTGCGAAACCATGATCTGCTTACCTCCCTTGATGTCCTTACGACTGGCACTTACCGACGACTTCCTACTGGCATCAAGGTCATTCTACCCCTGTCTTCAGTTAAACATTAACTCAAAGTCTTGGCAGAAATCGATCATTCCTGTGTCCCCTCTGACCGATGCCGAAGTCCAAAAGACGCTCAGCAACATTGAAGATGTCATCCGTTTTCGACTCCGTCTATCCGAAATAGTGCCCATCGAGATGTCGAGACACCACATCTGTTCGTAGCTGCTTCATCATTACGTTCCATGCATTGTTTGACTTCTAGGTAGCCCACGGACAAGTTCACTTCGTCGTCCCGAAGCTCTTCGAGGTATCACTATGTCTCCGTGGCGCAGAGCAAGATGATGGCTGGTTCTTCGTACACGTCAAGTTCCTCTTCAAGATAGGTGGAGATGTGACAAGCGTTCACGGTATGTATGCTAAAGGGCACTCCTCTTATGCACTACAAAAACTGACCTCCCCCAGATTTTCCCTCAGAGCCAACCGGTATGCTCAAGCGCCATATCGGTGAAGAGGCAGACACTCGCATGGCGTACTACCTTCCATTCCCTGAAGTCGAGGGAATGCTTCCTCCCGAAAATGTTCCCCCGCGACCGCAACTCCCCGAAAACACCGTCGATGCCCCACTTGTCCGCCTATACAACTTCCTTCGTGAGATTTATCCCTACTTTACCTTCATTCACTCATCTAGTTCGTAGAGATCATGTCCATGTCCTATCAGCTAGAAATACTTTGGTACCAGGTACGTCTCAGCGACCTTCATTGGCCATAGGGTACCCATAGCCTCGGCAGGCCGAACGGATGCGCTCACTCGGCTGGGCAGACTACCTCAAGGTCGAGATGAAGAATAGCCGCAAAACACTGGTCGTGTCCTATTGGGCGTACGTCTAGCCCTTACACAATGAGCGCATGCAATCTCTCAACGTTCACATTTCTAGTCGGCCACCAAACTCCTCCACCTCGCAACCGCAGCCCCCAGGCGCAAGCCGCTTCAAGCTCCCCGATTTCGGCGGTACACTCACCATCTCCATCGTCGAGAACAAGAACCTCCAGCAAGGCCCCGGTGGGCCCGCACGCTCGCCAAAGGCTAGAATCCTCGCCGAGATGCAGCAGCGCGTCAAGCTCGGAGGCGCACAACCTTCCGACGTGATCGAGGGGCTCAAATTCGATGTACGGTGGGAGGCGATGAAGGGTGCGCTGGGTGTGTCTCCACCAGCGTCGAGCTTTCAAGTTGGGGAGTTGGTTGTCGTACGTAAATCCACTGTTTTTCATAAGCGCGGTCTCATAGGGTATTCTTGCTCATAGGACACAGATTGTCTCGACTTCGAAAGTTTGCTCCGGCGCGTCATCGATGCGCATGCCAAAGCAATCCTCCAGACGTTCCAATGGCAACTCCAGCACGGCTCGACGAGCACCGTTTTCTCGGCGCCTGGCAAGATTGTGCAGTCCTCAGAAGGTAAGGCCACTTGTTCTTTGACAATTTCCAAATTATACCCACTACAACTGGCAGGCGGCAACCACTCGCTACGCGTCCATCTATGCGCAGACGAAGTCGTCGTGGTATCAATTGATACTCGGACAGGTCGGCTCAATCTTCGGGATACGGGTGACTTGGCTGCTGCAAGCCGTGGACCACGGTTCGCTGCGATATCGGAGAAGTTGAATGAAAGCCCGTGGCTTTTGTTGGACGCTCTTGTCAGATTACGATTCAGCGTAAGTCCTTAGATCAATTTTTGTTTTAATGGATAAGCTAAAAGGTGCCCCTTGTAGACAATTTCGACTCTTGCGGAGCAAAAGGCAAGATACCTTGGCTTCCAAGTGTATCGCACGCGCAATTTTGGCCGTGAGGGTGTGTAACAGTTAGCCCTTCATTTTCAGCCATATCTAATAACATCCACGTAGAGATGCAGAAACTCGGCCCAGACGCCCGTGGCACACTCTTCATCCCAATCATAGGCTCCGCCGAACACCACCCCATCAACGGAACGCGCGAAAGCTACCTCGTGATTGTGATCACAGATGGTGACTTCCGCTTCGCACTCGTGCGGTCCGAGCTGCAACGCGAGACCATGTACCAGAGCCGGATATTCACGGACGTGGGATGGCTGAACGTTCAGCGAATACAAGGCGAATCGTACGATCCTGGCAACGTGCTGGCGGCAGCGAGGGTCAAGCCAGCTGAATCTGGGGGCCAGGAATCGGTAGAAAATGCGTTGATCAGTGAGAGTATTGAGAGTGCGCAAGGGAGGTGAGCAATCATCTTGTAACGTTTTTCTGAGGCAAAAAATCCTGACGATGTTTCCAGCTTCAACCTAGGTACCCAACTTCTTCGCGAGCTCTATGCTTACTGCTGGTAAGGATATTTACTGACTTTCACATTTTCAGTCTGCTGAAAATTATTTAGCGCGCGCGTAGCATATGGCAAAGTCGAATACCAGTTCAAATGCCGCGACATTCCCTGGACGTCCGTGCACCCCGGATCCAATATCCCACTCACCCCCGAGCTCGCCCACGTCCAATCCTCTCTGGCACGCTCCGTCCCCGCTCTCTGCGTCAAAGCGTCCGACATTCTCTCCGGCGCACCCGCCGCAGAAGCAGCGATGCCCAACATCCGCGTCATCCCGCTCAACTGGTGGACCGACAAGCAGGCGCAGGTTGTCACCTGCGTCAAGCTCAAGTACGTGCAGCAGCCCGTCGGCAAGCGTGCGATCGGGAGCGGCGGGAGCGCAGGCACGATCCGGCCGAGCAAGCGCATCATATACGACCCGCAGGAGGCGGTCGTGTCGTTTCTTTCGGAGCAAGTCGAGGGCTGCGTGGACGAGTTCCTGGAGGAGTGGGCGCGGGTGTCGAAGATGGTGGTGATTGCGAGGGAGGTGGCGAGGATGAGCAAGGAGAAGCAGTGGCCTGACGTGCGGCTCATATCGTTTGATCTGCAGACGGTGGAGTTTGCGTATTCTGGGGTAAGCATGCCTTGGCTCTCTTTAAGAACATATTTTTATTCGCTGCACAGGATTACTCCGTCTCAATAAGCGCGACAGATCAGCTCTCCAGCACCGGCGGTACCTATGAGCTCCGTCTTTCCCGCTGCTCTCCTCAGTCGGCCTCGAAACAACTGCTAGGTCTCCCGCTTTCGGTTCAGCCACGGCCGCAATCAAATCCTCATGAAGATGCCGAGCCCTTTTTGCGTCAAATTCTTCGACAAGGGCCGCTAGCGCTGTCCGTCCATACACTCGTAGGAGTGCTTCGAGACACGCTACCCATTGCAGTGGAGCTAGAACGAATGCGTCTCGCCGCTGACGCGAAGAGCTCACCTTCAAAGGCCAGAACGCAGACCAAGCCAGAAATTGCGGTGGAAACCATAGTCAAGGGCGTGGGCTGGTACCGCGTGCTTTACGGTGACCTGAGGCTAGTTTTTGTCACTTTTCCCAAACTAGCATTAAACTAACCCATTACCCACAGACATGCACTCGACTTCCGATTAATGACGGGACAACGCATCGTCATTCTCGACGCCTCTCATTCACTATTCAAACCCCCCAATCGACCGCAAGAGCCCATGGGCCCGCCTCAGCTCCCGCAGGCCACCCTCGGTGGACTGAAACCCATTCCCGACTTCCGCGCTATCCTCACCGATGCATTGCGCTCCATACGAGCCCACGCGCAGAGTGGGAAATTTGCGGCCATCGATGTCGGGGTCGTCTGCGATAAGAGCGTCGTCGGACCTGTGGCGTGCGCAATACACGAGAGGGTATTGGCCAAACTGAAAGGGAAATTGACGTAGGCTGTGTATTTCCCGTACTCGTACTTTAGTTACCTGTTATTGCTATTGTCCTATAATGTTCTCGATATGCTGTCAATGCCGGATCATGTTGACAAATAGGCATGATCGAAAGTAAAGGCAGGTTGCCCTGTTATTAGCAGGGAGCTTTAGTAAAGGTAGCTGTAGAGGCCGAGTCTAAGACTTGAAGAAAGCACTCGCGGACGTGGGGTAACATATCGGATTTCCCACGTGACGCGACGCGTCGCGTTAGGATACTAGTCGCGTATACACTCTTGGTCTCTACGTCCACTTTACCTGCTAACCTCCCACTGTCCTGTTCATCACACCTCGTATCATGGACACTGATGTTCAAATGACTTCTGGCCAAGCCGCATCACTGAGCAAGTCTATGAGCTCACAATGTGAGCACCCCGCACCCTCTTCACACATCTTTGCTTAGCCCAAGCTCGTCCTTCCGTGATCCATACAGCTCTCGCCGAATCCTCCATAAGGAGCGAGGCAGTGAAGAATCTTGCTGAGCGCTTCCAAAACACCAACCTCCGAATAGTCAAAGACAAGACCGCGCTCAAAGAGCGGAAATTCGACGGCGAGGACTATGACACGAGCGAAGGATCCAGCAGTGGTGACCTCGCCCTTAAGGATCCCAAGGTCGTTGCTAGTGATGTCGCCGCGCAGCTAGTGAGCTTGAATTCTCTTCTCTACAGTATAACTGTACTGATCACTGACACACGTCCATAGTCGTTCCTGCGACGACTCAAGTTTCAGTACCTCGAACAAAATGCCAAGGATAAATACATCCGCACGATCGTCAGCGACATAGACGACGCGCCTCTCATCACCGCAGCTGGGAACCTTGAGCTGCAGAAATCAAATGAGAACAAGAAAGAGGTTTTGCGGGAACGCAAAGCAGCACTCCGGGAGCGGGAAGATGACGTCCGGAAGCTCGCCACTTTCGTGGAGGAAGGTGCGTCCCTTCTCCCTTGCCCCTTTTTTCATCCCGCTCACCCACGACATGCACATACAGACTACCGCAAAGCCAAATCACTCATCGACGAAGCCTCCTTTCTCGAGAAACAGATCCTCGACGCCCGCCTTGCCCTAACCCGCCTACGCCAGGCGCACCCACCACACAACCGGCTCACGATCGCCGCCGCGAGCCGCAAGCTCGACGCGCAGGTCGAGGAGATGCAGGCATGCGACGACGAGCTCGCGGAGACGACCCAGAGCATCGAGAGCGTCAAGGGCCAGATCAAGCGCGGCGTCGGCGAGGTCGAGAAGCTGCGCTCCGAGCGCGGTGCCATCGAGAAGGAAGTGCGCGAGGGCGAGCGGGCGGGCGGCGCAGACGGAGAGGAGAACGACTCGCGGATTGGCGGGCTATATGACTGGTGCGTTGCCCCCTGGAACGCCCATGCACCATCATGCTGACACTCTCACTTCCCTTTCCTGCTACAGGTTCTCGGCCTCCCTCACACTCCACCGCAACCTTCTTTCCCTCGTGACGGCGCACTGCGAAGCTGAGAACGAGCTCCGGCTCACATATGTCGTCCGCCCACCAGACGACGGACCGGAGAAAGAAGTTCAAATTCGTCTCCTCTTCGTGCCCAACACGCGGCAGCTCCATAGCTACGAGGTAACTGGCGTCGAGGTGGGCGACTCAATCGGCGCGTATGTGCAGTCGAACGACGTTGCAGGTCTCATCTGGGCGGTGTTAGCCAAGGCCCGGTGGGCAGCGAAGGAAGGGCTTTGACCTCGTTTGGTATTGTGATGCTTCGCTCTTAGACCTCTGTATTTTAGGGCTGTACTACTGTACTACTAATTAGCTTTATAGCCTGAATTCGAAAGCAGCAGTAGCGTCACTAGTAACAGGGGCTAATTATCTAAATATGGCTCACGTGGCACGATCACATGCTACAGCGTTAACTTGGTTCGACTCAGGCTTGATTGCAACCAACTACTACCTATCTGCGCAGCCAGCTGCTTACAGCCTATCATGACTTCATATACAGCTGTGGTGAGTATAGAGCGCGCGCACACACTCTCTCTATAATAACAGCTTATACGCCGTAGAAACCAACCTCCATGTTCTCAACACTGACAATCACAAGCGACGACATTCCGCAAGCCATAACCTTGACTAGGACAGAAGACTTCCCATCTCACAAGTTCGATTATAAGAAGAGTAAATATCATAGCAAACCGACATGGCAGTCATCGTGGTACCCACAAAGTGCCGGCCACCTGTCTCTCAGGCTTACAGAGCGCATATCCGGAGGTAGATCCGCCGTCACATACGCAGCGGAGATAGTCTCTGGCAACACCAACGCGGTCGTGAGTGGTGTTACCGCTTCGCATCCCATTCCTTCCGAACCCGAATTATGCGTCAAAGTGGCGCGGCTCAACTGCTGCCGCACACTGGCTCGAGAAGCCTGGATATATGACAAGCTGCGCCGGCGCGCCCGTGGGCGGGACACGTGGTTATACGACCAACTTCCTCCCGACGATAAGCTCCAGGGTATCATAGCGCCCCACTTCTATGGTCTTTTCACGGCTGAAACGCTTCCTGGCCAATTTTCTCCTTGGTCCACCGAAGACTTCAAATTCGAGACTGCCTGGGATGATAATATTCTATCTGATGAGGACGAGATGTCGGATGACTTCCTGCCGGATGACAACACGATGTATCCGGAGCACTCTTGGTATAACCACGGTGTGGGGGGGCGAGAGCTGTCAGAATGGTGTCATTGGCGCCCGGATCCCGCAGCGCCGGTCTTGGCTGTCATAGTCATGTCGCGTGGAGGACCGACCTATACGTTTGAGGACCATATGGATCCAGCGACGCAGTACGTTTCAATCAACATACTATAAGCGCTTTCACTCTTAACTTGGCTTGCGCAGAGACGATATCCATGCCATTCTCGATGACCTGTCCCTGGCATCCCTCGTCCACGGCGACCTACGCCCCGCGAACATCGTGCGCGCACCAGCGTCGACGATGCCATGTGAACGCCATAAGTGCATTCACAAATGGAACGTCATCGACTTCTCCAGGGCGTTGGTTGACGACTACGATCCGGAGAATGCAGAAATCCCGCAGACGAATGAGTGGTGTGCAAAGCGGATGGTCCATAATTTACAGAATTATAGCTACTCAAAAAAGGATACCTTTTTTTATCGGTAACTCAGTTAATACTAGAATACCAGTTTGTGCTTATTCTTAAACGAGACTGTTTTCACTCCAGCTACGCGCCGTCTCACTTATTGAGCTGTCGTTTAACATTCATGTCCACGGATATAATTTGCTTTGTTGTGTACTTGCCTCGTACACGTATCGCCAGCGCACCCCTCACAACCAAGGCGCCCGACGTCTCGCAGCCCCGGCCTTGAACTCGTCGTGCTTGGACGGCACTTCGGCTTGCGAAATCCAACAGAGTGATCTTTTGAAATTTTGCCTGAGCGTCATTGAATTATCTACATGTTGCGGACGTGCAGTTAATATGCAAAACAGAAGTACTAGTATTGTCCGTAGCTTACAAAATTACAGTTTCCTGAACCGATATCTGCGAGCCTGGCCGCAGGGCTGAGCTCTCTGACTCTCTTTACGATCTTCTTAGAGGCGTAATTTTGCAGCATTCTCACTTGCAGGAAGGCTAGTACAGATCGTTCTACTTGTACATGTGAGCAAGACATCGGATCATCATACGGGCGAGCATTGTTCCAAGTATACAGTATATGTGATCTAAAATGAAGTTTAACCCTTTCACATCGTAAGCTATGTGCGCGTAGTATCAACAAGATCCTTGATAAACTTACCCATCAACGGCGGTGATCATTGGCTGGCACAGCTGCCACTGGTGGAGGTCCGGGAGGAGCTCGACGCTAGTTACGGGCGGCAAGCGGGATGATCTGCTCGAGCTCGTCGCCTGGGGCTAGTATATCAACCATCCTCTTATCACTACCCCTGGCTGCCCACTTTTCCACGTCGAGAGCTAGAAATGTCATGCCCTGAAGACATACCAGAAGGCATGGATCATCAAATGCGATGGGTTTCGAAAGAACCAGTCCGGAATTGCGATTAGGGATGTTAATGGGTGGCGCATTATTTTCATTGCCGGGTCCCCGATCGATGTCCCTGACGCCATCGAAGTAGAAGTAAAACACGAGAACAGAAGTATTGGTGAAAAAGCCAATTTTGGACCCGAGGCTGTTGATTTGACCGAACGCCTGTCACAAAAAGCTTGATCAGTAATAGTCAACCGGAACATCGTGAAACGCAGATATACCATCTTCAACATCACATTCACATGACTGATTTCGTATGATTCGTTGATTTGAAAATCATAGGGAGCATCCTCGTTTACTAGCCACCAGGGTCCGTTGTAAATCTCACGGATTTCCTCAGTCTGATAAACCCAGGGAAGGTAAGCTTCACAATGAGCGCGTATAACATTTTTGTCAACGTCGCGGCTTGCAGGCGAGTTTATCAGTGCGAAGTCAGCTAGACCCGAGGGCTTGAACTTCGCGTCCAGGAATGCGGGAGCGGGGCGAGCCCAGCATGGGAAGAAGAACTGATCCTGGGCCTCTTCCAACGGCTGTTCTTCATTTGAGTCAACGCTTTCAAAGTAATGCCGTGTTTGGCTGTTCGATACGTTATTTGCGACCTCCAACGGACGGGCCCGGGGTGGCAGGTTAGCGTTGGTGATCGTGTTCTTATATCGAGTCTGTGTGAGGTAATTATAAACTGTCCGAGCAAATGAAGAAGCAAAAATACCTGAATGACCAGGTTAAGTAAAGGTACGACCTGATTCAACAGTACGTCTTGCACTGACTGATCCGTCACAAGAGGGAAAGGCCTAGAACTTCCGAGTCGAAATCTCTGCTCTTCATGGTGCATCCCGCAAATGGCCTCCGTTATCTGACGAGTCGGCGGTAGTAAGGTGTCGCCGTTAGGTGGGACCTCCGTGGTACGAAATACTGTGCCTGCTCCTGGAATTTTAATATTGGTGTCAACGTACGCCTGTAGGCGCTGGTCCATCTTATGCCCGTGATAAATCTTGCAGAATCCGCCAGGTTTGTCCAGCGACGGCCTGAGTGAGTTGCTGGGCTTGGTTACGCTGCTGTTAGTCACAGAAACAGTATGCCTAGCGGTCTTCCTGAGACATAGCGGGCGATGCTCGCCCATCGTCCGACCAACTATAAACGGAGATTCCAGCCGGTCTCTATATGAGCAGTTGTTGTCTCCCATGACGAACCACTATTAAACGGTTAATATCCGTAAGACAGAAGCTATGTTCACCACGAACCCGGACTGGAAGCTAGAACGCAGTCGAGGTTGACAAGGGCAACATGTCGAGAGGAATAATAAGCTGAGGGTAAGATTTAGCAAAACAAAATCGCACCGAGTCAATATGATTCGAGAAGCGTCAATGGAGCTCTGAGCTGAACGGTGGCTTGGTACGAAGGGTGCCGTTTTTAAGGTGTTTCCAGCCTGTGCACGGACCATGGCACACAGACTGTGAGGAAGAGACGTTAACTGCCTCAAATGACGAGCGTGTTCAAGTTAAGTTTAGAAGTGGCATATCGATCATCGATTGTAGGCGTATCACACTATCAAACCTTCACGCAGATGACTGCGGAAGCCACATTACTTATCGCACCTCGGAATCTTCAAACTGGAGTTCATACTAGGTTTCGCGAACTTGCGATTTCTTGCCCAAATTGAGTCTAGCCAGACCCAGGCTTCCAAGCAAGACATCAAACATCCGCGCGCTTCCCATACGACATGTTGGAGCAGCTGAGAGCCTGAGATTCTTGGGTTGATACTAGAAGCTGTCAGAGTTGTTAGTTGCTTAGGAGAAGGTCGAGCTCGAAGAGTCGACGCAAGAGTCGACGACGTCAAGCGCGGTCGTCGAGGCGAGCCGGAAAGGTCACGTCTCCGATGGGGTTAGTGATTTGTTGTCCTTTCATGTATGAGGTACTGATGCGCGTGTTTTACAGCAAATACGAATAGCGATGAGTCTCTTCGTTGTCGGTGTTGCGACAACCGTCATCGATCATCATTCTACGGCGCGTCACCAAGCCCGACTCACTCGATTAGTGTCCGGTGCGACGCCTCTAGCGGCAGATTTTTCTCTTCTCAGCATCTTTCGTCCGATAATCGGGGAGGGGTTGAGACCTATCAGCACATAAGTACTCTCAGACCGGACTTCAGCACAATTTCTCTATCGTCCAGCATCCGGTCGCCTCCACTCATCGGACATCCTCCTTGCACCGATTCATTCATCGTTTACTGTTAACGTTAACCTCGCCTCCGCCCGCGCCAGCGCACGTGCACTCGCCACTCCTCCTCTCCAGTCGCCCACCCTACTGTTCGCGCAGCAGCCACATGACATCACGATAATCACGACGATTACCCACTATCAATCATAACACACAAAAACATTCAAGTTCTCGCAGTTGCAGTCAAGTCTTCAGTTATTCGCCATGTGCCGTTGTCGCTTGCCGCTCCGCTCGGGTCTTCGTCCATCGTCTTTATCGTCTTTATCGTTCGCGGGGCCTTGTCTATTGGCTCGTCACCTAGTCAGTTCAGTACGCCGTCGGATCTTGTCGCCTCGCCTCGCCTTGCCTCGTCAAAACCTCGTATCCATATGCACGTTCTCGCCCTGGCCTCTTTTCTTTTCTCTTGGCAGAACTCTAAACCCGACAAGTTTCATTGATGCATGTCTCTAGCTATTAGCCCTCGCTCTCGATACAGATTTTCGGTTATTAACTCATATGATTGCTCGTTTGTTTCAGGCGTACGCTTTCGCAGTTTCTTTTGGTTGGCTTTTTGGATGGGTGATGCGTATCCGGTATGACCGTGCTATGGGGGTCCAGTGCGGTGTTTGTATCAAGGATATCAAAGTGGCTCTTTCGAAGAGAGCTTGCGAGGATGCGAGTGGAGTACGAAGGATCAAGACGGAGGCGAAGATGAAGACGACGTGTAAAGCGCAGCGAAGCAGGCGAGCAAGTGCATGAGCAAGAGGCGCAAGGAATGTTTGTGGTTGGATCTAGAGTTTGGTGTGTACGTAGTACGATAGACGCTACAAGGTAGCTATGGCATTGTGTCAACGAGTATTGGTTCTTCAACAACAAAAGTTGCACACTCATATCATCACAGATAACACACTTGCACAAAGTCCTCGTCCACGAGCTCAACCTGATTATCCAGCGAAAGCACAATGAAAGCTGTAGGAACCCTCCTCCACGCCAGATTTCCGCTATTCTGCAGTGGCACCCTCCGTCCCACCGTAAAATTGACCTGCCTGCTCTCGAGAAGAAACCCAGTGACGGGCGTGCCCAACACCGGCCTCATGGCCAGCGCCGGATAGTTATAATGCGTCACCCCAAGAGCGTACCTCGTCCTCGCCCCATCGTGTCCCGGGTTCTCGCCCCCAGCCCTCTGCACAGGCCACAGCGTCGCGTCCTTGTCGAGCTTGAAGTCGAGCGTGATCTTGACAAAGTTCTTCAGCTGCGCCTTAAAATGCGCCGACTCGTCTAGCCTAAACTTGGCCACCCCCCGCACGCACCCGTCGCCCGAGCACGCCGTGATGAGGTTCAGCGGCAACACGACAAGCGGTACCCGCAGCCCCTTGCTCGTCAGCGCCATATCGATCCTGCATATCCCATCCTTTGGAAAGCTCGGCGCCCCCACATAGCTTGCCGGCGACGCTGGAAAACACTCCGTCGCGGGGTGCGGCGCAGGCTTGCCGCGCCAGTTGAGCACAGTGGGATGTCCGCCAGCCATCATGATCGCCTCGACGAGCCTGACGAACGCCTGGTCCCCTCCTTCGCCGTACGCGATCGGCATCGACACGCCAAAGATGCCCATCAACGCGTACGCGCCATCCTCGTCTCTTGTCACGCGCCTGCTCGCCGCCCAACACATCTTATGGACCACGTTCTCCATCGACGGCGCGAACGTACACAACTCCGTAACAGAGACCCCCGTGATCGCAGAGATGCGCTTGATAATCCCCGACTCGGCCGTCTTCTCGCTGTCCAGCAGCGACAGCGACACCCACTCCCTGACAAAGAACAAAATCCTAGACGGCGCAAGCAGCTCCTGCAGCGTCCACCCCCTCTTGAACCACTCGTCGCCCTCGAGATCACCAAGCGTCGCCGTGCCCGCGAGATGCAAAAAACACGCCACCGAGTTCCGGTACCACCTGAACATCGACCGTATACTCTCGTCCAGCTCCGCACTGCTCGTTTTGTCGATACAGTACGTGTCCGCCCACCCAAACGCGATCCCCCGGCGCCGCGCCTCCGCACAGAACCTGACCACCTTCGCCCACCCGGTCGAATCCCCCTTCATCTTCACCTGTGTCTCCGCAGGGGCACTAGAGACCTCCTGAAAATCCTGGAACGTCGGCTCGTCCTCCGACCAGCGATGCGCAGCGTCGCATAGCGCACCGTATCCCGCACAAGCCGGCGCACCGCGTCCCGCCGGCGCGGATCGTGCTCAGGCGCGTCGATGTCCGCCTCCGTGAGCGCGTCGATGGCGGGCTGGAAGTACGCGCGGACGGCGTCGCGCCCGACGAGGCTGAGGCTGGGGCGCGGCGGCTCGTCTGGCGCCTGCAAGCTGCACTGGTCGCCGTAGTCGCCGTCGCCGTCGCCGAGATCGCGCGAGATGAGCCGGATAGGAATGTCGTTAGCCGTATAGCGGATGTATTCGCGCTGCAGGCCTTCGATTGGCATCTTGGTCCGCGTTAGGTGCCTCAGGTTTGCGTCTGTCAGTGTCGATTGAATCAGTGCAACGAAGGTGGGTAGAGGAACATGGGACGCACATGAAGGATGGACGGAAAGAAAGGTTGAACCTGTGACGTATGGAGATCGTGCTCATGTCAATGAGGAGCCAACAGTAGCCATCTCGCTTAGCGATGTCATGACAGGTTATGACAAGGCGGATCATGAGTGCATGAACGCGTAAAACATACGAAATGCAGCTGCCAGCAAAAGATAGATGCATGCACCATGTCGAGTTCCAGGCCTTGGCATGTTAACATTGAACAATGTCCTGAGTAGGTCTGAGTAGAGATTGTGCTTGTGTATGATGATGGTACATGCAGTGATAAGTATTAGCTAACGGCATTATAAGATGCAAGTGGACTCTACAAAAGAAAGGTCCAAAGTGAATAAGCCACGAATGGGGCTTGTACTCTAGGGTATATCATGTCTTGCTCGGGCCAACAGGGATCGACGGCTGCTCTTTGAGCGGATGCTCGTCCCTAGCCTGCTCGAGGAGATCGCTGAGTCCCCTGTCCTTCACTGCTTTCTATTGTTGCGTCACGGAGCATAGTCACGACAAGCAGTTCACAGGGACATAATATAACCCCAATCAGCCTCTTCAAAGCACAAGATGAACATGGGCGCACCTGGACACAAGCCTTGTACTCCCTCCAGACACCCCCGCAGTTTGTCTCAAAGTCCTCTGCCTTCTTCTTTGAATACTCCGTGCGCTGTGCAGGCGTGGCATTCGCGTTCTGCGCGACTGCAGGTTGGAGATAGGACTCGAACCAGGTGTTGAAACACGAGTCGTACGCGTGCTTGAGAGGCGTGCATTCCGGTGATAGCGAGTGCGCCATTATTGTGTTGTGGAAACAAGCAGAGTGGTCGAGGAGGAGGAGGAGCCTCGACGCGTCTTCACGCGGCTTTCGGCACGAACAAATGTGGGAAATTTCATGTTGGTCTCATGTTATTCCGAACGCTCAAGTTCTACTAGTGCGTACACCGAAATGGACGCTCATCGTGTCTGCTCAGGGCTACGTACTCGGAAGAAAATAGGTTGGACGCTTATCGAGGTCCACATGCTCTCAGAGGCACATGACACGAGCTTCTTGAACTTTGGGCTATCTTTGCTTATCAGTCCAACAAGCACTATTTCATGTTTGTCTCTCGCTTTCGACTCCCTTGCACGCGTTAGTGTAAGTAGATTGACACCAGTCCGTCCATGGCAGAGAAAGCGCTTCGGATTGGAGTCGACGTAGGAGGTACCAATACGTGAGTTCCTGTGGTCGTGCATTCATAATATGGTTGACCTCCGCGCTCAGCGATGCCGTCCTGCTCGATCTTTCTTCAGAGCCGGGTACCCGAAAGGGCCGTGTCCTTGTCTCAGCTAAGCACCCTACTACTCCTGACGTGACAGAGGGCATCAAGTCTGCCGTCCGAGCCATCCTCCGCAACATGTCAGATCCTGCCAATGCAGGGATACAAGCGGTCTCTATCGGGACTACAGTACGCACCTCCCTGCACGGGTCTTTTTGTTGCATTTCTTCATCACGAACAAGTAGCACTTTGTGAACGCACTGGTCGAACGTGACACTCGCCGCCTGGACAGAGTTGCTGTTATCCGACTCTGCGGGCCGTTCACGCACGGTACACCGCCGTTCGTTAGCTTTCCATTTGAGCTGAGAGATTGTATGCTTTTATCTTACTTCTACAACATTGCACTAACAAGCTACATAAGTGCTAGAAGGACCGTCATTTCTCGTCTCCGGTGGTCTGCAGATCGACGGCAGCGAGATCGCGTCTGTCAGCAAAGACGAAATTGTCAATGCATGTGCTGAGATCAAGAAGCAGGTAAAGCTGGGTCTGATTGGTCCCATCTATTCTCACAGTATATAGGGCATACAAGCTGTAACAGTCGTATCCGTCTTTGCACCCATCGACTCCGAGATCAAACAAGAGGAAACCGTAGCCGCCATCGTCAAAGAGCAGCTTCCCCACATCGACATTGTGTGCTCCAAAGACGTCGCCCACATCGGCCTTCTTGAGCGAGAAAACGCCGCTATTCTGAACGCGTCGCTCCAGCGGTACGCTCGACGGACTGTGCGCAGCTTTCAGGACGCGATCCGCGCTCTGGACCTGAAATGCCCGGTCTTTATCACAAGTAATGATGGGACACTGCTCAGTTGTGCGCAGGCAGCGCATTTACCTATCAGGACATTGTAAGTGCATCAGCAAACCCCGGGTGTACTCGTCTGATCGCACAAAGTTCGTCGGGACCTACGAATTCGATGCGAGGTGCATCGTTCTTGGCGTCCATGGATACAGACATACCGCAAGGTCAGTCTGCGTTGGTAATTGACATTGGTGGCACTACGGTGAGTTTTGTTGACAACGCACGTGAGCTTCGTGCTTACGATCTCAGACAGACATCGGGGTGCTTTTGTGAGCACTACAATTGTATTGTTACACTGTTATGATTTGTCTGACATGCTGCAGACCCACCGGGTTTCCTCGACAAGCTGCATCTTACCACGAGTTATGCGGAGTGAGACTCAACTTCTCCATGCCTCACGTCACCAGGTCTTTTCTCCTTATCATCCCACACATATATTATGTTAACAAGCAGACAGTATCGGACTTGGAGGAGGCTCTCTAGTCCGAGAGCACCCCACGACGTCCAAAGTCTCAGTCGGCCCTCAGTCAGTCGGTCACCGCATCACATCTGAAGCTCTCGTTTTCGGCGGCTCCACGCTCACCGCTACTGACGTCGCCGTAGCCTTAGGACGCGCACAAAACATTGGCAATAAGACTCACCTCTCGGAATTGGACGTCGAGACTATCCTCGGTGCCCAGGAAGCAATCAAAGTGCTACTCCAGAACGCAGTGGACGCAATGAAAACATCCGCTCAAGACATACCCGTATTCCTCGTCGGTGGTGGATCAATCTTAGCACCGGACGAGCTGGCGGGCGTCTCACGGGTGCACCGTTTCCACCATTTTGACGTCGCGAATGCCGTCGGCGCCGCCATCGCCCAGGTTTGTCGCTCCCAGGTGCACTTTACCACCCAGGGCACATCCTGACCATAGGCACAGATATCTGGTGTAATCGACTGCTTCCAAGACACGTCTACCCGGTCCATCTCGGAAGCCCAGGCTGACACCGAAGCCCAGGCTCGCGCTCGCGCCATCTCTGCCGGGGCCGACCCTCGCACCGTCAAAATCGTCGAAAGCGAAGCCATCCCGATCGCATACACCTCCGGACGCTGTCGGTTCTACGTCAAAGCAGCCGGCGAGTGGTCCGGAACGACACACCCCCACGACGACCTACCCCTCCCCGTAACCGAGCTCCACACTCCAGAATCTACAACAGAAGCAGCCGTCCCCTCCACCCCACCACCCCGCACCGCCCGCAAAGCCCCACCTCCCCACCTATCCACAGCACCCGACATCCTCGCATACACACCCACGATCCTCAACCGCTCCTGGCACCTCTCCGAGACCGACCTCGAGTGGCTCGCAGACGGATGCTACATCCTCGGATGCGGCGGCGGCGGCTCGCCGTTCCACACCTTCCTCGAGCTGCGCGAGATGCTCCGCAACGGCGACATTGTGCGCGTCGTGGATCTGGCCAGCGTTGCGTCGCAAGCGCCGGACGCGCTGGTCGGGTGGGGAGGCGGGATGGGCAGCCCGGAGGTGTCGCGAGAGCGGCTGCTTGGAAACGAGTGAGTAGTCGTGCGTCTTCTGGATGTATTTGTTCCGTGCTAAGGTCGACGGGGAATGTGAACAAGGTACAATGAAGCTAGCGCTGACCTGTGGTCGTTCATGGGGGTCTGTCCACGGCTCCTGACTATCTGTTCTTAACACCATCATGAAACATCTTAGATTGACAAACCTGCGGCCCTTGTGGCACTTGAGATTGGTGGAGGGAACGGCCTGATCAATGTGAGGTTCTGTGTGCTCGCTCAATCGCTGAAGACTTATATAGCGCAGATGATCACAGCAGCTACGAGTAACTTCGACATTCCGGTGGTGGATGGCGATTTCATGGTAAGTGTATCTACGGACTAGGTAACCTGACACATGTAAAATTATCTCATAGGGGCGTGCATATCCTACGGTAAGGATCAAGATACAGTGCGATCGGTCCACGCTAAGCTCGAGCAGTGGCATCAAACCACTGCAAACGTTTATGACGAAAGTGGCAGAGGGCTTAACTTGCTCCCAAGTGCAATCTCCAGTGGAGACGGTAATGTCATGGTACCCCTCTGCTTCAGCACCTATGAACGTACATTCATAAGTAATCTCTCTAGATCATGACCAAAGCACGGCGCGATATAGACGTCGACGCCTCCTTGCGGGCTGCATGTGTCGAGATGGGGTGAGACGATCCTTCTATCTATGATTTGTAACTTACTAAGACGTTTCGTCAAACAATAGCACGCACGTCGGACAAGCGAGCCGCCCCCTAGAAGCAAAAACGTTGCACATCTCTCTCATTCCCAACACCGTCTCGTTGGCCTGGCGCATTGGGCGTGCAGTAGCCCTCGCCCGCAAACAATCAAGTCTATCCCGCATTGGCCCGATCCTCGTCGACGCGGTCGGCGGTCCTAGCACCGCCAGGGTCCTATTTGTGGGCAAGATTGCCTACGTGAACCGGAGGTAAGTTTATGGCATTTATAGCACGGCAGCAAAGGGCAGTTTGACAAAGTGCGTGTGTCCGTAAAATAGGTTGCACAAAGGTCACACGATCGGCGAGGTCATCATCCATGCCCTCAAGACCGAGGACACAGAAGACGAGACTCCAGAAACCGAGCGCTTCTCCGGAACGCTGAAGATACCGTTCAAGAACGAGAACCTCTATGCCGAGCATGATGCAGGGAATGGACAGCCTCCCAAAGTACGTTCTGTGTCTCTCCATAAAGCCAATATCTCTTACGCCACTGAGCACAGGTGGTCGCATCTGTACCAGACCTCATATCTGTCCTTGACGCGCGCAACGGCTCAGCGCTGGGTACACCAGACTACAAGTACGGTCTGCGCGTGCTTGTGCTTGGCATCACGGCTGCACCTCAGTGGACAGAGACTGAGCGTGGCCTTGCGTTGGGAGGGCCTGCCGCTTTCGGGTAAGTACTGAGTTGTTTTCGGGGTAAGACTATCACTGACGGTGCCATGATCACGCTCAAGCTTTGAACATATTCCATACGTACCTCTCAAAAAGTGTGTGAAGCCAAAGTCCGTCATCGAGGAGTTTGGTCAATAGATGGTGTCTCCGAGTGCTGTAATCTGAGAGAGATAATCGTGGTGCCCTATAGATATAGGTTGAAAAGTGCATTTACGCTACTTTCACCGGCGAACTGTTTTCTAGGATGAACTAGTAGCGCCCATACTACTGAATGGCTGAGAGCAGACGTGACGTTCTTCTGGCACAGGCTCGGGTTATTCAATGTTGTCAGCGAAAAGCCACAGGAATTTTGAGAAATATAATCGTAGGACTAGATACAGTCATCCATCATTTGGTAAATCATATGAGCAAAACAGGTAAAGCAAAGGCAAAGTCAGGTAAGGTGCCAGGAGACGAAGAGGTGCCAAGATAGGGGCTTCATGTCAAGCGCTCGCAGCACCGACGCGGCGTCAGATCCGTCACTGCGTCCAACACCACCTCACCCTCACCCACTTCCTACCTCCACACCATGGTCCTCGTCCTTGTCATTGGAGATCTCTACATCCCCAATCGCGTACATGACCTCCCTGCGAAGTTCAAGAAACTCCTGGTGCCCGGCAAGATCCAGCAGATCCTCTGCACAGGAAACGTATGCGACCGCGAGACGTACGACTATCTTCGAACAGTAGCGAGCGACGTGCATGTAACAAGAGGAGACTATGACGAAGTGAGCCCCAACCCTGGTCACCTAACATGAGGAGCGATGCTGACGCTGAGATGGGATACCGCGTATAGAGCTCAGCGTTCCCGTTCTCTGTCACTGTGACCCACACTCCGATAAAGATAGGCGTCATACATGGACATCAATGTGTGCCAACAGGAGACTTGGACGCACTTGCAGGTATCGCGCGTCAGCTGGACGTGGATGTACTTGTATCCGGCCATACACATACGTGAGTGGTGCATACTTGTCTTCAGTTCTCGTTCTAACAAGAGTGCCATGGTGAAGCTTCCAAGCTATCGAATATGACGGAAAGTTCTTTGTGAACCCAGGGAGTGCGACGGGGGCTTGGACGGGTCTGCCTACTGCGTACGTCTTCATTCCGTTGACCCCTCCAAAGCTGTCTTCTGAATATCGATCCTTTGAACGCAGCGCCCCAAATCCAACACCATCATTCGCTCTTCTCGACATTCAAGGGCCTGTCGTCGTGACATACGTGTACCAGCTGGTGGATAACGAAGTGCGCGTGGAGAAGATAGAGTACCGCAAAGAGCTCGTGCCTGCCAATGAATCGAGGTGCGTTGACATGACACATATCCTAGTCTTGGAGCTTACCTATTCCTCAAGATCAAACGCCATACCAAACCCCGCGGGTGGACCTCAGAGCACCGTTATGCCGCAGAACATCCCAAGTTCCCCTGCTCACCAGTCTGTCTGGTGAGACTGCCTAATGCGCAGCCGTGCACAGCTCGTCTGCATTGTATGTCGATATCAACTTGGATTGGTAAAGTCCTTTGTATAGATACTTTATGAGGATGCCTCATCTTTTTGGCTTTTATCCTGCCTCTGACTGATGTGTTTGGCTGCTGTATGGCGTGCGGTAAGTCTTTAAACTCACAGCGATCTCGATCTTGTCCGGACGAAGGAATGCTTCCTCAGCCCAGTTGACTTTGTATCTACTTTTGAAGTACAGTACCTCTTGGTATTGGCATTGAGATTGACCTCGCGCGATTCAGATTATCACCACCATCAAATAAATTGACCTCGTAAAGACCAGATGAACATGAAGCTAACCGTACATAAGTAATAATATCAACCAAAAGAAAATATTCAGGCGTATTCTCTAACGTCAACTAGGAACCTTGGAAGGCACCTGGCTCTTTAGGCCACAAGCTGAGGTGAACAGTCAGCAGCAGATCAGTAGCCACAGAAGAGGATGAGCTCACCAGAGCAAGGTGGCCACCAACAACGGGACGAGCCTGGAACTCGTACGTGATGCCAGATCCGAAGGGCTGACTGCCAAACGTATGCGCCGCGCCGGAGCCGGTTTCGTACAGATCGGAGTACGGGAACATGTTCAGGGCATTACCGTCCGTGAGGTACGCGTACTGCCCGTCGATGATCGAGTTGCGCACGTCGACGTCCGACACAAACGCGGCGGTCCACAGCTGCCAGTCTGTCTTGGACCACGGCTCGCGCGAGTCGAGGGCGAGGCCGTACTGCCCAACCTGCGTCTTGTACCACGCGGTCTCGGTGTCGATGACCGACTGGGGGAACACGTTCGTCTGGAGGAGCTTGTCGGCCCACAGGTTGTAGGCGGAGAGCCACGACGAGCTGTTGCCGTAGTTGAAGTTGAGGTGCTGGCCGCTCGGGTCCATGGCGGTCTGGACGATGAAGGTGCTGAATTGCGCGGCGGTGTCCTGCGTACAGTAAATAAGCAAGTGATCTTAGAGGGCAGAATGGAGGGTAACGTACACTATACTGCGACTGCTTGTCGGTGTTGCCAATGAGTCCCTCCATGATCGACATCCCCTTGATAGCGACAGCGGCCTTGATGGCGAGGTTGGTCTGGTTCAGGTACCCACCATCCGGGGACGGCTCGAAGTCGTCAGTCGACAGCTGGCCTCCGGGAGTGAGGGCGTTGGTAGTGAGGTAGTCGGTCCAGGTCTCAAGTGCAGAGATCTATTTGAGCGATAAGACATCACCACCGTCTGAAAAGTCGGGAAGGTGGACGTACATAAGACGAGATCATAGAAGTGTCGTTCGTCGCCTGAACGTAGCTCGTGAGCATGATGAGCATGTTGCCGGACTCCTCCACAGGCATCTTCTCGACCTTGGTCTCATCGCTGTAGCCAGTGGCGTCGGGGAACTTTTGGCCAAGGTCATGCACCGCGTAGCCGTACGTCCAGATGCCGGTAGCCTGGAAGTCGAGGAGAGGCTTGAGCAGGTACTTGCCGAGGGTCGGGTTGGTGTAGAGCACGAGAGGCCACATCGGGAACATGACATCGACAGTTTGCATGTTCTGTACGACATCTGTCAGTCGCTGAACAATGAAAACAGGAAATCTAGACTTACGCCGTCCGAGGAGATCTCCTTGAGGAACAGGTAGGGGTTGTCAGTATTCCACGAGCCATCAGAGTTCTTGCCGAGCGTGAGCTCAAGACCACCAAAGGCCTGACGGATGGTCAGAGCAACGAGAGCGTAGTAGTGGTCCGAGATGGCGGATGCATCGCTCTTGACCTTGGCATCGAACGTGTTGGCGTCCGAGAGGGCGGTCGAGTAGTCGGCGACGAAGTCGTTGATCTGCGATAAGTCAGCATCGCATCGAACGATCTATCAAAACTTTTGACTCACAGCATCGAGTACACTGCCATACTTGGACCAGAAGTAGGTGCTGTAGGGCACCTGTCCGCCGCCAGCGACGACGTACGCGGCAGCAGGGTCGCGGACGTGACCAATGGTGAAGAGCAGAGGGTCAGTGGCAGTCGTGCCGACAGTACCGAGAGTGTGCGAGAAAGCGAAGACGGGCCAGTTGTCACCCGCAGCGCGGAAAGCGGGGTCACCGGCGTTGATGAGGACGCCGTTGTTGATGAACTGAGCACGGACGTCGTTGTAGCCACCGGTTTGCCAGGTAGCACCAACAGACTAGGAACACGATTGATCAGCTAACAAAGCAATAACTGATGTAGAAATACTACTGACGCTCTGAGTGGAGAAGTAAGCGGCGCCGTACTGAGTGTGGTCGTTGAACTCGGTGTAGAGGATCGGGTTTTGAGGTCCAACTTGGTGGGTCCAGACATCGCCGGCGGTGGTCGAAGTCCAGTTCACAATCTGGGTGGTGTCACCGACAGCCCATTCGGCGGTGATATCGGAATAGATGGCGACGCTGTGGGAGCCACCGTCGTTCGCCACAGCGGAGAGGGCCATGTATGAGAACGGCGTGCCGAGCTTGACGAGATCGGTGGGCTGTGTGTACACCAATGCTTAGAACTTTGCTTGCATGCTGTAAACGACACCGATCTCACCTCGACAGGGCTGAGGAAGTTGACCGTGAGGTCAATGGGACCAGCACTCAGCACAAAGGTGGATTGCGTGGAGGTGTACTGCAAACCGTAATTTAATCACGATGAGGCGCTGAAGGATGGTATTGGGAACGTACCGTCATGCTCTTCTGCACTGCAAGAGCAGGGCTGAGGTTGGGAACGGCCGGAGCTCCCATCCAGGTGTAGACGGTGCCATCGACGGCGACGTAACCAGTCCATCCAAGGAACTACGACAGTTATGAGTGTTGGCCTGGCATCGGGCAAATGGGGGTGCACGTACAGAGCCGGTCCAGAACTGAGGCCAGTTACCGGCGAGGGAGTTGCCTGGTCCTTGGGAGAGCCACGCCGACAGATAGGGGGAGCGAACGGCAAGCGGAACAGAGGGAGGCATAGCAGGGTCGCTGGTCCAGGAGGGCTGGCCAACGACGCTGGTGGCCAAAAACGCCAGAGAGGCGAAGGAGAGGAGGCGGGAAAGACCCATGATCCTGCGTTTTGGTGAAGGATAATGATTGTGACATGCATGGCTTTTATACGAAAACCTGACACAGCGATAGACGGACTGCAATATTCTGACATTTCGTCAGTGAACGGAGGTAGACAGCTATGACAAGGTCGAATTGTCGACATGTTTGGCCGCCTTGGACAAAGCGATGAACATGCGGGTGGAACAAGCCGGGGCAGCGTATGGAACGTCGGGGGCGATCACGAAGCTTAATTCCGTATAGACGACTTCGAGGCCGAGATTTATGTCTAAAATGGCCGATTAGTGACCGATGATCGACTCCTCGAACACGTCCAGCGAGCTCCAATTTGGGGTCCAGCAGTGCCCAGCGTGGGTTGACAGAACATTGACAGCACTTTCCCAGGCGGGACGAGGCGGTCCAGCGGGGGACCATGCGCTTCTCCTCCCCTCTGCTCCGGATGGCGTTTTCCATCAAGTCATTCAAGTCTCGTGCCTTTCTCTCCCTCTCTCCCAACCCCATCCTACGACATCGCCTGTATGCCAGCGTGTGCCCGTCAGCACAGACAGGATTGTGCCTTGTGCCCGTCCTTCAATATGCCCGAGCAAAGCTGGCACTTGTCAGAAACCACCGACTATCCATCGCCACGTTCAGCGCTAGAAGCTCGTATTCCCCACAGAGCTCCCGTTTGCTGCCAGTTGCCTTGCTGATGTTTGCCGTTCCACGCTAGCGTCTGTTTCATCATTGACGCCTACGTCGCCCCTTGATGTTTGTTCTCCGTATAGCATGTCTCGTCACAGACCTCGCGGATGACGCGATGACAAGAGGCAGGCTATGGCGTATGAAAAAGGACATCCGCTTCGTTCTTCACTTGTTGGAAAGCACGGCAGATATCACAAGTTTTTACATGGGCGACTAGCTGATTCGAAGGACTTTAACGCCTTTCTTCAATGAACTACATCGCCGTATCCAAAGTCACTGCACATACCTCGATAAGCCTACTCGCTCCTTTCAGCATCTGTGTGCCGTGGTGACTCATGATCATGAACGTCAATCTCTATCAGGACCGATGAACATTTTGCTCGCATCCCAACAAGTTCTGTTACAGGATGCGAAGTCGTCGTCGGGAGTTCATCCTCCGACAAGTGTTGACATTATCACATCAGATCCGAATCTGTTTCTGGTCCAACTCCGCGCTGACGAATCCATCAGCTTCCTCTGTCGCCATAAGCCACTGCGAAGAGACACAACCGGCGATGGGGTCATGAACATGTCGGGAGTGTGCACGCTAGCCGAAACCAATTTACCCCCTTAGTACCCATACATCTGCAATCGTCCCGTCGGCAAAACCTGCACCTGTGAACAGCTCTAGGCCCAGAGTGGAAGCACCGAAAGCACACGTAAAATGGTCGTGATTGTAGATGGGTGTCACTGCGAAAAAGAAGGCATGGAAGGCATCAACTAGTAGTACTTCGGCTGAACTCTTCTCTGAACAAGGACATGAACAGTGGGACTAACCGCAAAGCCGATGATGTAAAGATTGAGGCCGAAAGTTGCTTCAAACTGTATGCGCTCCCGGTTTCGCATCATTGAAGTGTACCACACGACGAAGGATGAAGACCATGTCACTAGATGAGCTCATTCATTCATCTACAGCGTGAGGTAGCCTTCTGCGAGATATTATAAACCAAGACCGAAAAAAAACACAAGCGATGTGAGCGACCGTCCACTTTTTAAATGAATGAGAAGGGAAAGGTGTCTCGGCATTTACCTGGCCCGAAGTCTACCTGCAGATAATATGCGCCCGCCACCAGTCAGAAAAACTAGACAAATAAGCAGCCTGCATACATAGATGACACTCTAGCCATTGACAGTGACAACACTCACCGTCGACTCTTTACCTGGCATCTCCCCGTCGGCGGCGGAGACGGCAGTAGACCGCATGTCGAATGTCAAGTGAAGTCGAGTTGGCAGAAGGAAGAAACGAGCGTACGGAGACTTTGCAGCCGCCGGCCACAAAGACAGCTCCTGGACGAGCAGGCAAGTGAGGCAGCATCGCAGCACCAGGCACAGGAGGATCGCCCGCAAAATGGTTCCTTTTTTGCGGCCTACGATCAGTAGTCTCGAAGACTTGTCAATGAACCAACGTGACGCGCCTACAGACAAAAATGTGGTTACGTGGTTAGGAATAAGATGATGAGGTGCTATGACGAAGTGAGAGACAACTTAGACAAGTAGGACTCGGATCTGCTCAACACCCGTTCAGCCGACAGTCTGAGATGACGAAAGGTATCTGCAGTTCGCTGTGTGCTTTTTAGTGCGACCGAAAGCCAGAGATACCAGGCAGGCGCCCCTAAACGAGCGAACGAGCGCCCGGCGAGCAGCATATTCGGTTGGGCTGGCTCTGGCTGGCTTTGGGTGTTGAGAGTGGAAGTCGTCATTAACCTGTTCCGGCCGGATCTGGCGTGAGCCGGGGATTCTCCACCGCCCGAGGATTTGTCAATGTTTGGCAAGGGCATCGGAATCCAGCAAAGCCAAACAACCGCTTCCGCTCTGCATCGCAAGTTGCTTGTTCATACCATCCGGGTCTCGGCTGGCGTTTCCATCACATTGTACGGCGGATGTATGAGTCACGCTGTAGTGCATGTCAAGCGCTGCTGTCCCATGCATTCGTTTCTGCTTTCTAGACTTATCTTTTCGCCAACCTCCCTGAAATAATGTCCCATTTAAATCCTATTTGTGCAGGCGCGGGCAACTCGGAAGCGACATCTTCTGAACCAAGCGTTTGCACGACAGAATGCAAAAAAGACCAAGCAGGTCAAGGAACGGAGCCGTGCTTTATAAACGCCGCCGCTGCCTCTGAGGCACTCTCAGGTTGGGGGACATAAAGTGCGCGAAAGACGGCAGGAAAGCGTCTTGAAACTGGACGCCGCGCGTGCTGGCGCGTCGCCTTCAAGCCAAATTTCAACATATTTAGCGCCATCTTATCATTCCCTTGGGGCTCACTAGTTTGAGGTTGGTAGCCTTCAACTTCAACCCCGCGCTCTTACTTCAATAAACACGGTGACTCTCGAGTACCGACAGCCAACTCAGTGCGGATGCGCGTCGATGTCCTCGGCGATATACATCGGCCGTATACACGTTGAACTTTATTATACTTATATTAATACCTTTAAGATCCTCAAAACACATGCATCTACCAGGATCTCGAGAGCTTTAAATAAGCTCAGCCTCCCTTATAATCATCCCTCCGACGGCGCTATGCCTGGAACGTCGTCACACAGACGCGCGAACCCTTGCACTATGACTTCTGTAGCAAATGATATTCATGACAACGGCTTATCTTTCTCCAATGACTCTCAAGTAGATCACCCACGCCTGTATACTGTATCCGACCTACCGGAGCAATGACTTAGGCGGAGAGTCGCTCCTTCGTGTTTTACCCACTACCAACTTCACTTGCAGCAAGATTGATATTATGGTTGTGGGGGATCCAATCAGAGACGGGGACGTACACTCAAGGTTTGGCATATTCACCTTGAGCGTGGGATGCAACGACGGTGGAGGCGGCGGTATGACAGGTATAACTGATACTCGTGGTCACGGGTCCGGTGATTATCAGAATCCTGTCGAAGTTGATGTAAGTGTTCCGTGTCTGCTCACAAAGTCTCAGGCTGCTGTTAATGATGTATACAGTGGTCAAAGCAAAGCCCACGGGCAATTTTCTGTTCAATACTTTTCAACCACCAGTCTTAATCAGATCCTGCGCATGTCCCGAGGGGTTAATGCTCTCCCCTCTTGCTAAACATAATGAATGTTCATTGCACAATGACCACTTTACAGGGAACTCATCTGGCGACCTTCTTACCTATCGTTCTTATAACAAGGCATACTCGAGGAGGTAAAGATGGAAAGCCTGCCGAGGATACCAGATGAGGATTGGACGAGGACATAAGTAATGTAATGGATAGTATATCTTCTTGCTTTCTACATACAAGTAAAAACGATGCAACAAAGCTTAGCATATTACAGACTATACAGGGATCCTGTAATCAAAACGAGCCATGTACACAGGCTATGTTCTAGCCTTTATGTGTCTACGCGTTCAGTTTGACGTCGCACTGTTGCAAATTCCAAGGTTTCAATCCCTTCTCCCCCTCCGCTTGAGTCCCCTCCCTCTGCCTGCATATTACTGTACTCCCGAACACTGAGTATCATAAAGGGCCCAAGCATCGAATAATAGAAGGAGGTGAGAATAATTTGGATGACATCGTATAGTAAGGTGGTGGACACAAGATTGGGCTGATCGCTGATTTAACTTCGGGATGATCATATGGATATGAAGAGAGATCACACGTACAAGAGGAATTAACGCAGCCATCGTAGATAATAACAGAGCTAGAAAGGCCCTGCATTCGGTCGATTAATAAGGACGCCACCAACTTGGTCAAAGTCATGGCTTACGCGACATAGTAGAGCACATTATCCCTCAAGACCAGTCCAGCCAGGGTGTTTACTGTGATTGTTCTATCCCGGGTTTGATTTCCTCTTTTGCGGAGTTCTGTATGTTGTTTGACGAGACAGGCAAGAGACATGCTACAAAGAACGGTTTCATAGGCAAGCAGAGCAATGTTTGCAGATATGTTGTACCACAGCTGAAGCTGGGATAGAAGGAACCAACACGTCTCGACCCCCGATACCTGAAACACTGGCATGCCAGTAGATAAGCAAAGATGAAAGTATGAGTAATAAGAAGGTGATCAGTGACCGTCAGTCTTCGGAGCTTACTACCTTGCGGTTCCAGGGGATACGTGGCCATGAGTAAGAGTACAATGTTCGCGACTTGAGCTACCACAAAAGCGGTGCTGAGAAAAATCAATACTCGTCTAGACCTTCCATAGAGGGCGTATATCCGCAATGCCATCATCGCTAAAATACTCAGTCAAAACTTGCATCTCCGTACAGACTTTAAGCACATACCATTGAGAACGAAAGCCGAAGCTAAACTCGCAAATATTTGAGGTGTTATAAATGCTCCATAGCCTTCAAGCCTATTAGCCCGAACTTCATGCAATACGTTGGAATAGAGATTATACTTACAGCTAAACATATGTGTCCCGCGGCCGGTGAGACTGTGAGTGGGATATGGAATCTATAGTTTATGGGTACAGCTTACATCTATGCCAAACACTGAGCAAGCAAAATATCAACTTATATAGTTCGAGTCACTCACCCTGGGTGACTCGTTCTTCGCAGGCAGAACTATACTATGTCATAATCTTTACTATTCAACAAATATCAGGAACACCTACATGTCCTGTTGTTGGTGACAATTTGAGTTGCATTTTCTCCTCCCCATTGCCCTAGCAATATTGCTCGCTTGACTAAAGTCTACTCACAAGTTATATAACATTCCACCGAGCCGCAGCTTGATAATATCCGTTTATCAGGATATAGTGCCTGATAAAGGTACTTGTAAACATACTGTTCCGTATGTTAACTTGACAAATAAAGGGCATTGCCTCTCCTATGAGTGACTTCTGAGCGGATATACTTTGATTATGCTCAGTCATAACGTCTAGCTCACCCAAATAAGCCTTTTCTGAAAGAAAAAAACGGAATAACATCAGATTCGTCGTAGACTTGTGGAACGTCTCTGACCTCACGGTCCATGTCGAGCACTAGTGTTACGATGGAATAATGATAGTACGTAATCTTGAAATGAAATTTGATTGTCGTAACATGGAAAACCCACCCCATGAATACAGATTTATGAAAGCCATTGCCACTTTAAAGGAAAGCAATTACTACTATCCAAGTGTCCGACCTGCATGGAGGGCGCAAATTCTTGCTCACCGCTTGAGTAAGTAGATATCTGTGAGGTCATAATGTTAGTGATAACAGGGGGTGAGGACATGATCAAGAATTAGGTCGAAACAGCGGAAGACAGGATGCTTAACGGCTGAGGTTGTAACCCATACTTATACTCCAGGCAGTTTCACATCAAGGTTGCGATCGTGATGCTCGACATACCATGTGAATGATAAAAATACTCTTCTCCCATCGTCGTCACCTACGGGAGAGACACAGCATCCATGGATGTATAACCGGATTTCTTGATGATGAGCTAGGGAAACCCTATTTCAGACACATACATATTCATCATATGATCTCCCAACACCCAAGCGGTACGACTTTATATATCAAATGGCCGCAGCATTAGACCTTAGTACTCTCTGTTTTACGAGGTTTTCTTGGTAACTTCAATGTCGAACATCCTAACTACCGTTCTAGATATGACCTAGTCAATGATAAATCCACATATATATTCTCATCTAGCGAGCTGAGATATCGCCAGTTTCGTTAATTGAATGACTTCAAAACATTGACTGTGTTTGTCAAAAGGCGAAACATTGATATCAAACCCTGAAGTCTCTAGCTATACTATGTTTCACTTCCCTCTCATCAACTTCCCACCGTCCGCTGGAGAACATGGATGGACACATATCTTCTCACAACATTGTACATCCATCGCACATTTACCACAAGGACAGACTTCCAATATGTATGTGCTCGCGTGTCCGTAGAAATTCCCTAGCAATCGATTGGCACTCGGTTATCCTACTTCAATGGAAAGTTACCTTTAATCCCCTTCGAATTTGTACGAGTATTTCTTCTAGCCCTCACCAGCTTCGATACTCACATCTATGTGAATACCCATCTGTATCCTGGCCTGATCGATGATCCCCGCTGGGCCGCCCATGTGAATCCGAAGGCTCTGCATATTCGAAGCTTCCAGCCACGCTATAATTAGACATTTCAATTGGCAGACAAGATCAGTATCAGAAAAAACCAATCATCAAACATTCGCTACAGTATCAACGCAGATTATAAGCAAGTACACAGCGGACACTGAGAAACGATATTCACAATAAATTATGTGTTATGACACCGTTCGCCACAACCTCGAGTCATTCCGAGCCGCAGACGCACAGTACGTATTTGATGAGGATGTGTGGCATCTATAGCTGGGTATAGCTCCCCGCATTGCATCGTGTCAGAATGGTGTGATCAAGAGAAAAGACGAGGAGTGGAGAGACCCACATGTCCTCGTCTGCCAACCACCACTGCCCGTAGCGAGTCCCCCCGGTGCTACTAGTATCAATCAAAACAATTGGTGTCGGATCCAACTGGCAACTTCCACGGCCCTCGTGCATTATATCAACCTAAACCGCATCAAGTTACGCACTGCCGGAAATCCTGCCACGTACATTGCACCGTTGCCATATATGAATCTCGGAGCTGCACATTCAATCCTTCGACCTATAAACAATTCGCTCCCCATTATGCGACACCGCTTCATTGAGCACATAGTCTTTGTGCTCCACAAAGTTCACCGTACACGGGCTTGTCTCGTCGTCCTTGCGCACCATCGCGGTGAATCCATACTTCCCGGGCCAGATATTAAGGCGCTGACATCCCAGCATTTGTCATGAGGCCTTTGTCGTCGGAGGTGAACGCGACAATGTACACGCTGTCCTTGTGCCCCTTGAGACGCTCGACAAGTACGTTGGTGGCAACATCCCAGATGCGCACAACGGCGTCGACGAACTTGAACCTGCGGCGACGAGCTACCTACTCGGCCCCGGAAATCAAAAACCATCGCCACTGCAAGGAAGCACATATACTCAGTTGGCCAGCCCCGCATGGTCGATGTCAATCGTAGCTTACCGTTCGTGTTATTTTGTATCTGGACCATCGTGAGGTCGATGGTATCAGGAGATGAGGACATGATTGAGAGCGGGAAAAAGTGGGGAAGATAGCTGGATGCTGAATGGTTAACTTGACAGCCTGTACTTATTCTTCAAGCTTGCTCCAAGCGCTTCCACATCAAATCGCAATCGTGATGCTAGACATATCATGTGGACGACGGAAATATCCTTCTCCCATCGCTGTTACCTACTAGTGGAGGAACAAATGAGACTTTGAAGACACAAAATCCATGAATATCTCCAGACTTCTTGATGATGAGCGAGTGCTAAGATCGCCCTGTTTCAAACGTCATAATCATAATCTCCCAACAAACATGGCACAGCAGCACTAGTCCTTGGTACACTCCCATTTCAGGATCTTGTCACAGTAATCTCAGCGTCGAAGATCCCGACCACCCGACTCGTTATGACCAAAACAGCTGCTTAAAGTCACGCATGCGACCTAACCTCCGGGACGTTTTTGCTCTCGTGTTTGTGCTCTCGGATAGGGAGTTGAAAACGCTGACTGTTGATGTATCACCAGTTCTCAGAGTGCTTGGTTTTGGGACTATGTCTTCCCTCTTATCACTTCTCATCCCCACCGGAGATGATGCACACGACTCACATCTTCTCACCACGTCCATAACTTTGTACGTCCATCATCCAAATGTCCAATGCGAAATCTGCAATGATCTATACGCGATGCGCCCATCTGAATCCTGATCCCCGCTACTACATCGCCATAGCTGTGTTTGAAATTTCAGATTTGAGGGTTCCGCAGCCTCAAAACCTTTCTTAGCTACCCTATGCTCAGACAAATGCAAGCTAAGCAGCGAGTGATAGATAAAGAAAATCGATTATGAACATTTTACACAGCATCATTGACACAGATTGTAGCAACAACTCTTCAGCGCAAGCAAGCAAGCAGCGCACACCGAGAAACCACGTTCACAACATGTAATATGATATAGCGCCATCCACCATCGCCCCGAATCCGATCTCGAGCGGCAGACGCACGCATCTACATGTTTGATGAGATGAGAACTCGCATTCGCAAAGCTCAAAGCTGGGTATAGCTCCCTGCATCACACACCGCATCCAGTCAGAACAGTGTGATGAGGAAGAAAAGACCAGAGAGACGCACATATCCTAGCCTGCCAATCACCACTGCCCGTCGCGAGTATACTCCCAGACGGACTAAGATCGATCGAAATAACTACACCCACATCAGCCCCTATACACCAACAACGCCAAACACATCAAAGACAACGCACCTGAATTTTTATGCCCCTGCAACATACACTGCACCGTCGCCGAATGCGAATCCCAAAACTGCACCCCCCGGTCCTTCGAACCCGACACAACCCACTGCCCATCATGCGACACCGCAACACTCAGCACATAATCCTTATGCCCCACAAAATTCATCGTGCACGGGCTCGCCTTCTCCTCCTTCCTTACCACCGCCCCCGGCCCCGTCGCACCCGCACTCCCCGGGCCCGACGGCCCCACCCCCGACGGCCCCGCCGCCGCCGCCGCCGCAATCTCCTTCCGCTTCGCGCCCGACGTCAGCGCACTCACATCCCAGTACTTGAGCGTCTTATCCAGCGATCCCGACACAAGCCCCTTGCCGTCCGGCGTAAACGCAACACTGTACACGCTGTCCTTGTGCCCGCGCAGGCGCTCGACGAGCGCGCCGGTGCCGACGTCCCAGATGCGCACGACGGTGTCGAGCGAGCCCGCGGCGACGAGCTGCCCGTTGGGCGAGATGGCCACGGACGTGACGCCCGCGTCGTTGTTCACGCTGTCAGGATCATTGATCGTGAGAACTTTCGAGGAGCCGTCGACCATGTCCCAGATGCGCGCGGTCTTGTCGCCCGAACCAGAGACGATGAGCCGGCCGTCGATGCTAAAATCGAGCGAATAGATCTCTTGCTGGTGCCCATCAAACACGTTGCGGATGCGCTTCTTGGCAATGTCCCAGATCTGAAACGTGGGGCGACATCAGCCGAAGCCATCTATGGAACGGAGCACTGGCACGCACCCGAATCTGCTTATCCTCCGCACCAGTAGCGAGGAACTTGCCATCGGGACTAAAGCAGACACTGCGAATGTACAGATCACCCGCCTTGCCCGCCGTATCGTCCGCGAGCACGCTATAGAAAGCGACGAGCCAATCAGCATCTGCGCCAAATCAACCCGGAGCCAAAAACAGAACAAGGACATACCACGTCTTAGCGCCGGTCTTCGTATCATAAATCTGCGCCGTTCGGTTACACCCGGTGGCGAGATACTTGCCGTCCGCCGAGAACCGCACGCAACACACGACGCTGTAAGCATAGGCACGCAATACGCGCCGCATCAGCCCTACAGCTCCTCTACAAGTATATTAAACAGGGAATAGGTCACCTCTCGTGCATAAGCGTATGCGTCAACGAGACATCCAGCACGCGCTTCACTTTCGGGTTGAACACCGCGAACCAGTCGCTCCCTTCCTTCTTCATGTCCGCGGGTACGTTGTGCGGGTCGAGTTCGTCCGGAAACTGAGGGCCGCCGTTGGGTGCGAACTCGGGCGACGCGGGCTCCGGCGGCGGCGCAGGCGCGGGGTTGCCCGGGACAGGTGGATAAGGCCCATGCGCCGACGGGGGCGGCGGGAGACCAGGACCCGCAAACGGCGCGACAGAGCTAGATTGCAGAGGAAGCTTGCTAGGAGGAGGACCGAGGGAGGGGCTATACGGGTCTGCAATAACGATTCGATGAGCGATTTCCGACGGAAAACAAACAAAAGGCGACATACCAGCCCGATCGCTCTTCATCCGCTCGGTCTTGATGCGCTTCGGCTCACGGTCCCGCTCACGATCGCGCTCCCTCTCTCTCGCATCCCTATCCCTCTCCCGCTCTCTTTCCCTCTCCCTCTCCCTTTCCCGCTCTCTATCACGCTCACGCATATCCCTTTCGCGCTCCTTGTCCCTCTCCCTCTCGCGTTCCCTCTCCCGTTCACGGTCACGGTCGCGGTCCCGCGAGTAATACGAATCCGCAAAGACGCCCGGGCCCGCCCCAGGCGGAGCGCCCGGTACAGCCACAGGAGGACCAGGCGGACCGGCGGTAGCGGGGCCAGCAGGGGGCAGCCCAGCGTGCGGGGGCGGGGGCGCGTTGATGCCGAGGTTCTGGCGGGACGCATGGAGCTCGGCGCGGAGACGCTGGACCTCTTCCTCGTACTGCTGGCGGATCTTGCCGTGCTGGGATTCGAGCTCGTATAGGCTCTGACGGACGATGTTGAGTTCGTTGATCTGCGAGGCGACTGCGGAGCAGATAGAGCGTTTAAGAAGCGTTTGGGTCCGTGTGGGCAGGAGAAATGGCATACCTTTGGACTCGTACTCGTCCCGCTGGTTACGGAGGTGATTGATATCGGCGGTGAGGGTGTCAAAGTCCTGGCGGATGGAGTCGAATGCCTCGTTGAGACGGGCATGGGTGTGCTGGCCAGGCCCCTGAGCAGGGGGAGCGGTAGGCTGGAGACTCCTATGCTGCAAAGTATGTGTCAGCACTCGACTCGTGCACGTTTTCTCGAGGAATGCTGTCTCGCTGGATGGTGCGGCGCCCGCTACAAGGCAGCCCTAGACCCTCTTTTCAGTTTTCTTTCCCCAGACGCGGCACCGAGTGGCCCGAGTGGCCCCCTGAGTGCATTTTCGCGGGGAATTGGGGGGAAAGAGAGGAGGAGCGGGTACTCACGTTGTATATGGTGGAGGAAGCCATGATGAGAGTTGGGGAGTCGTTGTTGATCAACGCCCTTTATAATAAAACGAAAAGAGACCCCCTTCGCTTCGCCCTGACACGACCACCTCCCACGCCCCGCCATCCCGCCGGCTTGTCCATATAAGGCAGCGCCGCGTTCCAAGGCCACCTCCCCGTCACAGGATCAACTTAGTCAGCACACGTCACACCTCTTCAAACCCCGCGAACATGCCCAGTGGCCGCTGTGGCAGTGGCACAACGTCTATTTCCAGCTAGAAGATCTCTCTTCCCGATCCTGCCTTTGCCAATGGTGCTTCTGTGGTCGCCGTGAATTCTGTCAGCGTTCGAACTCGCCGCATCGATGATAGGGAATCCGTTGCCTACACAAGCATAAGGCGGCTACTCTCTACTGTCGCCGTATCTTTGGACAGGGAACGAGCCTAACTCACACCGACTTCGTCCCTTCCATCACTGTCCATGTGTTTCTCTCCCTTTCTGATGGGCCACGTCCGCGATAGGCTGACGTATCCTGTATACCCGTGCCTTTTTCTGCTTGTCGCTTGTCTCCGAAAGTCAATCAACCCACTTGATAGGTGACAAAGACTCCGGCCATGGTATGGACGCCTAGCGCCACACCAAACCGACCAAATCTAAACTTGCATTCATTCTTTCGGTTCCTGTGATCATGATCTGATAATGCACGAACAAGATTAGAAAAGCTCTAATCTCGGACGACATGATGCCCGCAATCGCTCCGTTTGTCTGGGTCCGCTATGTATAGGTGCGCCCCTAGCTTGGCATCCAACTTGTCGCATCTTGCCACCGCTTCAAGGTTTCCACTTCCACTTGCAAGATCAAACATCCACGCTGCAGGATTAGGCCTGTAGACGGGGACATGGACGCCCGTTCATACAGCCTAAGCGTGTCGCATCTACTCACGAGCGCCGCCCGACTCCCAGACTCGCAGAGTATGTCTTCAGATATTATGCTCCGGTAGACACAGAGTCCCGCAGCTCCTTTCGCAAGTTTCTAGCATTCGTCGACCTTTGTCTGCATGCGATGGTGGCAATACTTCTAGCTCTTAGTTGGTATTTATCCTGCACTGTGAGCTCGTCGCTCCTGCTGTAAGTAGGTTGCAGCCAATCACAAAACTTAAGCAACATGATTGGCCCATTCTCTCAGACGCTTCCAAACTTCCCTGGGAAAACCCGACTCTATTCTGCGCGCTCTTCTCGAAGCCTTGTTATTGTTCACGATCGAGTCCCAAGAATGGTTTTGCCCTTTATACTCAGCGAAGGTTCAAAGAAGTGCGCACAGTGGCAAAGTCGTCGCCTTCCGCCATCACATGGATCCCACGGCTCTCGTTCGAATGTCCACGCACCGCAGGCGCGCGTATGTTTTCACGAGCGCCGCGGTGAAGATCAAACTCTACGCCAGCTGCGGCAAGGAGCGACGTGTGTGATCAGAGGGTATATTTACATCTGCAAGCCCTCGGATGTAGCGGCTTGTTTTAAGCCGAGCATACAGCGAAAGGTATGCATGGCTGGAAGTCGACACCGATATGAATATACCTCACACCACATCCCCAGTACCAGCGTCTTCGAGAACTTGCAAACGCATTGATATTCCAGAATGCTCCAATCCTCGAGGCAAAAGCACGAGTATAGCCCAGACCCGAGGCCTATCGCACCCTTCCCTTCCAATACCTGTCCTCGTGACAGATCTTCAATTATTAGCCCTTGCCGGCAAGCACCTGAATTGCCAGCCAAATAGCTAGAGCGCACTGCCGCGTCAGAAGATGAACATGCCGGTACAATCCAAACTTTCATACGTTCATCGATGATCCCGGACCAGAACCTCGTCACAGTAACTACGAGAGTCAGAAAACTCCCACCAGGCCCTTCGGCCGCTTTAACCTTGGTGACAGCGGCAACGCGAAAACCACGTCCCCAGAACTCCGATGATAGAATGGCACCGCCACAGCCCCCCGAAACCCAGATGGCTGCTTGGCAGCGACGAGTGTTGAATCAACTCTCCATCAGTTGCGGGGTGCCCAAGAGCGACGCTGACAACGTTTCTTGCAGGCTCAGACAAGAAGGATACGCAAAGTGCGAACCTATCGCGCACAGGGGGCTCACTGGGTAAATGGGCTAGTGTAAGGCCTAGACACTGATCGTGGCAAGAATCACAGACTGCACGCGTTCGGAAGCGAGAAGCTGCAGGACGATAATTGGAAGTGGGTTGCTTGTTTGACACGCCCATCATCCTCGTCACGGTCCCGCCCGGTCCATTCTCTGTTAGACATCTATCGCACTTGGCGACGTTGCTCCCTCTCTTAAGACAAAACGCCATCACAAGAGCGAGTATAAGATCTTCGCTACTACACAGGTCTGGCACGCACGATGTCTCTCTGTAGCGATGAGGCTGACTTTGCAACAGCAGATCCAAGATGCAATACGACCTCGACAACCGCAACACCCTCGAGGAGGTCTTCGTCCAGGAGGGATCCGACTGGTACGCGACCTTCAATCCGGACGTGCGCCGCCCGATGTCGGTCCGCCAGGTCCAGCGCTACTCCCATAGCAGGTACGTCAAACGCATACCGTGCCGCATACACCCCATCTGCCTCGACACTAACGCAAACAACCGCACGGGCAGTATCGTATGCAGCGTCAAGTTCTCTGCAGACGCGTCGCTTCTCGCCGTGGGCATCAAGGACGAGGTGGTGCTCTACGACAGGCCAAATAACCTCAAGTACTCGTGCGTGTCTCTCGTGCGATTCTGCACGAACCATCTCTAACGCGCCTCACATTGCACCAAAACGACGACAGATACCCCATCCCCGCGCCGCCCCCTGCAGACGACGGCGAGCCGAAGCCGAACCACGCGCGGTGCGTGGCGATCAGTCCGGACGGAACGCTTTTAGCTGCCGGATCGGAGGATACGTACGTTCGGGTGCGCGTGCTTTCATCTCCATCTCTCTCCTATCGTGACTCTGCTGACCGTCTAACTTGACATCCCACGCCCCCCACAGCTATGGCACATCCCCACCGGCTCATTCCTCACCACCCTCGTCGGCCACCGCGGCGAAGTCTACGGCCTCGCCTTCTCCTCCACCTCCCCGTCCACCTCCACCCCCTCCTCGCCCAGCGAAACGACGCTCCTCTCCGCCTCCGCCGACGGCACAATCCACGTCTGGCCCCTAGCGCCCTTATACGCCACAGACACAGACACAGGCACAAACGCGGACACACCATCCTCGAAAGACGGCATCCAGCCTCTGAAAGTGCTCGTCGCGCCACAGAGCGCCGAGCAGCGCAAGCCGCCCGTGCTCACGAGCGTCTCCGTCTCCCCCGACGGCGCGCTCGTCGTGGGCGGCTCGCTCGACAACGCCGTGCGCGTATGGGATCTGCGCTCCGCGGGCGTCGTCGCGGAGGAGGGCGAGGTCGCGCAGCATCCGAACCGGCTCAAGCTCAACAACAACAACAACACCAGCAACAATAACAGTAGCAGCGGGGGCAGCTCGAGCGCGGAACCCGGCGCAGAGGCCGCAGCGGTGTACGCCGCCCACTTCATACCGAGCGTCGGCGGCGGCTTCGGCGGCGGATCGGAGTGGGACGTGTTGAGCGCGGGCACAGACAAGGCGCTCACGCTCTGGAAGGTCTCGGGCGAGGCGGGCAAGATCAGGGGCGAGGGCGTGAAGACGCTCCGAGGACACCGGGTAAGCCTCCCATCCATATCACCCCGACCTTGACGATCTCGCGAACGGTGGCTGACGGGTGGACGATGCAGGCGGCGATCGCATGTGCGTCTGTCGCGCTCGTCGGGCGCAAGATTTACGCTGCGTCTGGGAGTACCACTGGTGCACAGACGGACGCACCCGGGGCCGAGGCGAGCGCGAGTGTGCGGATGTGGGATGTAAAGGACGGCAAGACGATGTTTGTGCTCAGAGGGCACAGGAATACCGGTCAGTGGTTGCGCTTCTTGCTTCACCGTCTGGTTGGCTGATTCGAGTACCTTTTCGTGTATAGTAACCTCGGTGGACCTGAGCAAAGACGGGTCACTCCTTGTAACAGGGAGTGGCGACTGCGACGTGCGAGTCTGTGAGTGACGCTTTTTACTGAGCACGTATCGAGAGCTGATCTTTGTTGTATCATTCAGGGGAGTACTCGCTCTCCTAGAGCTCCACGTAGGATCACGAGCAAGTCGATTGCGACGTTATATACCCTCCATTTTAGTTAACGGACATTGAGATTAGTGGATAAATTTGTATGTCAGTGCAGATATCTATAAAAGGATATCATAGTTAAACAAATTGTTTTTACATTTGAAAGCCGAAGCCTCGGTTACTGCTGATAATATGTTACGGAAACGTACTCGAGTACTGCCATATCTACACGGCTACAAGCTCAGAAGACTTTCGCGTGGTGCAATCGATGCAAGTTCTGATGAGACTTAAGTTCAAATTTCTGGCGAACGCGTGATTTGAACTAGGGTCCCAGTTTGGTGTGCCATCACTGCCGAGGGCAACGGAGGTGCTGGTGAAGAGAGTGTCTCATTGGAAGGAGCAGAAGGTAGCGTGGACACACCTTTTGCAACGACTAGGGATCCCTCGCCTATCGGGCTTATGCACATGCGTCTCCGAGGAGCTCTAGCGACTGGTATGACTGACCCGTTGAAGACTGGGGAGTTCGACATTTGCTCGACGTCCTGTCATCTCAGTCGAGTATGGACGTGGCACTAAGGGTCTCAAAAATCTCAAATTCACAGCGCAAGGAATTGCAAGCATTAGCTGCTGCGAACAACTTTACGACGTCAGAGTATTTATAAATAAGCTTAGACCGTTTCATCTCGCGTAATGGGTTTATAACGAACCTATGTTCATGTAAGAACATTACCTTACAGCACTCAAACACGACCTATATTTATATATTGGCACACCGCGGCGCATTCGCCGACCTTTCACAGAAACAAACCACAATCCAGAAGTTACACTATAGCATGATCGATAATCTTCTGCCGTGTGCTTTCGAAGAAATACTCCGGAAACACCTCCGACACAAGCCGAAAGAAGTGGTGATTCGGCGGAGCCTTGGCGCAGCTCCCAAAGTACCCCGCCACATGCTCGCGCGCCCGCGCGAGCTTGAGCACCATGTCCACACCGAGCACGTCGACGTGCCGCCGCGCGAGCGGCTCCTCCCGCCGGATGATGTCCGCGAGGGCCGGGTGGATCCAGTCCTCGATGTCGTACGTGAGCGCGAGGGAGAGCCTGTTGACCGCGTCCACGCCGTCGAGCTTCGCGATGCTCTTGCGCGCGTGCAGGTGTAGGGCGGACATCTCCCAGCGGTGTGTGAGTCTGAGGACGGAGGTCCACTCTCGGAAGGTGGTAGGTGGCGGTGCACACGAAAGTATGCCTGGAATATCCGGCCTGTGTGCCGCACGACGATCGGGACTTGGCTCAGCAGTTTTATCAGAGGAGAGTATCGAAGGGGTTACCGGCAGAACATGGCCCGCAGGAGTTGCCTAAAATCATACACTGATGTGCCTTCGAGCACTATGGGATACTCGTCGTTGAATCCTTCAGGAACCTTTGAGCCCGAAGGCAAGGTAAACATGTCGTGAAAGAGTTCTGAGTTGTTCTCAACGCCTGGCGTGGAACACGAAAGAGCGTCTCCTGCACCTAGACCAGCGGTTCGGTGAGCCAGATACAGTAGATAGGTATGGGCAACCTACTCTGAAAGTGACATTCGAGAAATAGAAGCCCTCGTCATGGACGACATTCGCTGTAGAGGTCATAGTGCAGGGTTTCTATGTCTGCGTGGAGTTCAGTCAGGCCAACGTCGGGAAATGATGATAAGGGAGGCCGCGCTTATCAGGCGCTCGAGATCCACGTGTCACGAGAATATTAAAGGCACTAGTATCTTGTAAACGACCGCCGTGAATCGCTGACGATGCACACTCAAGTCGCATTGAGAAAAGGGCCAGGACAGCAAGCATTTTGTCAGTCAGCGAGAATCACCGTCCTAGAGTAGTTATACTACAAGCTGGATAAAACGTGCATATGGCGAGAAGTATAGATCAACGTACGAGCGTAGAGGAGGTTCAAGAACTCGAAAGTAAAGGTGCCGGTGAGCGCTAAAGATGTTGGGACTCCGCTTGAACGCGATGCGCAGGCGCGCGTGACGTCAAGCTGTTTCCACGCGATCATTCACACACGCTGCTATCCTCCAGTGTACACGCCATGGCACCCTTCTTGCACCTGCTTGGTCTCCTGGGCACACCCTTTTCTTTCTTGAGCTCGCTTCCTTACCGCGGACAGAGCTTTCTCTCCGAATGGGCTAATACAGAGTTCGACGGTGGTGTTATCACGCCAGAGCTCTATGCTGAGATCGACGCGCTTCGCAAGGGCGAGGGTATCAACGGCCTTACGGTTGGCATTATCCGCAAAAACGGAGATGCAGAGTACCAGTCTTGGGGAAGAAAGTCGGAGGATGACGACCCTATGACACCTGACGTACGCTCATGCATCGTCTCTCACGTTGCAGACTGTTGGAACACTGATGTCCCGCATATCGCTGCAGACACTCTTCCACATGGCCTCCGTATCGAAGGCGTTCTGTGTCGGTGCAGTCGGTATCTTGATGGACGATTATGCGCACAACAAGAATGTCTCTCCGCTTCCGGATGGCGTCATCGAATTCACCTGGCACACCAAGGTGAAGGACCTACTCCCTGAGTGGGGTTTAATGGACGAATGGGCATACGAGAAGGTCAATTTACTTGACATTCTATCGCACGTTTCTGGTCTACCTTCGTGAGTGCATGGCTACTAACCACTTGAAAACGACAGCATTCATGCTTGCTGCAGACACGACTTTTCATACGGGCCAGACGACACGGCCGCTGACGTAGCTCGGCGAATGAAGCTTCTCAGACCCATATTTGAGCCTCGGGAACAGTACTCGTACAACAACCAGGTAAATCCTCTTAGAGCCTGGCTAACTCTTCTGCTTACTGGTTATACAATAGATGTTCATGCTAGCATCGTACCTCGTCTCAAAGTACTCCGACATGCTTTACAACACATTCGTCGAAGAGCGCATCTTCGCTCCCCTCAACATGACGTCGTCGATGTATGCACCCAGCAAGGCGCAGGCGTCGGGCCTGCTGACTCAGTCATGGACCAAGGAAGGCCGCAGGATCCCGGAGTGGTTCGGCGATGACAGCGTCATCGACCTCAACGCGGGCCCTGGCGGGCTGATAACGAATGCTATTGACATGGTGACTGTCGCTTATACAGCGTCTATGACCTATTCATAATGTGACCTTGTAGTCGAAGTGGATCCAGCTTTGGCTCAACGAGGGCGTACGTGCCAACGAAACCATTTTGCCTTTCTCGACGTATGAGAAGGCGACGACGGCGTACTCGGTCGTCAAAGGAGCCCCTGCTGATGTACATCACTCGCTGATAGGATATGGGCTGGGGTGGAACCGGCTTTCGTACCTGGGGCACGATGTAAGTTCGGAAATACCCCATGCTTTCGGTAAACCCTCTGAGAATCCTGACTCATCTGATGTGGTCCGACTCAGATGCTTTCCCATAGAGGCGAGATTCCTGGCTTCTCGACTCACGTCTCGTTCCTCCCTGCAGACGGGTTTGGTGTGCTGGTGTTCGCCAATGCAGCAGAATCGAAGGCGGTTCCGAAGATCATGGACCTCTTGATTGCTGAGACGTTAGGCATCCGCCCAAAGGAAATCCCTTCCCAAAGCCCGTGAGCGTCTATTAGTCACGACTCTCAGGCATCAATGAATTCATCCATTCATCCAGTGAGGCTGATACTGCAGTCTTGAAGAATGATGTATCAGGGATTCCTGAAGATGCTTCGATCGCTGCACCTACGCTCGACTTGAGCGCACTAGCAGGGACATACAGCGACCCTGGGTACGGCGCATTCACACTCTGCGCACCCGAGAGCGACTCGTCCTACTGTACCAGCGTGCATGAAGCCTTCAAGATCGTAGACCTGGCCTCACCTACCAACTCCGACTCTAGCCATAACGAAGCACCTTGCGGTCTCACAGCCGCATGGCCGCGCACATGGAGCACGCACGTCCGGATGAGCCCGCTCGGGGGAGTGGATTTCGTCATCGAGTTCACGGCGCTGTTTCCGCACGGGTACGGCAAGGACGAGACGCCGTTCGAGATAAACGAGGAGGGCATGTCGAAGGGCGTTGCTACGTTTGTTATTGGTGAAGATGGGAAGATCTCTGGCTTTGGAGTATCGGGCCTTGCGAGGGGGTTGATGGGGAGGCAGGAGGGATCGGTGCAGAATACGGCGGAGGTATGGTTTGGGAGGGTTGTATAACACTGAACGCTATCGTTGTCATACATAACGGGATTGTGGATTCATCAGTGGCCAAGTTAAAACATTCATGGGCTAGTCTATCGATTTCGATGCAAATTCCTCCATGGGTAACCTAGGCTTTTTTGCCAGACAGAGTGCCCGGAGACCGTCTGTGAGTCTCAATTCGACGGCCAGGTCGGGTATCCCAGCATGACATCGCTTGCAAACCCCTGCAAGACGCTCTCGAGTCCTTGCGAGCTCGAGAACGACGTCTAACCCAAGCTTGGCCACATCCTTCTGCGAGAGTGGCTGAGAAGGCTCTTCTCTACGTAGGATATCGTAGATAGCGGGGCGCACCCAATCGTGGATGTCATAAGTGCGCGCGAGAACGAGCCTCTCTACGGGATCCACATTGGGTAGCCTGTGAGCCTGCTTCACCGCGAACTGGTAAAGGGCAGTCATCTCCCATCGGTGGGTCAGCTTGATAACAGCCACCCATTCATCGAAGGTCGTGGGTGGTGTGCCTCGTGAAGTAAACCCTTCAATGTCTGTCCTGCGAACAGCGGCGATTGAAGCATCGTGTTAGCTTAATACGTGGTATTCATCACTGATTTGGACATGTGCGTGACGGAGTCAAGAGGGAGCCGAACATTCAACATACCGACAAAACATGGCTCGTAAGAGTTGTTTGAAGTCCCAGCTCGATGTTTCTTGGAGTGTAATTGGGCTTTCATCGCTCAAGCCTTCGGCAGCCTGAGCGCCGGAAGGAAAGAGAAACATGTCACGAATAACATCAGAGCTATCCTCGAACACATATCTGGGGACCCGAAATAGGGTGCTCTCCACCTGAACTCGGACGGAAGTATCAACTTCTAAAAATCAAGCCAACGCGGACCGAGTCGCCACCTACCTTGAAGGTAATGTGCGATAGGTAAAATAAATCGTCGCGCATAGGTTTGGCAGGTAGAACGGGGGCCTTCGCAGACATCTGTACCGAACAGTTTAAAGGGGACCTGAGCACTGTGGCTCCTTATGTATGCTTAGAAGATAGGGTCAAGCGCTCGAGCTTCCTTGCTGTTAACACGTGTTGATATCGTGTGGCCTTGTGACGTCGCACGGTCTTGAAGGAAATGAACATGCCTTGCATAAACTGTGGTTCACGCGTTCATGTCCCCATCACTTCCGCAAGCTGTATCAGGGAGCCGAAGCCGTTCTGCGTCTTCATGATACCTTCATCAGGGTCCGAACAACGTGAATATCAATGACGTCAGATAGAATCGATGGGATCTGAGCATCTTCGATGTACGTTACTCGGAAGAAGTAGCGCTTGTGCTACAGTATGTTTGGTGATGGTTCATGCACATGAGCAGTGCAGTGTTGAACGTTGAAACTCGAAGGACACACCAGCTACTCAGTCAGGGAGAGCCGGGCGGAGAATACAAACATTTCAGGTTCCGCTCAATCTTATTTTTCCTGAGAGCATCATTGCGAGCTTCCCCTTGATCATGGCGTTTTGACCTTTCCTTCAACCAGCCTATAGGATACGGCGATTTTATAATGAGAGCATGATGACCTAGAGCATGAAGGAAGGGTAGTTTGAGAGGTAGGTCAGTTACTACTAGGGTCTTTAACCAAGAAATATAATGTATGGCAAGTTTACCAAGGCATTTGCATGAGACTACTACTTAACACAGAGGCTCGGCGTCTCCAGCTGACAGGGGGAAATTGTTTGGTACTATATGAGTTATGGCCTCGTTTTCTTTTCGTTTGGTCGCTTGTATGGCAGTGAGTAAGCTTTACCAAGATCCGAACTCCGGGCCGATTGGAAGACAAAGGCCGGCCCTAAGTTACACACCGGCTAAGAGCACTTTCGCACGCACCGCTTTCAACAGGACTCGACCTGTTATGATCGATATCCTGAGCCTGGATAAACTATCTGATCTTGTGAGCATTTGAGAATTTATGCACACAGCTAAGACTCGCACTGACGCGTGGCCGTTTTGAACAGCTTTCTTCGATCGAAGATGAAATCCAAGTCAGTGGCATGCTGCGATCTAGTAAACATACGCTCACGAGCTGATCTCGTGATATAGGTAGTAGTGAAGAGCCAGTTTCAACACCTCTTCTCTGTCAATGACTCGGTAGAAATTGGACAGTATGGAGAAGTCCGTGAGATTCTCTCGGTCCTGGCAAACATTGTTGATCGGGTTGACAAGGCTATCTCACGCCTGAACCGCTTCAAATCCACCCTCGAGGAGTCCCAGCGCGACCATTCGAGGCTCATCTCGCTCCTGTGGAGCCTTCCTACTGAGACTCTGAGCAGCATACTCACCCACGCTGTGCCATTGGTTCCTGTGAAGCTGCCGATGTACGCTTTCCCCGGTGATTCTCAAGCGGATATGCCAGAAGTTGGCGACATATCAAAGAGAACAAACGAGGCCATCAAGCTAACGCACGTGTGCGGGCGGTGGCGCGAAGTAGCGCTCGCTACTCCCTGTCTTTGGAACCCGGTTCAGATATACTGGCCGCCAGACGACAGCGAACGTGCTCGAGTTGTTACACTTCTCGCCCGATCTCACCCGTTGCCGACGTACGTGTTCACTTACGTCAGGTCGCGAGACGCAAGCACATTTCAGGAACACTGCGATCCAGAACTATTTGACTCTTTGAAAGACCGATGTCATATCCTGGATGTTGCCGGCGACCTCGATCAGCGCCTGGATGTCAGCAGGCTCATGAACTCGGTCTCAGACTGGCCCCAGCTTGGCCAGCTCACTCTACCAGGAGCAATCCGCGTCGCCGGAGTCGAAAACAACCCGCTGTCTTTGAGTAACGTCAGCCGCCTTCAGCTTTATTTCCATGACGCTGCGGACTCCACCTTGTTCTTCAGCTTGCGATGGGAAAGGCTACAGTCGCTGGTCATTCCGTGGTCGTGGAAGCGATTGGTCATGGATCATGTGCTATCTGCACAAAACTTCCCCTGTCTCGAAGAGTTTTATATATGCTCAGAAGGGCTATCCATAGTAAACCATCCTCCATCCTCGGTTGTACATCCGAGCCTTCACACCTTCGGGTTGTTAACCGATGCAGGAGTCAGTGATAATGAATACCTGGCGCTTCTCCAGCACACGGTACTATCCAACCTTTCGATCTTAATCATCACAATGCGGAGAGCTGAAGAGCTGGAGATCATTGCTGATCACCTCGTAAGCTCGAGATGTGCACTGCCGCGGCTTGTGGTGAAAGGGGATAGCAATCGAGTCGTCGGCATGGACCAGATACGGACTCGGTTCCCTAACATCAACGTCAGCACCTGCCAACGATGGACTCGTTCCGAGGACTTCACGTCCTGCAAAAGGAGATGGTATTTAAACAACTCACCAGGCTTGATGGGTGTTGAGATCATTGAACCATGATTGTCATGATTCATGGCAGTGTATAAATACAGCCCGAGACAGGCCCAATATATAAACGCTTTTCTTACCAACGACTTTGTAATATATCCATCAGCTATGTAATATAACTGATTCTGGTTGTGTGATAATACTCTGTAGCATTAATACTTTACATTTGGTTGCTCGATCTTTGAAAGCCTGATTCCTGAGCGGATGTGATGGTCCAACCTTGATATAGCTTATTGGCTGTAGCGTACTACGGATAAAGAACCTCTTCCCAGGATGTCTCAGCTCAGTGTCGAAGGCGACTTAGGTCTATAGGCACCTAAGCTACGGACGCAACCAATATGGCTGACAGGACAATGGGGGAGAACGGAAATAGATGGCCACGTCTTATGTAAATGAGGGATTTCAGGCAATGGTAAGGCATGATATTGACGCCGAGCGAGAAGCGGTTGTTTGGTCATGTTGAGTTCTAAAGCTCTTGCTAAACACTTCCAAACTTTGCGTTGGCGGAGAACCAATCTGCGGCGTCCGGCACAACAAAGTACTCATCAACATCTTCAAGAACGTGTGCGAGTCTTCAACATTGTCAACAGCTACTTTGAGTCAGCTGAGTAGAACACTTGCCAGCTGAGTGCTCATTCAACGATCCGATAATGCCTACACAAACCTTTCCGAAGACAAGATGCAAAGCCAGGCCTAGGTCAGTACGAGCATCCGGGTAATCTTTGGCCCCCCAAGTCAAAATTGTCGGCCGAACGGTGTTTAGCAGATCTCCCACTTGTCTCCCACCTTGTCATGACACATGTCATCCCTAATTACACTTGCGGATAGCGGGCGCACGACATTGGCCAGTCCTCGGAAATGCGGATCGTAGACCGCAAAGAATGATCAGCTTTGCCGACGATCCTCCTCTCCTTTGTACCTCGAGGTTCCCTCACCTGCCTGTTCCTCCGGGTGCTGTCTTCGTGGCCAGTGGCTGCAAAGTCTTCTTTGAGTCAAGTCGGTTTCCGTTCGACATTCAACATGCAGTCCACTCTCATCCCTGTTACCGACGGGCAAACACCAGAGAAGGAGTCGGCGACGACCACGGCGGTCACGGTCGACGAGGGCGTCATCTATGTGAGCTTAGCTCTGAACTGCTGGTATTGTTAGACCGTGATAATGAACGAGCTCATGCTTTCTGCAGGTAGACTTTGAGCCGGGCGACCCGCGAGACCCACTGACCTTCTCGCACAAGAAGAAGTGGACTATCACTCTCACGGCGTGTATTTTTACGATCTTGGTCTGTAAGTGTCTTCGTAGACTATTTCATTGCTACGGACGACTGAATGTTTTTACACAGCGACCTCGTCTTCAACGTTTGCTATGGGTTACGATTCCATGATGCGAGACCTGAAGTGCACGGAGTTTGAAGCAACCCTCGGCCTCAGTCTTTATATAATCGGCTTTGCGGTAGTCCCACTGTTTACATCCTCGTTCAGCGAAGAGTTCGGCCGACTGCCTCTTTATATCGTCTGCGCCTTCTTCTACACCTTGACGCAGGTGATGGCCGCCTTGTAAGCCCTCCATCATGTTTGCACTCCGTTATTCTCTGATCCGCCTTTTCAGAGGAACAAATATCACGATGGTCATCGTTTCACGTCTGCTTTCGGGCGCGTTCGGGTCTACAGGTGCTACCGTTGTGACCGGAACGATTGCAGACATCTGGCTACCCAAGGAGTAAGTGAAACGTGTGAACGCCCTGAACCAGCTTATGATGGTAAAACAGTCGTGGACTCCCCATGTCGTTGTACGCCTTCTCCGCAGTCGCAGCGACAGGATTCGGCCCCTTGATAGCTGGTTGGATCGAGGCAAACCCACACCTAGAGTGGAGATGGATTCAGTGGATCCATGCTATGTATGTAGCCATTACCTTTCTTCTCTCTTTTCCGGCGCCGTTCTGCCCGCTAACTCGGCGTATCAGGTTTAGCGGTGCATACTTTATCTTGGTCGTCATTTACATGCGTGAAACACGCGTAGCGATTATCACCGCCAGCCTTGCGCGCAAGATGCGTAAGCAGACGGGTAGCGACCGCTATCGCGCAAGGATAGAAGACAGCAACAAAAACAAGGATTTGAAACAGCTCATCTGGGTGTCGTCCACGCGGCCTTTGTGTGAGTTTCGACGCTCGTGATCGAAAGCCGAGATATAATGTATGCTGATCACTGCTGTTCTATTAGTCTTGCTCCTCACTGAGCCGACGGTGCAAGTCCTCGCTGTGAGTGCCAGCTACGTGCGTCACTGTTATCATTATGATTAAGTTCGACTACAGCTCTGGGTTGGATTCACTTGGGGCGTACTGTTCTGTCTAATCGAGTGAGAACCTTGTCTCTATCAGTTCTCGGCCCTCGGCTGACGTCTTCACAGGTCAATCTCTCCAGAGCTCCAGAGCTTCTACCACTTTGGAGTGGGAGAGACTGGAAGCGCTTTTACCTCTCTGGCGTACGCAGCTCATCATTTATCGGTCGCTGGCCTATTCAGCTCACTCAATGGACATATTTCTACTGACAGATTGGGAAGTATCATCGGCTTCTTTGCTACGAGGTATCAGGAAACCCTATACCAGTACGTCTGGTTAGTCTGTCTATCGTTCTGAGAACTTATTCGTCGTGCACCACGTAGTAAATATGTCGCAATCAAAGGACAAGAGGCTAGGCTTTACCTTGCCATGGCGGCCGCTTTTCTGCTTCCTATCGGCGTCTTCATGTGGGCCTGGACGGCTAACGCCTCCGTACCATGGATTGTGCCTTTGATTGCTCTTACGGTACGTCAATCCTTCCCGGTGGTGAAGCTGCATGAAATGACCGCGTCTGGCAGATTTTCATGACTGGTGCATACATTGTATACTTTGTGGTCTTTCTGTACCTCGCGGATTGGTACGTCTTTGATGCTTATCCCCTGTCCCGGGACGTTTCTCATTCAGTATGGGTTACTCAGCTATGGGATGTACGCCTCTTCCGCTGTCGCGGGCCAGAGCCTTTTCCGTACGTCGAGAATGCTCACTGATACGCTTCCCGCTTACACTAATGACATGTTGTAGGCAATATACTCGCGACCGTCTTTCCCCTCTTTACGACCCAGATGTTCGATAAAATGACGTACAAATATGCCAACACCATGTTCGGTTGTATTGCTAGCCTCATGGCACCTATCCCCTTTGTACGTTACCTTTCATTCACTCAAGGAAGAAGGCACTGACGCTAATGCGGATGTAACTTAAGGTCCTTTTCTTCTACGGCTCCGAAATTCGCCGACGGAGTACGTTCTCTCGCCAAACGCTAGAGGCGGAGCAAAAACGGATAGACGCATCAAAGGTTTGAATGTGGAGGATGATTTAGAGTTTCTTTCGATCTAGACGCAGCTTTTCTTCTGGATAGGTATGCTGGGTATGCATTGTAGATCACAGGCTTGATGCTGCTAGAGTGAGGATGACGACGCTGAACGACTTTCAATGAATCTAAACATTGTAAGGAGCGCATGGCGCCTACGCATGGACACTTGCTTTGATCAAGATCTATTGTCTCGCTTTTGTCTCGCTTTTGTCCGCTTAGAGTACAATGCTTTCCGATTGCATAAATACCTTGCGTGTATCGTAGCTGTTAGTCGTCGAATTGGCACCCGACCACCTTCCTGTTCAGCCATGGCACTCTGTCTTTGATCCCCTTCGAACTCGTATTGCATAGTCTGCCCGCTCAACAGCAGGCTACCCTATAACATGTTGACTAAAATGTCCACGGTGGGATTATCGACACAGCGCTCTGCTACACTAATCCTTCCATGCAGATTCTTCGCGCCATCGAGTCGGACTGACAAGCAGCTATTGGCGTCTTGGAAGCAGTTTGACAGCTTGCTTGCTCCACCCCAAGCCTTAAACGTGCCGATGTAATCAGCGATTACCGTCGGATTTACAAGCACCCTGTAACATTTGCTTTGTGCTCGAATTCTCGGGTCTTGGCTTGACAGCGAGGGCTGCTTCGTATTTCTCGTTAGCCTGCCGAGACAGATGATGACATGCGTCAGAAATAAACTCAAATAAATTGGACAACTATACATCATGCTTGGGTATCCAGCTCGAAGCAAAGTACACCAACACTTTCGCATGATGACGTGTCGACCCTATTTTGATAGATTCCGAGTTTTCTACTACGTATATAAGCCTGTCGTAGCTAGTTGAAACGTTGAATCATTACATGATTTCCCTTCGAACTCGCCCAAGCGACCTCGAATTTCTACACGCTTGCATCTACTATGCCACACCCCTCTTGCTAATGAACCGCAATGGAAGGAAAGGAAAGTCACGACGGAACAACCTGCTGGGTCCGGTAAGTTACTGTATGAAGGTATCCGCAGGTATACAATTGCTTACTGAATCATCAAAGGCCAACGATGGGACACGAAACAGTGGCTGAAGTCTTTCGGACATATGCTGATGGGTTCGCATGAAAAGTACTATATTGACCTGAGGTCTGACATATCCGTACCGGTAGGCTCGGAAATGGATGCATCGGGATAAAGTTCAGGACTCCATTAGAGCGAGATGTCTTGGTAGAGAGAGCGCGGTCCGCGGTGGCTAAAACAAGGTGAGTAGCGAAATGCTTGATAGATGTTCCAGACTGATCCTGGCGCCATAAGATTCTTTGCCCCCGTTATTGCAGCTACAGTCGCCAATGATCCAGATGACTTCTGGAGCAAATAGTGGCGGTATTATCCCCTTGATGGCCCGGACAACGACCTAGAGTCCTCAACCAAGGTCGACGCCTGGGTGGACCACGTCCTCGAGATACGCTCCGACCCGATATCACTCGACGACTTGGTCACGGAGACGGATCACATCGTGCTCCCGTACAAGCTCCATCAAGCTGGCGGCACCACGCTCGAGTCGTTCGTTCGCTTCTATCTGCTGCTTGGAAGAGACAATGAGGATAGCGGCCATGGAATAGCTATGCACGGCCCACACTTGATCATGGATGCGAAGCCCACCATGCGTCTTCTAAATTTCATTCTTCTTCACGTCGCAGTTCCCTCTGCGGGCCCGGCAATAGGCGTCTGGGGAGACGAGTGGCGGAACTTGCCTGTAGGTACGATGACTGTCACTGGTGGAACGCGGGACGACTGGGATACACGGGGCATGGCATTGCAGAAAGAGATCGCGGACATACGGGCAAGCACTGTGGCAAGTGACGATGCAATAAGTCTCCATTCTATGCTTCTTTACACCTTGTTTCTTCATGCAGTCCTCTCTGACAACGGAGCCGAGTCGCTCGACGATCACGGTCATGGGCAAAGTATACCGAGTGCATGAGATGATCGACGAGGCAACGTCGCACAAATTCATGACACGACTGAGGGAGGCAGGCTTCTCGGTCACTTACCTCTTCGACGCAGCCATCGCCTTGTCGATTTCCAAAGCCGTGCAAAGTTCTAGCACCTCCATTCCGGAAGACACTTATGTCACTATTGACCCTGCCCTGTGAGTGTTTCTATCCATATTTGTCTCGGCTTTTACTCACCTACTAAACCGCTATTTCTACCTTTGTTATTAGCATAGGGCAAGATAGGTTCCGCACACCCCAGTACAACAACGTCGGGCAACTCGCCACCGGAGTTTGCTGGGTGCCCATCAAGATACCTATCAAAGTCGGGGAGGAAAAGAACGCCGAGCGCGACCAGCTCATTCACATGCTGACGGCAATCCAGGAACAGTACTCACACTTCGTCTCAAACCCAAACCTGCCGCACCTGAATGCAGCCGAAACGGGAGGGATGAACCCAGAAGCCCTTTTGCGTGTAGTAGGGGAGAACAAGAAACCAACAAGCACAAACATCGGCAGGGTCGAGGACGTCATCAAGGCGGATCCAAAGCTAGTGAAGCCGTTGTCCCTCGCCATCGGCCATAGGATAACATGGAAGCAACCGTAAGTGCAGCGTAAGACATTTCAGTACTTGACGAGGGGTTTGACATCGAGCAACAGAAGCTATCACATCTGGAACATCGACTCTGTTATGCATCTGCAAGTTCAGGTAAGCAGCATAGAACATTTCCCTAACCACAAGGCTGATCATCCCTGATACGCCCAGTTCACGGATGTCTGGGACGAGTCAGCGATGAAACGCCATATGGCAGATGTCAAGAGCAGCATGATCGCCTTCATACAGTAGTAGTACCCACCGTGTGTACCATAGGCGTCCCCCGACTACTACCATTGTCCCGATATCCATGAACTTCCTCGCGCCATGAAAAGTGGGAATGCAAGAAACTCTCCTAGTGTGGACGAAGGAAGACATTTCCGATACATGGCGAAAAGACATGATCGAGAACAGTCGTACTTGGTGGTTTGGGATAGAAAAAGCAGTTTACGCAAGACAGACTGAAGTAAACGTTCTATCTCCTATAGACACACCAATGGAATTGGCTAGCAATCGTCAATCACGATGTTCGGCGTATAACCCAAACCGGAACGCGAAACAGAGAGAAATGTAGCCTAAGACAAGAGTGCCCAAGGGAAAGTATCAAGGGAGAAGGCGAAGTGGAGGCGAGAGAGGAGACTGTCCCGCCTAGAACGAAGACTTCGTGCCAGACAATAAAGTGCGAAAGTTTGCGGAGGTATCCGCGTCGTTGTCGGAGGGGCCGACCGGGCTCGAGCCGCCTAAGCTGGATAGCGGGGATAATCTCGAGAATGGCGAGCCCAGACGACTCGGAGTTGTAGCCCCCTTAACCCACACGTCATCTCTCGATCGACGGTGCCTCCGATAAGGAGCGTTTATAATATCTTCAATCGTGAAAGCCCCTTCGGGTGGCTCATCATAGCCTACAGGCCAGACAGCAGGGGAAGAAGGACTAGCAGAACAACACGGAGAGCTCGTAGGTGTGCTGATATCAGAGCTGGATGAGACGGAAGACTGAGACTGGAGTCTGACCCTCGTGCGAAGTCTTCGGTATGGAGAGTTGACGATGTCCTCACGCGTGAAGGAACCTTTGAGAGGATCGTCGCGGCCTACACGCCGCGGCTCTGGAGAAACAGGAGCTCGAGAAAGCAGCGGAGAATCTGGAGGGGTAGTGGTATCCGAGAGTAGAAGCCGAGGATTGGCTGTGGTCTTTGATTGAGCAAGACGGGATACCTCTCTGGATAACGATGAATGTTCCGGATTGTACAAGGGCATTGCCTTGATCGCGGGACCTGAATAGGGATGTTCGTCGGCCATGAATTATGCAAATGTGGTGTGAAGAAGAGAGAAAAATATAGGGGCGGGTGATGCAAATTTAAAGACAGGACTGAAGAGAGTGGCTGAGAGGAAGGTGGCCCGTAAGGAAGAGGAATGAAGATTAAGGAGCGCACTGGATGAGTTTTATGCAGTCCTAGCAGTCTGGAGGCTAACATGTATCAGTTTAGCCCAAGAGGCTGACTGGTCGAACAACTTCTGGGCTTGCTTTGAGATGGGACGCAAGTATAAGTACCTGTGTTGACGATCGTGGTCGTGCGAGGGAACGGTGCTCAGACGCGATGGGCATTTGTTTGTTTGGTAGCCCGTATTTACACCTGCGCGTTATAAATCCCATGTCGGTCCCAGCATACCACTGCACCCTTGTAGCACCCAAATCAACAACCCAAACCTCCAACTTTTCGCCAGAAAGAATAGGCAAGGTGATTTAGAGATCATTTTTTTGGCATAAATAACATTAGGAGCCCAGGGCACGACTCTTTACCGCATGACTCAGCCAACTCGTGACCGCGAGTACGGGTTATACCTGCCAAACCCGCCTCCCCCACCTATGCCAGGTCTCGACATGCCGCGTGGGGGTAACCCGACACTGCGTGACTGACTTGCCCGTGCTTGCCCTGCCCCACCTGCATTTGGATGCCCTGCCAGCGCCGCGTCTTTCTTGCCGCCTGTGAAATCGATATGCGAGCGCTTAGCCTGCGCTGCGCCCTGCTGTTCCGAGCGCTTCTTCTGTAACTCCGCTATACGGTCGTGAGCAGGGGTTGATAGGCGAAGGGACCACTGCCGCGCACCTATACTGTCTGCAAACCACTCGTTCGGAACATCCATAGGGTCCCAAACATCTTTTGGGAAGTTGGTTGTGCGCTCGTCCACGTCCACAAACGCGACGAGCTGCGCATACAAATGTGGATTCCGGAAGGAGCGGTTAGCCATGAGCGAGTCGTTGAAGTGGCGCGGATTGTCCGTGTCGCGCTTGATCGCGGCAAACTGCGCAAGCTTGGCCTATCACGGGTCGTTCCAGGAAATATGTACGAGTACATCAGCTACAGCTGGAGCGAGACTGCAAAGGATCGAGGGGCGTACCAGTATAGCAGGATCACAAGACTCAGTTGACGGCGGTGGTATTCCCCAGTCTTCAACATCCGGTATTGGTGGTGGCTTCAGGAATTCCCTTAGCCTCTGTATCTCCAGCTCTTCCGACGTCGGCTCCAGGTCCTGCGCATCCTCCGCGACCGTTGAGTGGGAGGCCACCTCAATCTCCTCCGAGATGTGAGCGCGTGTGATACCCCTCTGAGGAACCGAGCGTTTGATGATCCCTAGCGACTTGCCTGTGCTCTTTCCAGAAGCAGACGTGGAGGCGGGAGTGCGGGCTAATTGGTGTCCACGGCAGACGTGAGCGGTGAAACGGAATTGTGGAAAGGGAAGATGTGCTTACAAGATTCAGCAGCATCTGCATCATCCTTTAGCAAAGGATCCTATGCCGAGGAAGAGCAGCCAGCAAAAAGGGAAACGGCCTGGCGATGGGGGAGAATTGCGCGCTTACATGGATCTGTGCCGTCGCTGTTGAGGCTTTGGAGGACGAGGCGACGGGCTCCTCCGTGTCTGAGTCGCCCGTGTATGATACGAGACCTGTGTTGTTGAGCATGACAGTAAGAACAAAAGGAAGGAGCTGTGTTCAGAGTGGGAGCTCACTGTTCATGGCGGCGAGAAAGCAAGAGTGGATTGGAACTCCGATGAGCTCGGATGGCTCGTCTTTCCCGCTGACCCACTTGCCCCTCCTGGTCGACGGCCCATGCCTACTTGAATATCCATGTTATCTTCCCTCTTCTCTCGCTGTTGGGCTCTACTTCTCCTTTCACTAGCATTATGGACAACCAGCACCACAGCCGAAGGCGAGACGCCGGAAAAGCAGGCTGCTGACTTCTTCGGGAGGCATGAAAGCACGTCGGGCCACACCAACAACTGGGCCGTCCTTGTTTGCGCATCTCGATACTGGTTCAACTATCGCGTATGTCCTCTAAAGCATTCATCATGAAACTTCATTGGCATGACATATCTGACAAGAAACCATCCAGCACATGGCAAACGCCCTCGGCATGTAAGCCCATCTCCCTCCGCCTATACCCATGAAGTGCGTCTTGCTAAGCCAAAGCACACGCAATACAGGTATCGCACCGTAAAGCGCCTCGGCGTACCCGACTCTCACATCATCCTCATGCTCGCCGACGACGCCGCCTGCAACCCGCGCAACCCGTTCCCGGGCTCAGTCTTCGCCTCTTCCTCGCGCTCGCTCGACCTCTACGGCTCGCACGTCGAAGTCGATTACCGCGGCACGGACGTGACCGTCGAGAACTTCCTGCGCCTCCTCACGGGCCGCGTCTCGCCTGACATGCCGCGCTCCAAGCGATTGCTCTCGGACGACAAGAGCAACGTGTTCGTGTACATGACGGGACACGGCGGGAACGAGTTCCTCAAGTTCCAGGACAGCGAGGAGATTTCGGCTTTCGACATCGCAGACGCGTTCGAGCAGATGTGGCAGAAGCGGAGGTACAATGAGTTGTTCTTCATGATCGACACGTGCCAGGCGAATACGATGTATACCAAGTTCTATTCCCCCAACATCCTGGCGACCGGGTCATCCCAGATTGAGGAGAATTCGTATTCGGTGCGTGAGCATGTCCTTCTGCTCACCGACGGAGGCTAACCAGTAGTTTAGTATGAGAACGACGCGGACATTGGCGTTTCCGTCATCGACTCGTACACCCACTTCGTGCTCGAGTACATGGAACGCATCAACAAGACCTCACAGACTTCTCTCCAGGACTTCGTGCGTCTCTCTCACCTACGTATACTGTCTATCACTCATACTGACACTGTGCACAGTTCAACGCGTACAACCCACATACAATCCGCTCGCACCCCGGCGTCCGATCCGACCTCTTCCAGCGTCCTCTAAGCGATACCCTCCTGACTGACTTCTTCGGTGGTGTCGCGCATGCCGAGATATTCGACTCTTCCTCCTCCAACATAGACTTCGAGCTCGACGAAGAGTTCGCAAGCAAATGGCAAGCAGTGTACGATGACGCATGCAACGCCGAGACGTCTTCGGATGGCGGAGATGCTGAGAACTCGAGCGAAAGGGTCGCGCAGAGCTCGATAAGGAAGATAGGTGAAAAACTGGATCTGTCGCCAGGCAAATGGAAAGAGGCGCGCAAGTGGGCCTCGGTTGCGAGTTTGGGTGCGCTCATCGCGTGGGCCGCGAGTCGGTGGTGATAATGGTTCACACTCCTCTGGACTCCGCCTTGAGCGCCTCCGACCTTGATTCCCGTGCTTTCTTTGGACAGTGCTGTACTTGTACTTATGCATTAGACTAATCCAATACCTTCACACTCATCCTTCAACCATGTCCTCCGGAACCATACCACATGCCCCGCCAGCACTCGCATCGTGCAAGTGTTCCAGCGACTGTGGCAGAGACAAGGACTGCTCCAAACTGCTACTTTCTTTCAGATGGAAGAAGAGACGCGCCGCAACGACGCTGTGCATCGTGACTTGGAGACTGTCCAAGTACTCGTTGTGGTAGTTCTGCCAGTCAACTTAGCTGAGACACAACGAACCAAGAATAACGTGAACAGGAGAAAGCTTACCGCAGCAGCTACTGTGACAACGATATTCCCCAGAGATACCGCTGCGGATCCAGCAAAAGAACGTCATGAGTGAACTCGCCTTGCGATCAAAAGGTCGAAACCCATACCAATCATAATGGAAACGTAAAGTACGGTGTCCCGATACAGGGTATTAACAACGCGTGAGCTACATAGTGTGGCACGGTAGCGATGGATCCATCGATGGGTCACAAGAAACAGCAGGACTTACAATGATCGACACATATTAATGTTAATGCGCGTCTAACGCAGAAAGAGATGCAGCTTACTGAGTTCATAAACGACTAAAAAGGCGTACTGGATGGCACTGCCTTTTCCTGCACGGAAATCGCATGCTTCCGGCCCTGAAAGGATGTGGTTAGAATCTAAAAGGGACACAAAAAGACTATCCGGTGCTTACAAGGGTTCGGGGTGCCTCTCAGAGACAGAATGTCATTGACGTGCGACGTAATCAACACGGCTGCTACAATGAATACCTGAATGTAGGAGTCAGTGCTTCAAAACAAGCGGGACAGTCCCCATCCGGGACTTACCACAGCAAGCACACAGAGAATGACCATAAGCCGTTTATTTTTGTCCCAAAAAACCCACGTTCTGATCAACAGAAGAGCTGGCCCGTGTCATGAGTATAATCTCGCGATGCGCTTCATCATAACCCGAGTTTGCATTTCGACAAAACGCACCTTCGGCAGCAACAATAGCAGCAATATGCAATACTGCCCATATACATGTAAGATATACAGGCAGACGTAATTTCTGGGCTGGCTCACTCACGGTTTGAAACTAGCCCTGTGTTAGACACGAACTTGCCATTGTCCAAATGGCCGCACTAAACGAAATGAGCAATGGCGTATCCCGAGTGGGGCAAACGATCAAGCTACCCACAGGATTCAGCGCAACCGACTGCAACGCCGCTATACATCAAGTCATCATAAATATTTTCTCGCCGTCAGTTTCACGCTGCCACCTGGAGGAATACCGATCAATTGCTTACCGTACACGGTCATGGCTATTCCAGGAAACGGGAGGTAGCGCGCCAGCGTAAAAATGGTACGACCGAAGTCCCACTTGCGGCCCCAGACTAGCTTGACCTAGCGGTAATTATATATCTTGCAACATGAGCAATAGCAGCTAAATCTCATCATGAACGTCGTACCTCTTTGTCTAGTGTGATGCAATAATCAAAGGCCTGTTCAAACTGAAGTAAGTAATGGCAGCCCTTTTTTGAATGTAAACGAAAGACCCACAAGCACTGCAATGCCCGCTACTTTATGCGCGCGAAAAAAATAATATGAATGGAGATTCTGGTCAAGCTCAGAAGGGCCTGCGAATAAGAACAACATACTGTTTGCATACTGTAGGCATTGTCGCGTTAGCACGACGAACGCCACGGACAGAAAGGCAGACAGACTCACTGCGTCATACTGCTTTCCAGAAGCATCACTGACTAAAGTGCCCATGATAACAGCGTATTCGAACCAGTCGAAAATACCCAGCACAACAAGACGTACGAGGGAACCGGGTCTGGGCTGCTGACCGCTGTATGTAGCACAGCTACTTATCCTTCGACTAGGCGTCTAGTATTGATTGACAAGCGTGGCAACGGACATCCTACAATCACCTCATTATGCACCTTGATGCTGATATCCGTCCAAAAGAGAGCACCGAGTTTTGTACGTTACGATACCATATGATTTCTGTCAACTATGCTATGCTCATCGTTGGGTTTCTGACAGAAAATCAGGCCTTCCCGCTTGATGAACAGTAGGTCATCTCTCACAGAGTCTCACGGCTGGGCGTAGTTCGGTAGCTTGCGTGCGTGCATGGGATAAGAGTCGCATATGCGGCTTAAGTAGGATGGTGTGTCCATGGGTTAGTAGATGGAACTTTGTCTATCTTTATCAGGTTGCGCACTCTCATAGTACTGTCAGGAACCCGGTCGAAGTTCTTTCATTATCATTGGCTGATATGCAGTGGAGGTTCTGACAAGGGTGGAAGCAAAGTTAGTAAAGGACATGCGACCAGATACACAAGGGAGAATATACTCATGCTAACACCAGGGACTTACTGCGTCATACTGCTTGCCGTAAGCGTCGCTGACCGGATCGCTCATAACAAAAGCTTTCCTATGGAGAAGTTGTAGAGTATCCTGAGGGAACGGGGTACAAGGGAATATTAATGACAAAACGTTGGCTTTGGTTCAACCCCTACTTACAGCATATGCACGAGTACTTATCCTTTGACACAGCGCTGAGGCACATGCGTACAAACATGGAAACCGTCATCCTGTAAGCAACATAATGGACGTTTTGATGCTGATATTACCTGCTCAGCAGAGTTTTGGACGACGTAGCAATGCATCTTAAATCTCGTCGGAGCAAAACACACACTGGGAAGAGGTGACACGCCCGGTTGATCGGGGATCCATCAGGTTGGCCGACCTGAAGATAGCCTGTTTGAGTATTGTCATTTACGTAGAAGAGGTGGTGCTCTGGAGGCGGAGACAAACAGAGAAGGTACTTACCAACATATGCAACGAAGCTTCTCAGCGCTCGCGGCATGTATATGTTACTGGTGAGAGGCACGCCCCCTCGCAAGATGAATAGTTAAGCAAGCTGGTGAGCGCAGCATTGGTAGATGCAGTTAAATGATCAATGCGTAAGATACTAACGGCTTGTTTCAAGTTGGATCAACGCACATATGTGTTAGTGGCGGGTGCCATCGTGTTAATCTTTGGAACATTTACGCACACTTTTGGATCCGACAGGAACACGGATAAAGATCTTAATATGTTTCGATGGGACTGGTGTATACGATAGAGGCACTTCTGAAAAATTTTCATTGATAGTCCTCCAGTTTGGTGAAGTGAAGCGGCGGAATGGTGGTTGCAATTTAACAGCTGAGTTTGTTGAGATCTTGAGACCGTAGCCCCACACTAGCGGAGTTACATAAAAGTCTCACGCACCCTCAGGCCTCAAGCCCAGTGAAAACCTGCTGCGAGCAGTTCGGGGCCATTCAGAGCCATTCGGATAACTGGGGCCGCTCTCTGGATGCTTCTTTGATCCTCCGAATGGTTTTGTACTGCTCCGACCTCTGGAAAATTCTCCGAACCCTGAGTGTCAATTTTGGGAGCGATTCGGAGCAGTTCAGAGTGATTCGGAGCGCGCGTATCTGAGTAAGCAAGCTCCGTTTACTAAATCAATTCCCAAATCCAAACCTGACAAGATTTAATCCCTGCAGTCCCATAAAGCATGCCAAGCTCGTTTTATATTTGGAATTTCGCTAAACAACAGTACATGCTAGGTGTATATCTACAGCAGGAGTAAGAAGAACCGGTAAATACGAATGAGATATGCACAATTCTGTCTGAATCTGTGGCCAGACTCTGGAGTATATATCATGAAAATTTCGAGTACTGTAGTTTTTCGACCACTCGCTCGTCCCATGTCCCACGGACCGGGCGAGCGAGCCAAAAAGGGTGGGACTGTCCCACCCTTGCAAGGCCCTATGAGCCAAAAAGCAGGACATATGGTAAAAATAGTCCAAAAAATCGAATAAAATTGTAAAACAGATTATATAATGCGCAAGGGGTATCTAATGGCCTATGTACATGTTATACTTCTTGTTAGAAACTTTATGTTGCTTCCCGGGTTGCGGTTTTCGTTCCCTGGGTAATTTTATCAAATCTGCATTGAGTTTGGGGTTATTTACCAAACCCGGGCCAGGCTGAGCCAAACTGGTCGCATCCTCTCGGGTGATGGGGCTACATGGTTGGAGAAATTCCCCCCGAAATGAAAAGAAGTCTTAAGCAGTTTCGTCGTCAACATGTGAGACTGACAGGCGAGTGAGGATGTCCGGGTCACCACAAGAAAGTTCACAATTTTAAGGTTTCAAGAGCCTCCAGGCATGTTAGCAAGCCATAGGATAAGTTGAACCAGTTGGCGACATGGCAATGAGAGCAACGCACATGGTTGGAAATGTCGCTGACACCTGAGGGAATGGAGGGATGTTGATGCAGATGTCCTGCCAGTGCGCTGACGCGACGCGTCCTGACGCGTCCCGCGACTTCGGGACAATTAGCCCCTGACGAGCCGTGTGTCCCACGTCGATTCCGACCCGCGAGCCAAAAAGTGGGACAGACCGGATTAGGAAGTCACTATCCCACGAGCGAGTGGTCGAAAAACTACAGTACTCACAGATATTTGAGGTAGAGTAGATTCTTGCAGATATAGTTAGTTCGCACGCAAAGTAAAGTCAACCGTGAGTATGACTTCACCTGAGGATCTAACCAGCTGCCCGTGAGCTCGACCGCATTGAGGTGTACAGCTGGAGATGTTGACCATCCGGCGGGATACCAGACGTTGAACAGATGTTGGGCTGAGTGGGTGCCCAAGGGTAGCTCGCCGTGGTTGGGAGGTAGGTGGTAGTGGAAGGAAGAAAGGAAGAAAGGACGCGCGCGCACCTGGACGCAACTGCAGGTACGGTACCGGAAGAAATCGGAGATCAAAACAACAATGGCACCAGAAGGGCCCAAATTCTTGCCGTAGACAGAACCGAACAATACCAGGCCACAAATTCGTCGAATTGGGGACATGTGGTAGCTCGAAATGTGAGACAGACTTGCGTCAGTGTTTTCAATAGTACCCAAAAAAGTTGAGTTCCTTACTATTCTCATCGCGCCTTGCTCACGTGAATTGACTTCTCTAATGCGCTTAGATTTTCTCGACGGAATGTCATCTCAATGCTTCTCACGTTGGGAGATCGTGCTCTGAAATTCTCTGAACCGCTCCGAGTTTACTGATGCAAGACTAACGACTGACTCCGCTTTGCTCCACTTCTCCGAACTGCTCTGAGTGGCCCCGAACTGCTCGCAGCAAGTTTTCACTGGGCTTGACGCGTCTTGGCACTTATGCATGACCACTGAAACCCTCCTAAACCTTGAGGACTCGTAAGTGCATTTGACCAGTGTGCGCCGATTCTATCGTGTGGTAGACGCCATACTATGTAAATCATGACCCAGCCACCACCTGGCCTGACTCTGAGTGCTCACACCCGGTAGTATCTCAGCACCTCGCTGTCTCAACCGTGTTGTTTCCACGCTGATGACGTTTCCTTTGCAGCCCACATGAGTCGCACCAGCATGTCCTCGAAGTTTTGAAGCTTGAAGGGGAGACGATGCCTCAACTGAAGGCGACCTCTTGATCGGACGCGGATTTCGTGACGCTTCATGTGATCCTCTTGACGTCCAGTTACCTATAATGCATCGACAATGACTGGCATCGTGCGCCTCCCAGAACTCTTGGATCCAAATCAGAGGCGCATACATGCGGTGCACGATCAAGAACGACTCGGGATATCACGAGTTCTTCGCGCCGTTGAACATTGAATATGGTCGTGGAGAACTACTGTAGCAGGGATCGACGGACTGAATGGTCATACGCAGCGAGTACGCGTGAACCACGGTCATGGGTGTGCATTTCCCCGACACCGGTAGCAGGTGAACATTCAATGAATGGATCAATGATCGCCTGTGTAAGGGTACAAGTAGCCCAACGTAGGGAATCTCGCTCACAGTTTCACAGCGGTGTAACCCTCCCTCCTGTCTTTCGCTTCCCGCCCTGTTTGTAGACTTGAAACCTAGGATGATTGGTGCTGCTGCTCTGCTCGTGTATGCGTCTGCCGCGCTTGCGCTCAACAATGACGTTGCAAAGCTGCCAGGTGAGTATATTAAATAGTATTGTCGACATCGATTCTCACTGCGCCCTATAGTTCTTGGCTATAACAGTGAGTCGTTATTCATTTTGAACGGCAAGCAATGAAGGTCTGAACCTGGTTGGTTGTATAGCTTGGAATGCATACCACGTAAGTCGCGCATAGATCAACTCATTCACAGGTCTTTGCTGAGCATAAAACGTCTATGAAACAGTGCGACATTTCCCAAGAGCTCGTGCTTCAACAAGCCCAGTACATGAAAACTCTCGGCCTTCTCGATGCGGGGTACACTCAGTTCAACCTCGATGACTGTTGGGGCGTCACGAGTCGCTCGTCGTCGGGCGAGATCCAGTACAGTGAGTCTTTCTTGTGTTTGTGATGAGACAGTTATTAATAGAGAATGAACAGACACGACGCTCTTCCCAGACATGAACAACTACACGGCTACGCTCAACTCGATCGGATTGTGTGTACACCCCGCCTCTCTTCGTCGTCACATTCTGATTGCTTCACCATCAATTCTACAGCAAAGCCGGTATTGTGAGTGTTCATTGTGCGCTCTCACACGAGGCACAGGAAGGCTAATCAGACTACGGGACACAGTACTCCGACTCCGGCTGGCAAACCTGTGCGGGATATATGGGCTCGTTTGACCACGAGGACCAGGATGCGGCTACGTTCCAAAGCTGGGGCTTCGACTATCTCAAGTGCGTTACTCTTGCCATCCATTGCGTCAACTCTGCTGATCAGCGCGACGAACACTGGATGCACAGTAAAGTTTTTTAGGGCAGAAAACTGTGGGAAAACAGGAAAAAAACCCAAATTGTTTTCACAGTTTTTCAGGATGTAATACTGGATAAAAATCTGTGATTTTCTCACCATATGTGGTGGATAAAAATCGGTTGAAAACTTTGAAATAACTGGATAGCATCTAGCTAAAATGTGCGTGCTTTTATTCTGGTTTTTATATAGTAAATGCTTGAAGTTTTCACAATAAAAAGCAAATATTAATGATAACAAAAACAGAGAGGTACAAACTAATTTTTGTTTAGTTTTCTTGGTACACTATTTGAGAGATAACTAAATATGAATACATCAAAGCTATCCAATTATTGAGGAGAAAAAATCGAAAGAAAATAAGGGAGAAAATACAAGAACACTTCACCAGTTTTCTCACCTAAAAAATCAAACAAATAAATCAGAAACCGAGATTTGATTATTTTAACTGTGGCTTATATGGTGGATGCTCAATTGAGCTGCGGCCAACATGGTGCATGAGTGTGGCTAACACAGTACATGGTTGATTGAACTGCAGCTATTGTGGTGTGCAAGTGTGGCTGACATGGTGCATGATAGATTGGGATGCAGTTAATGTGGTGTGTGCTAAATTAGTCTGCGGCTAGTGTGGTGCATGCTAGATTCATCTGCAGCTAATGTGATGCATGCTAAATGGAACTGCGGCTATTGTGGTGCATGTTCAATAGAGCTGCAGCTAACATGGTGTGTGCTAGATTCATCTGCGGCTAACGTCGTGCGTGCTGAATTTATCCGCGGCTAATGTGGTGCAAAATTCATGTGCGGCTAGTGTGGCCCATGCTAAATTCTTCTGCGGCTAGTATGGTGAATGCTAGATTCATCTGCAGCTAACATGTTGCATGCTAAATAGAACTGCAACTAACATGGTGTATGCTGAATTCATCTGCAGCTAGTGTGGTGCATGCTACATTCATTTGCAGCTAACATGGTGCATGCTAGATTCATCTGCAGCTAGCGTGGTGCATGCTAGATTCATCTGCTCCTAATGTGGTGCATGCTAAACAGAGCTGCAGCTAACATGGTGCGTGCTGAATTCTTGCGCAGCTAACATGGTGCAAGCTGAACTCAACTGCGGCTAGCATGGTGCATGCTAGATTCATCTGGGGCTAGCATGGTACATGCTAAATGGAACTGCAGCTAACATGGTGCATGCTATATTCATCTGTGGCTAGCATGGTGCATGCTGGATTCATCTGCAGATAACCTGGTGCATGCTAAATAAAGCTGCAGCATGTTAGCTGCAGATTGTGCATGCTAGATTCATCTGCGGATAGCATGGTGCATGCTGAATTCATCTGCTGCTAGCATGCTGCCTGCTAGATGCATC